TAAACCCCATGACCCCTACATCTCCCAGAAAGATGCACTCTCTTAAAGCGCTGCATCATTTTCATGGTCCTATACCCAGAGAAGTGGTCTTGAGTGCTGGTTGCCAGCTGCTGTGGTTAAGGAGCACCTCTAAGGGAGGAGGAGCAATGTGGGGCTAGATGCAGACTCTACTACAGCCTTGGGGCATGTGGTCTGAAATCTGGAGGTGCTGAGCCTCCCAAAAACAGATCTGAGAACCATAAGTGCAACAAAGCTGAAGCAGTTTTGTTAAAGTCACCCGTACCTTATAAGCGAGGTCACTTGACAGCTCTCTGCCAATGTTTTTAAAGGACTTTCTGTGACTGGGAAACATGGGGACAAAATAAATCAGTTTGTGCAGTTTGAAATTACCTATGTGAATCCTGCCGTGCAAATCAATGTCTCTGTGGATGAGATTGTCTTAAGCCATGACAACAAGAACATTCGGCTGTCGTGGACAGAGTCAGCAACCTCTGCTGTCCAGGGGTAAGAAATGTCATTCTGTCCTTTCCCAGTCCTGGCAATTTGAATCACATCTCTCATAAGCGAGTTGTTCATGTTCACACATGCCATTTGCTTCAAATAAATGCTCCCAAATGCCATTTTTTGGTGAATAACTCACTGTTTACCTTCCAAAGAGAAGCACCCACTGTGGTGCATGATGATCCTAATATCACTGCTGTGCTGGCTGCCGCTAGGCACACTGTGATCATCCTGGCATGGGGTGAACACCGCAAAGTGAGGTTTTTGGTGTTTACTGTATCTTTTCTACCTCATTTGGTTCCATGCAGACTGGAGTTTTTCTTTTTTCCCACTTTTAGAAATCACACACATCTGGGCATCAGACATTTTTTATAGGGAGGCATAAAGTGTTTGAATAATTGTCTGTAACTCTAACAAATGCCTGCTACTGGAGAAGGAGTACCTCAAATGCGTACTGCATTTGTCTGCCTATTTTGTGTAGGAGCCTTCAAAACCACAGGAAAGAGCTGAATTCAGCCAGTTCCATTAGCAAGCTGCTGTTGCTCTGGGGCAGGCAGGACACACAGTACTCCCCCCCATATAGGCACCTCTGGACAGTAACAACTGGTCTAAAACAACTGCTTTCAATTATTTTTGAGAGAGAATAGAGCCAAGAATGTGCTGGATTTATGCCCCTACATAATTTGTCTTCTGCAAAGCAAAATGATCCTCCTGCTTCAAACCAGCATCTGAGTCCTTGCAACTGCAGGAATCAAAATAAAAAATATAAGGGCTTAGAGAAAAGGCAGGATCTGAAATATCTTGGGACATATCCAGGGAAAACATATTTGTCTTGTTCTCTAAATCAGTTCAATTATTTTAAATGGTCCATCATTTTTCTCATTAAAATGATGGGAAAATATCCTTTTTTCTATTTTTTTTTTTTTTTTTTTTTTTTTTTTTCCCATTATGGATAAAAAGGTGTTCAATCAATAAGAATTCTCCTCTGCTGATGTATTGATGTATTTGCTTGTAACCCAACATGGGAAAGGTGTTCAGTGGCATATAAGAAATGGAAGAGATACCAGTCATATTAAAATATTAACACCAGAATATTTTAAGATATGATAATATAACTTACTATTGTAATACTTTACTATAACTTGTTATATTAATATTTTAACATATGCTGCTTAATATTTTAATATAACCACTGGCAGACCATATAAAATTCAATTGCAAGGAGACAAAAAGCAAAACAAAAATAAATAATAATGTCAGTTATTTACATATATATGTTTTGTCTTCATATTCTTCTTGGAAATAACATTATTATTTATTTCCTAGGCTGAGAGTCTCTACTGAAAAGGAAAGTAGTGTAACAGTATCACTGTCTGATACAGTCACGGTAAAAATATTCCTTGTAAAGGTTCCAAATGATTTCCTTCAGCTGTGTTTCTTGAATATCGACCATTTTTCTGACAAAGTCACTGGAATTCTGGGTATGTATCATCATGGATCTGTACAGCAAAGAAGAACAGTCTTGCAAATAAGCTCCTAAGATGCAAATATGGTGCTTTTTTTTTGAGCTACATTCATTTTACTGTTTTGGGTCCCTACAAACTCTCATGAAAATCATTGGACAGGTGAGGCAGCAGGAATTCAGGGGGTTTCTATGCATTAAATTTATTCTTTTCAGACATCTAATCCAGACTTTATTCTGCAAATAAAGTGGGGAGGCCTCCAAAGAGGGTCTTACCCTTGAAGCAAAACATAATGCTTTTCTACTCACTGCTGGTACAAACTTAAATGTGTTTAGAAAATGTTAAAAACAAGACTAAAATAACAGCCAGTGTGTTAGCTATGAGGGCTTAACTTCAACAGTGTTGTGTTGTGTAAAAAAAAATCATTCGATGTTAAATAATGGATTATAAATAATGGACATAAAGTGGTAATAATTGGGGTTACAATAGTGGAAATATGCCTCTTCCTGGCAATGGCTATGAAATGAAAACAAGCTGGTTCTGAACACTTATCCCCCAAAATACTGATGGGACTGAAGTTGAAGTTGTGTCAAAAACTACGAGTGGAGAGGCTGCGTATTCTATAACCACATGCTCACACAAAATGTGAAAACACATCAGAGTAAGGCTGAATCTGTGGAGGAGTGTTAGGGATAATAGATCACAGCTGAAACACGTGAGTTTTATTCATTTATTATGGGAGCCTTCAAATGTGCCTATTGTTTGGGGGGTTTGGAGGCAGATGGCTGCCTGCTTTCCTGTTGTTATATCTACCATTTGGGTTAACAACTATAATTGGATGTTTTGCTATTATTTTCAAATAATTTGTGTCTATTGCTCAGGTCAATTTTATTTAAAAGGACAGCTTGAGAATAATGCCAAAGTAAATCAGAGAGCTGATGAAAGACTTCTAAATGTTCCAGGATCTGAGCACAGACTTACCAGGTAAGAGAGGTGGGATAAGGTTGAGTAATGCACATGTTTTGAGATTTAGTTTATGAGCAAAAAGCAGAGATCCAAAGAAATGAAATTAATGGATTGTTTGCGTGTAAGAATACAGCTCTTTGGTATAAAAAATAGGAACTTACTCTTGAATGTTTTCCTAACAACCAGAATTTGTTGCTTGTCAAATGATACTGCAAGGCTCAGGGCTCCTATTTCACAGGGCAGGGAAAATCACACCCTGAGTTTGCATGAAAATGCTAAATAAAATTAGGTTCTGCTGCCTCATTTTCATGGCTAGGAGAGGGTGCTTGCTCAGCTGGATTTACCATGAGGGGAAAAAAAAAAAAATAATGATTTGCTTGTAGCAAGTTTCTGTGATGGGGAAGAAATGCTGTGAGAGTATGATCTCTGTTCATTGTCTCTGTGTGTCCCCATCACTGTTGCCTCCATGGCTAAAGCACAGGTGTGCCAGATCTGCCTCTCTCACTTTTGGTACCAGCTGCAAACATGGGTATGATCACGGTCAATTATGGGCCTGCATTTTATCACGTTTTTTTTCTTGATTTTGTTTCAGGCTATACAAGAAAGATTACAGGCTTGAGTCAACTAGTGATCCTGTTTCCTGCTGGTCAGTAGTTGGAACTTCCTAGAGAAGACTATTTTGGGAAAGAAAACAATACAAACGATGCTCTTTCACATATTTTTGATACTTTCTGTCACCAACAAAACAATGCAGTTAAAGCATTACCTGTTCATATAAATAACTGTCTTATATATATCTAACCTCAAAATAATTATAATTATACTTTCAAGATGAGAATGTGCTTTCTGGCTGTCTGTAATTGTAAGAAGCTCTATAATAATGTTAAAGATTTATGTGAATGAGCTAAATAAAAGTGGCACTATCAGCTCACAGTTTGATATGGACAGACGGACTTAAGTTTCTAAATAAAATTAAGCAGTGGCACCACCCAGTCCAACATACTTGTCATGCAAACAGTAATAAATTTCTAAAATTTACACTTGGTATCCAGTTTCAAATGATGGTGTTCTTGAACCGAGTGTTTTGCAAAAAGGGTGAAGTCTAAAGCAATATTAGCTTGCCGTTTCTCTCATTGGTTATTTTATGGGGGGGAGGGGGTGGGGAGAAATCTTGGTGTATTAAGGTTCATTGGGCATAGTTCTGTGGTAATGTTCAAAACTAATGAAAGCAATAGTAATGTGATCGGTGAAGGCAACCCTGATGGCTCTAGTTCCAGCAATTCTTGCAGTTTCTGAGGGTCTGCTTTAAAATGTCCTCAAAACAGACATTGACTTATTGCAAAACAGACCTCTGACTTGTTGCAAAAGATGGCATTTCAACCCTGAAATGTAGCATCTTGGGTTTTGGCAAGGTTTCATGTAACACTCTACAAACATCAAATGATGTTTTACAAATAATGAAGAACTCAAAACAACACGTGGCATATAGAGGTAACATTTCAGAGGAAATGTATATTCAGAAACCTTTGCCCATGGAAGGAAATGTGGAGGTTTAGCTTCCAATTATTTTTTTCATAACTTTTAATTAAAAGTTAATTTATATTTTAGAATTTCAGTGCATATATTTGAACACACGAACACATGTGCCAGCACTGCAGAAGATTTACAGAAGTTGCTTTCTATCGTGCCAGTAATGGATAACTGGAAAAAGCTTATTATTTTAAAGAAATGTACTAAAAGAGAAGCAATGTCTTGCCAAAGACATTATAAAACTATAATGTCTAAAACCATATAAATGATATAACTGTAGGCCTTTTTTTTTTTAAAAAAAAAAAAAAATAAGGAACAGTTTAGATATCATGATATGATTTGTTTATGTGAATTGCTTGTACTTTCAAGACACAGATTTGGAGTTGCAGATTTGGCTGGACAAATTACAGAGCAAAAAATGTGAAATTTGGGAGCTGCAGACACCAGATTTACAAAATCTGTGGCTTTGCCTCATCACAAGCTGGCTTGCCAATTTGAAAAGTAAGACATTATATGCATTATGAATGAACTTGGTATTTGAATTACATGCTGGGTTTTATCAGGTAACTTGCTGCAAATTAAAAATTCACTGCTCTCAGTTATAGGGCAATTATATGTTCCATCCTCCACCTATCTGCTAATAGCAAGAATAACAAAAAGCACCAAAATCCTGGAGCAATGAGGCATGGCTAAAGGGCAGCTTTCACATGCTCCCCTTGGTGAGGATCAGGTGTGCACAGGCCATTCATGAGAGCTCTTCTAACCTGTCTGCTAAACCTGTAATTACGGTGGTTCCTCAAATGCCCCTGGCAACCTGCTGCCCTTTTAATTCTCCCTTGCTTCAAAGAAGCAGATCCTGCTGACCTTGATAAATGGGGGGGGGGGGGGGGGGGAAGAGAAAAGAAGAGAAAAGAAAAGGTTAGCCTTACTTACCAAACAGGAACTTTTGCATAGTTTTTTGTTTTTCTCAATGTGTTTGCGAAGCTGCTCCTGTTCTTTGGACTGTAGCCAATTTGCCTAGGCTGTGTTGAAGGGCTGTGCCCAGAGCTGCATGGGGACTGCACCACTGCACCTCACAGCTGGTGGAATCTCCCAGGTCTTACAAGAGATGCTTGCCTGCGGTACCGATGGAGAGGTTTGCCTTTTCTGCAGCCTTCTTATGTTGCTGGTGTGCCTGGTTACTGAGACTCACAGATCCTTTCTGCTGTGTTTTGTCCCCACAGTACGTGTGCTTTCCATTCTCTAAGCTTGTTTCATTTCACTTTTCTCACCTGAATTGATTCTTAATTTGTTGTTTAGTCACTTTCCTCCTATTGTTTCTGAGTCCTGAACTGAGTTCTGATGGGCTTCTGATCTCCTACACTCCCCTTGCCCAAGAGGCCTTGTTACTTAGAGGCTGAATGCAGACACAGGCAATAATTAGCATTTAGAGTTCTGTAATTTCTAACTCCAATGCAGAATGTACACTATGTCTCATATGCTTTTCTTCGAACAGCATTGTACCAGCTTGATAGAAGGAGTAAAATTGTTATCTAAGAGTAAGCAACTGCCTGCCATTTCTCTCTCTCCTTATTGTTACCTTTAACTATGTTTGTAGCTATCACCTATGTTGCAGGAATTTTGGAAGAATTACAAACTAAAAAGCATATTTTTCTTTCTCCATTAGTGCAAGTGGGAGCTTCTCAAACTGTCACAGAAGGCATTCAAAAGCAGACTAGAGCCTCTGAGGTCAACTTCTGCCTGACAATTCAGTCACAGCTGACAAGACTCCTCCTACCTCTAGTGATTTGCCTCATCCCCATAAATTAAACAGGAAAGCTCTGCCTGAGGTTGCATCCAGTGTTGCCTTGCAGCTGAATTTTGCAAAGGTAGGTCAAGATCTACTGTCCACCACTATGTTTGTTTGTTTTAATAGAGTAAGCAGGTATGGGATGAGCCCAGATGGACAGTCCCACAGGATCCAAAATGGATCATTGCTCACTCTCTCTCTCTCTCTAGCTCTGTCTAATACATTATTTTAGAATAGATATTCAAAACCAAGCAAACTTAAGCTTACCCCTTTCAATTTTCCAGTCTTCCTCAACCCTTTCATTTCTCTTCCTGCCTTCCTTATTTTTCAATAACTTAATACCTTCTGTAGAAACTATTGTTTTGTTTCATATTTTTTTTGTCTGAGTTTAGACAGACAGCACCATCTAGCCACTGTGACAATGTCTAGAATTGATTTTTTTCATTCATTTGAATAAAGATTTTACAAACACACACACATAAATAAATAACATACAGCTACTATTACTGAAATGTAAGCGCTGCTTGAACTGTGACATTTCATTAATTTATACAAATATGAGCATTCAAAAGTTAGGTTCAAATTAAAATACCAAAGTACAGAAGTCCTGGATCTAAACCACATTGCTAACAGTCACCTCGAGTAAGGACACTGTACCAACCCTCACCACTATACAGTCAAGTGGTTAGATGGCTTTAAGTATTACTGAATTATCCCAAAATATGTTCTGGTCTGTCAGCTGTCCTCTTGTGTTGAATTTCAAATTGCATATTGCATCCCAGGCTTTGTGAAACAGGCATTAAAAACATTGGAATAAAAGAACAAGGCATTAAATGTTGATGCTTTTATTTAAATCACTCTTTAACCTCACTAATTAATTTAAAATTGTATAGAATATTTCTGTTATGACTTACAAAGTAAAATTATAATTTTAAAACTAGTAAAGTAATATAGTAAAGTAAGGGTATTTGAGGATATGAGGAATAGCTGTTTAGTGCTGAATTTGATCACAAATACAGTAAAACTAGGAGAATCTATCATATCTTGGTATTTTCAAACATGGCAAGCATATGTATTATTAACGCTTCTTTATTAACACTTTTTCAGCAGTGAAAAGTACTATTCTTTCAGAAAAGTACTCTTTGTATGCATGACTTTGGAGGTAGTTGTTTAAAACAGACTGGAAACAAGATAGTCTGTATGAACACCATCTATTAGCCCAGCTCCATTATTATGAACAAACCAGCAAGGAATATCAATGCCATGCTTAGGATCTTTTCTGTAATCCTTCTGCCAGCCCCTGAAAGGTAAAATACAATCACAGAAGTAGTGAAGCAGAAAAGACAAATTGACACGGTAGTCTTTTCTAAGGACTTGATTATATTTTACCTTGTTACTGTCAGTTCCTTGTTTTTAATAATCATCGTGGCATCTGGTTTCTTCGGATCGGACCCAGGATGGATTTCAAGTATGGTGAAGTCAATGGGGTGGAAAAATTGTCCTAAAAATAGAAGCCAAAATTACCATTTCAGACATGTTACACATACGAAATCAGAAACAAAACAAACTTAAACCCCAGAATTTCTACATTCCCATGCTGTTTTCCAAGTTCTCTCAGGGTTTTGAATGCATAAGCAAACACCAAATTTGGTGCAAGGTTGAACATATGCCTATGGTATTATTTAATTTTTATGAACTAGAATTCTGGGCATATCATTTGGATGTAGGTTCTAACTTCAGAGTGCTAAGTAAAATTGGTCTGTTCTAGATAGTCCTTAAGATAGCCTTGCTTTGTTTCTTGCCTATTCAGTTGTATTTATTACACACTCTCCAAGTCTTTAACTTTTTTTTTTACTTTTTTTTTTTTTTTAAATCAAATAATACATGTTGATCTCTGAAATTACTTGATAGGATTATCCTCAGAACAAGCCTGATATCTAAGGAATTTTCACATCCTGACAGGATTAGCTTTTGGACACTTTTGCCCTGCCTGGGCTGATGTAGGATGCTCTTGGTGATTTAATGAGTGCTGTAATGAGTACAGAGGCAAATTCAAAGATGACGAACATAATGATGAGATGCGTAAGTCAGTAACACCGTGTACCCACACATTATGTGGGCTTTTCTTGACTTGCCTTTCTATTTGCAATTCATATCACAGCAGAATAATGTTTGTATCTGGACAAGTCCTTTACTCTGAGGAGCAGAAAAGCATAAAAAACATCCTTTTTCTGCTCTTTTTCTGTTTCATTACAGCATTTCCTAAGATTCCTGAACCTAACATACTATCCCTGGTATCTTGGCTCATTCTCAGACCTTCAAGCGCATTACCAAAATTCAGAAAAGTTCACAGAAATTCGTTATTTACCACAATAAATAAACTTACTGACCCCAAAAATCATTTTCTGTGCTTACCTGATTTTGTAAGAGAAAATCAAAAAGCAAGTAAAATGTCTGCTATCAGATGAAGCGTAACATTTTCCAACAGAGGATGCACACCACAAAACCCACTACTCTGGCAGAAAACGGGATTCAATGAGGCCTTAATTTTCATTCCTAAAATACCAACTTTGTCTTCTATTAAAATAATGTTTTCTAACATTAATATAATCCTAAATAATACAAGGTATCGTGTGATTTTATTGTATGATTAAGTGGTTGAGTCACCATCCCTGGAGGTCTTTAAAAGATGTTCAGATGTAGAGCTTAATGATATGGTTTAGTGGAGCACTTGTTAGTGTCAGGTCAGAGGTTGGACTAGGTGATCTTGGAAGTCTCTTCCAACCTAGATGATTCTGTGACAATTCTGTGATGATTCTGTGATGATAGCCAATCAAGATATACCTTAACATCTTCATTGCATACAAGGGTACACTAACTGAGGTTTGGCAAATTTTGACCAATGGGTAAGCATGTGCATTTTCCAAGTGTTTGTACTTAGGAGAAAGGTAAAGGGGGAGATCAAACCATCCAAGAGTCTGGAGGAATGGTGTAATAAGAAAAAGAATCTGTAGGTGGGATTTAGCAAGATAAGAAGTTTAAAAATGCCAGTGAGAACCATGGGTGCTAGTGATTTCAGCAACAGGAGAATTTAAGAAAAGATAATGTATAAAGCCAGAGCCCAGAGTATTTTGTCAGAAATCTTCATATGGTTGATTAACGTTATCTCAATTTCCTCCTCTGTCTCAGTTCACAAAGGCCAAATACAAGATTGCGTCTGCAAATTAGGTAGCCTCAAGGAAAGAAAATGATATTCAAAATGCCAAATGAAGTCATACCTAATAATCCATGGGTCTGTTCAGACAGTTTATGACTTTTCAATGTATACAGTCCTAAGAAATCCTGGTGGAGAGGATGTTTCTTCCATACTTGGTGCAAAACAATAACAAATGATGCACCGTCTCCCATTGAGAGCACCAGATTTTTTTCCTTGTTAATTATCAAAGTTAAACTGAGAAGAAATAAAAAAATATATAAATTAAAAAAAAAAAAAAAAAAAAAAAAACAAAAACAAAGCTTAGGGTACTAGGTTAAGAGTTAACAGCAGTGATAAGAAAACCAATAAATGAAACAGGTAAAGTAAGTGTGACTTTATAACTTAGTGTTTTGTTGTTATTTTAATAAAGTTGTTTAGTAGTTCAGTTGATGTGAATCTGTGTGTGTTCACAGGCAGTCCAAGACACACTAAATTACAATGTAAAAGGCTACCTAGCCTTTAAACTTTTCAGCAAGGTGTTTCTGCCAAAACTCTTCCCATAACAGCACAATTAATCGCAGACATGGTAGTGAGATATAGATATTGCACCTCATGCTCAGTATTAAAAATGTTATTGATAAAACAATCACTTTCTTGCCTGGATATTACCTGCCCCATTTTCTCTTTGTTTTTCAGAAAAGACAACAACTGAAATGCCTAGGTTGGTGTTAGGATAAAGAATATTTGCTTCTGATAATGACAACTATGTTGATGATATCAGTGACATAAAAAAAAAAAAAAAAAAAAAAGTATCCTAAATCAGAGTTTTGCTCTGGAACTCTTTCTGTTGCAGTGTTGTCCTTTGAGAGAGTGATTGGTGCTAAATCACAATGAAAATGTAAAGGAGGAGAAGATACTGCTATTTCTTTTCTAAGCTTTCTTTTGGACAGGTATTAATGACTCTCTAATAGATACATAGAATCATAGAATATCCCAAGTTGGAAAGGACCCATAAGGATGATGCAGACTGGGAGCAGAACTCATTGAGAGCAGCCCTGCAGAGCAAGATTTGGGGGTTCTGGTGGATGAGAAGCTTGACGTGAGCCAGCAGTGCGCACTTGCAGCCCAGAAGGCCAACTGTATCCTGGGCTGCATCAAGCGTGGACAGCAGGTCAAGGGAGTTGATTGTCCCCCTCTGGATGGGGCTTTGGCCAACCTGATCTAGTCCGTGGTGTCCCTGCCTATGGCGGGGGGTTGGAATTAGATTATCTTTGAGGTCCCTTCCAACCCAAGCCATTCTATGATTCTATGATTTACACCTTCAGTGTTTGCAAGTCAAATTTTGCACTTACTTATTACAAGCAGGTAAATTTACAAATAATCTTCAGCAATTACATAACAAAGTAGAGCACTGAATCCAGCATGATTTGAATCAGTATTTTTTTTTTTTCATTTTATAACCTAAAAGTATATTTTTATATATTTTTGATCAACCCCCCAAAAAAGAGTATAAAAATGTAACACTGGAATATGATATTCTTTCCGTAAGCCTTACCCTTCTTGTTGCAATGTGACTGAGTCAAGCCAGGTGAAAGCTGTCTTTTCATTGCCATTCTGAATTGTGATCTTCTCAGAAGTTACTGTCACTTTTAAATTCAGATATTTGTTTGCAATGCCAAGTTTTCCAAAATATGTATTTTGTGAATTTGCATCACTATTTGCTCTCTTATCACCAATGAGTTCTCCATTGACTGTGATGCCTAACGTAATACGGAAACAACAAATACTATTTTATAGATGAGATGTCAAAGAGTGTTGCAGTAGTTACAGCTCAACAAAACAAATCCAAATTGAAAAGTAGACCAGGATTACTTGTGCATGTTTGTGCAAAAGTATAGTAAAGGAATAGAGCTCTGGAGGCTGTTCTGTAGACACTTACAAAGATGACAACCACCTTATTGATAAAAGTTGAATATTTCCTAGACTATAAAATTTCATGATGGGCACAAATAGCCTGTGTGCCATCAGTCTCCATTTGCCACATAATCCATGAAATAGAAACCTGAGCATTATTTTATTGCTTCTACTTCTACTCACTGAAACAAATTACGTCTCTTAACTCCCACGGTGGTTTTCAAGACAGTTAAAAAGTCCATGTTGCTCCAAGAAGTGAAAACACAATCATGGTAATGGTACCCTATCACAGCTATAGTAACTTCTGTTAACTTTGCTGAAAAAATAGCACATATAATATAAAAAGAGAGAAATGGACTGAAAAATAAGACATTTTGATATAAGTATTCTGATTTACTGTTTAAAAATGATAAACTCACCTGTAACTGGGTCATTTATTAAACTTAACACATCGCCTGGTTTTTCATTGATATTGAAACAAATGGCATCCTCTTTTTGTGGCACTGATATAATGAAGTGTGGATCGCCATCAACTGTAAAGCAAATCACAGGTGTTTGTTTAGTGATACACAGGTTCAAAGCTCTACATGAACGTTTAATGTTGTGGCAGTGTAGCTGATGCTGGGGACCAGCAGAACTGGTCCCTGCACAAGCTGTGTCCAGCTTAGTCCAGCCCATCTGCCACAGGAGTGGGGGGGTCCCAAGGACCTGGGCTTCAAGCGCACATTGCTAGCTCATGTTGAGTTTCTCGTCAACCAGCACCCCCAGGTCCTTCTCACTGGGGCTAAATCGGGAAGCCTAGACAATGGGAAGGGGGCTAACAAAATGATCATATATGATCTCAGCGACTCAATTGCTTTAAAACATTTTAGATACTTAAAGTAAATTGAAGTACTAGTCTGTTGTGAAAAACTGTCTGCTTTTGTGTGAAGGCATTGTCTAAAATACTCCAAGAATTGTGTGATTTAGTCTTAAATACCCACATGTGTTTTCCTTCTGAACAGACACAATTCAAATTAGTCAAAACTAACTCACCACTAGTATACCATGCGGGCCTTGATAAAAATAATGGTGGAGCTGCAGGGTGCAAAGAAAAAGAAGTTAGAAATGCTCACATCAAAATGGAATATTTACATACTATCTGCACCGAACATGTAAGATGTCAGAAAGTTAATATGCTAGGTAAATTGCAAATTCCATCCTGTTTTTTTTTTTTGTTTTTTTTTTTTTTTCAATAAAATGGAATGACAGTTTGTGTCCCTTTTGAATCAAGCAAAGCTTTAGGATAAAGACAGATTCTTTTGGGTTGAGTGTCCCCACAAAGCCCAAGCAATGTGTCTGTAGGAAGGCAAATGTCTCAGATTTAAGGATTAAGCTGTCTATCAACAAGTCTGGGTAGAAATGCAACAGCACTATCCATTTAAAATTTCTGATGTTTTGACATTTGCTTTTGACAGGATGAATGTGAGACTTCAAAAAAACAAACTTGAGAAAACTAGAAAGCGATGGGGAGAGAGATTGAGAGAGATTGAGACATCTCCTGCACTAAATCTTAAATATGACTCTTCCATTTTCAGCACTGTTCAACCAGCAATCTGAAGAGTCAGTTGCTGTCTCACTCTCCTCAATAAAACAATTTCTCTTTGTATAAATAACTGAATATATTAATTTAGCCAGAGATGCTAACATCATAGTTCCATGCTTAATATAATTCCCAAACAGATGCAAATTCAAGTCCATCCTCTGAAGCAGCTTTCCAGGAAAATGTTGGTTTGAGGAAATGGTATTTACTCCTTAACAACTATTCCACTGAGTATTTTTCAGATGTGGTTTTGTTCTGTCTTTAAGTGTGATTGTAGCAGTGAGGAAAAATTGTTAGTATTTGTTAAAATACAGTTGTAAACTCAGACAAGGCAGTTTCCATCTCCCCAGCAGTTTCAGTTGTCTGAATCAATTTCCTTTGACAGATGCTTCTTCATTCAGAAACTCGAATTAATGACGTACCCTGCATAACAACTGGGGCAGCTTGTGCTGTGAATGAAAGAAAACTTTATTTTAGAGGTGAAAAGAATAAAAGACAATCTCCCTCTTTCCATGAAAACCAACTCCTAAATCTTGTAGTCATGTATAAATTTCCAAATTAATTATAATTAAAAAAAAAAAAAAGTTTATTTAGATTTTTGTACTGCAACAAAGCAAACCATGAATGAATTCAACACAGTGTCATGAACAGGTAAAAAGCACAGACCAGTTTACAGCAAAAATGCTATTGCTCAAAAGGTATACAATTTGTCCTTAGGGCTGGGACAATTTGGTCCTTTTCTAATTCCCTTGTGCCTTGTTCCAAACTGTACTACTGGAAAGTCAGTAAGATTTATCCACCTGTTCCCAGGTATTTCTAGTCTTCTCTTTTTACATCTGAATCTATGGAACAGTGTCTGTAGATAGGGTGTTGTGCTGAATAAGCAACAACACAGCAACAATGAAGACACCTTTGTGTGGATGCTCGTCTACATGCAGGTATCTGGGAGCCAACAGTGCTAGCTCTGGAAAGCAACTTAATTGTACTGGGCCTGAATTTTGTGATGGTGGGATGCTGCAGTTAGGAAACAGAAAACAGTAATCACAACATTTTCTATCTGTAAAGTTTTTAATCTAGTTATAACAGTGTCTTAATCTATAACACAATATTTTTGTAAAATCGTTGGGGAATAAATCCACCTACAAGACTTAAAAAAAAAACGTTAGGCAAATTTAACAGGAAGTGTACATACCTTCAGCTGTTATCATGGGTGAACAGGAAGTAAAAGGAAGAAAAAGAGAAATTTACAGTTTAAGTTGTGTGACTAAACAAGAAGGATTCTGACCCTGTTAAAACATATTCTAAACAAACAAAAAATTAAACTGTTGTTGAATTGTCAAATTCTACCATGTATCTGCAGATTTTTAAAATTCCATTTCTTCCCAATGATACAATTCAATATATACAGAGCAAACAGAAACACAGTGAAAGCAAAAAGCTGTTATGTGGGCAGCAAATCCATAATTAACTATGCATATAACAAGAGTACCATTAGTAATTGCTTTGTCATCATGTCATTTACATATCACAAAGTGGTCCGTATTGGTTTTTACTCTTTTGCAATTTTTCAAGGCATTTGCTTTATTCTACAAATATTGACTGGATGATTCAGTAATCCTGTATGTGATTCTAGACTCCAGTATGTGTGAAAGTTATTTTTTTCCTTACACAGTGGGAGTGCTTTGAGTATATTCTTCCATTATCACCGTGTATACTTTCAACATACATAGAGGATTTTCTTGACAAGAGATTCAGATAAAGGCCTGAACTGAAGGTCACTGTAAGTATATGCCATTTCTGTCAGATGTTTGCATGAGTTTTCCATCTCATAGTGTTCACTTGCAAACTACAAAGTCATTATGCTGTATAATGACTTGAATGTTAAGTTAAATTTGTGTTTAATGTCAAATTAAACAAGTGTTTTTGTATCAGTATCCCATTAGGATAATTACAAAAAATAATGCAAAAAAATTATCAGCACCATGCCTGTAGAATTATTGCATTTTGTAGGGTACCTAGCAATTAACTGGCTTATATTCCACTTGAAAGAAACCCCCACTAACCTTCAGTAAGCATTTCTGTTAAGCTAAAAAGCCTTAAAATAAGTCTTGGTTATCACACCAAATTCAGTAGATAAGCAAGTTTTTCATTTAGAATCCAGCACAGAGCCTAGACAGAACCTGGGAGGAACTAGGGCAAAACTAGGGGCAGGAGGCAAGGGTTTCAGGAAAAAATAATACATGGTAATAGATGAGATTGGAAAGCCTCACAGGAGGTTTGACAAACCTGTTGAATTAGGGAGATAAAGATACCTCAAACAACAAATATACATTATAGTAGAATGTCTTTGGGGGTGCAGTGAGAAGATAGGTAGTATTTGTCTTACTTTGCTCTCACTAAAGAGGAATAGAGTTATTCTTTTTCACACAGGTGAAACAGACATGCTGAATTGTATGAAAGTATAATGATTTACTGAGCAAGGAGTTAATCATTGGCCAAAGTATCAAAGGAGATGAGAATAAATTGTATGCTTTCAATAACTGTTTTTCTTTCTGCAATATATGTGTTTTACAGGTATTATTGTCATGATTTTACAACCTAAAATACTCTGCACAAGGAAGGTCTCACGGCAATAGACCCTTTTCATGTAGAAAGATGTTACTACAATTACCTCTAAGCTGAAGTATGTAAAAACATAAAGGCAAAAGTGATGTGACCAAAACTGAATATAGCTGAATTATTAGATTAGAAATGCTTCTTTTTTAACGTAATATTTATACATTAATTTTTAAATACATTGATTTTGAATTTATAATATTTTACCTGTATGAATTAGTAGTGAAGGATGGTTTGATGGAAATGAGCTTTAAAATGAAAAGTAATTTTGCATAAGCCATACATATACAAGGCTTTGAAAATAGATTTTTCAGATGCATGTTTAAAACAGTGCCCCACACAAAGCCTTTCTTTTGGGAAACATCAAAGGAATATTTGGCTTCCTTGATAAAGCAAAACTGTGAAAATGTCTATACCTTCAGTCGTTTTATCAGCAATCCCAGCTTGATTGTCATAGTCTTCTGGCTTTGTTACCACCATGGATGTCAGTGGTGTTACAAACTTGTACTTTAGTGAGAGATCCAGGACTTCAGCTGTAAGATTCTCCTTTTCTTCTCCAGTAGCTGCAGTGCTGAATACAGGGAGAGACTCCTGACATCAATGATTGCTAAATTACTGACTGAACTCTAATTTACATACTTTTCTTTAAAGCAAAATCATTTCTCTGCAGCTAATTTACCAGGAAGGTGTATTTGTTACAATCTAAAAGTATTTCTGATTCCCTTGGCTATCCAGTGGAGAAGGGCAAAATTGCTTTATATTTGCAGTAATTTAAAATAATGTAACTTGCTACTTGAAATAGGAATATTGAGGTTGGGGAGGAGAAGAGGAAATAGTTGTAAATTGCAGCTTTACATCCTAGAAGTTGCACTAGTCACGTGGCTTAATAGTTTCATTGAAAATGCAGTTCTAGATTTAATTACCGTTTTTCCAGGAGTTGTTCAATTGTGAGATAAGCCCAGAGCCTTTCAATGTAATCACCAAATATGTATTCCTGTTCTTGGAAAGCTTTAGCTGTTTGTTCTGCATCTTGTTGTGTAGTAAATGACAGGACATCATTAGCCTATTGGAAATAAGGAAACTTAGCAGCAGCATAAGTAGCCAGAGATATCCAGAACTTTTCAAAATCAAGACCTTCACACCTGGTTCATATTAGAAGTAGACCTCTATATTTAGAGGAAGGCATACCAAATATTCAGCTGTCTTGGCCGTCAGTTTTCCTCACTCAATGAAGACTATTGCCTGTGAACACTAAATATCCTACCACCAGATAGGATTCTTAGGCAAGTAACCTGCAGTTGCAAAATTAATGCCTTTAGTGCATTTACTTGTTCCATATGTAGTAATACATCTTTCCACTGAGATAAAGACATACCTGTAAATATTTCAAGTTTTGCCAGCTCTGAATACTTGGATATTTTGCATAGCATTTATTTAACCTTACTCAGTTAAATACATACATACTTACACCTTCACCTTTCACATCTACAGTCAAACTGTTTTGGTTGATGTCTGCAAAGCGTCCAGCCACCACAATCTCAGACCCATCATAGAAATGCTTAAAACTGTTTTTAGTTAAGCCTGATATTTCATTTTCTGGGTAGTGTAACTCCACATCCATGAGCATGGGATTGGACACCTCATCATAAAAACCCTGCAGGATAAAAACAGAAAAACATCTATTTTTTTTATTTATTTCAGTGGTAGATCTGTACTCAGACATGTCCTACTATTTCAGTAGTAAAAACTTAGAATGTATTTTAGAATAAATATGTAAATATTCAGTTAAATCTCAGAGCACAAGGCCTAAACATCTGCAAAAAAGGCAAATGAAAAAGAACATATTGACCCTTCAAGCCTCACTAAGACAGAGGAAAAATATTCAAGAACAACATGCTGTGGATGATGAGTTCAATCAGTGTTAATCAAGAGGAATCTCAAGATCCTCCCGTTAGATAAAAGTGTTTCTAGACCTATTCCCTGAAAAGACTGAAATCATAACATAAACCAAAGGAGACTAGGTATTAGATTTTGACTGAGCTTGTAATGAAAACCAGTATAAAAATTATTTGGTCAATCCTTCCAATGGATGGTATTGCATGTATTGCAATGGATGGTATTGCAATCTTTCCAATAGATGGTATTGCTATAAAATGCTTCAGAAGTATGGTAAGGTACACCTGCTTGCACTTGCTGGACTCTTAAACTCTGTCGTTCTCCTCTTCTCTTATGACATTAACCACATGATCTGTGGGGTATGGGAGACAGATACAGTGATTGCAGCAATTTTGCTTATATGATTTGGCACACAACAATGTGTCCTTCAGAACCATGTCTTCTTCCACCCTTTGAACACTCTTTCATAGCCTAGGGACTCATCTCCCTTTTACAGTCCTTCCACTTTCTCCTTTTATAAAGGAAATTAAATGCAACCAATATTCTGATTACAGCATATTCTTGATTGTGTCAGTACCAGAGTACACTTTGGGCTTTTTGTTTACTTCAAAATAAGAAATATCTGTATATTTACCTGAATTAATACAACTCTCATCTAATTTAAATTGGAATTACTGTACCTGAAGTTGTAAAGCTGAATCAGAGTCAGGATAAATCCGACGGGCCAATCCTTTATTTTCTAGTGCCATTTTCTCTAAGAAACCATAGTCAACACCATAGCCAAAACCAAGATTGTATAAAGGGTATTTTCCTTCAATGGCTTTTTTCACATGTGTCCGAATGTCCTCAGTATTTGATATGCCTACATTAAACCATAAGAAAGGTTAAGTTTCTTCATAGTTAGATAAAATGAAATGTAATTAGTGGTGTTTGGATTTCTTAAGAGGCACTATCAAAGAGCTGATTAGTGGCATGAAGCTGGTGTAGCAGCAATTAAATAATGAAAAAAAAAACACCGCATCAAAAGTCAAAGATGATAGAAAATTTAATTGAGTGGGTTTTGTTAGTTAATTCAGTCTGTTAACAACACAAACTTACCTACATTTGGTTGGCCATCTGTTAACATGATAATTATAGAAGCACTTCTCTTGGGCACAAACTTTTCTTCATGAGCAGCATTCAGTATCTCAATTCCTTTCATCATACCACCATATAAATTTGTCACTGCAAGGTAGACAGAGAAATTTGGCTTCAACAGAGGCAGTCAAAATAAAGGACCATTTTTCACAGGAATCTGACAAGATGTCACTACATTATAAAGAGGAAAGGTGTAGGTTTGCTAGCAGGAGGATGTTTAGATGCAAAAATAACCGAGCTTTGGAAACATAAGGAAAAATAGATATGCACCGAGCCAATTTTAAGCTCAGGAGTGTCCCATTAGTAATAATTTTTAAAGAAAGATGTAGTATTGTGTTCACAGACTGAAATGATAAATTAACTTACTCAATAACCTATTAGCAACTCCGGTAAAGTACTTACTGCCTTCAGTGTCAATGCCCCGAACGAACTTCCTTGCTTCATCCAAATTTTCAGGAGTGGCCTTGATTAATTTTTCTTTCCAAGTGTGTACATCACTACCAAACAGTATGAAATTGAAGAAATCATCATCTCTAATGTCATCTAAGATTTTTAGAAGTGCTTCTCTTGTCTATAAGAAGAAGAGATTTTAACATATAGTTCAACTGTAGAGAAATTGGTGCTTGTAGGTGTTACATGCCTTATCTGTCAGGTACTTTTTTCTTTTGTTCCTTTTACACAGAATGTTTTGCACAGGTTCTGAGCTTGTTCTATTCTGTCTAGTCCTGTGTCTGTTTCAGAGTAACTCTAGAGAAATCAGACAGTTGCAATTACATCTGGTAAATCTGTGTAGCTGAGAAGAAAATCAGGTCCTGTGTCAGATTGTTGAATGAGACAAGCTGGCATGGCAAATTTAAGGTGTTGGGAAATGGGCAGTTACAGGTTCATGGAGAAGTCCACATGTGAGAAGCATAGATATTTTGATTCAGTGCCAAAAACTTAAAGTTCTGAGCATTAGATTAGAGTGAGGAGTCCTAGCTATGAAAAGAGCTGCTGCTTCCTGGAGGAGACAGAATAAGCAACACAGATAATGCACATAATACCATAGAAGCATTTTATTTTTGGAACTGTACAGCACATATGAGATACCTCTCTGAAAACATAGATACCTGAATACTTTGAAATAATGAAATTTCTAAGTAAAATATAAACTTAATGTATAGAATTTTGTTCTACAGTAAGACATTGATCTAGTTTTTACAGTACAGAGACTTAGCAAGGCTGCAGCATAAAAGCACTTAGTGTAACTTCTTCACCCTAAGTCACCATGTCCCTTCCACCACAACAGAGACTCTTCCATCGGGACTCGATAGTAATGTAATAACTTACCTGTTCTATTTCTCTTCCAGACATTGAGCCACTAATATCTATTACAAAAATAATATTCTTGGGCAACTGTGGAAGATTTGTTGGTGCAAAGAAGTGTACAAAGTAACCATTAACAATCTAAAAAAAAAAAAAAAAAAAAAAAAAAGATAAAATGTTAACAAACCAATAGCTTTTTTATATTACAAAGATAAAATGGATAAAGAATAAATTATTTTGATTTAATCTGTAGCTCTTGAGTGGACTAACAGGCTTTAATAGCCCTGACCAGTCTCGCCTCTGTCTGTCCATGGACCCCATTGATCTGTATCCCATCCTGACTGACTTTCCACCTTCACCTCGGACTGCCTCATCACCACAGATATGCCTGATGACCTGGACTCTTGTCTGAATTTGAATTCTTTTTCTGGGTCTGCCTTGCTCAGGTTCTGTGGGGACTGGGCTCTTGGGGGCTGAAGCTGTGTTGTCACAATCAGCTCCCTGCCCTTTAGGGAACAACTGGCTTTCACTTCTCCTTGACGTTTACCATGCAAGCTAAGACCATTCAACAGTGCAAAACTGTCAGCTGTCAAATTTACCTGCAAATTATCTGGAGTTGTTCTCTTCACATCATATTTTACAGTAAAATCTCCATCCAAGAGAGACTGCGAGCAATTTGCACAGGTTCGCTGCTGATCAAGAGTTGGCTTGAAAGAAATATGCCCCTGAAAAGAAAAACCTTCAGGAGATCTGAATCTTAGCTGAAAACTTTTACAAAACACAAAGAAGTTTGTAATTTCTTAAGACTGGTATATTTATATTCACAGACATGAGAATATTCTGTTTCATCTATTGAGGTATTAGTTTTTATTCATATTTATTGACGGGTAACTGATATCTCAGGGCTGCTACCTAGAGCTCTCCATATGTTTTCTTCCTCACCTTCCTTGGTTTAGCCCTCCATGCTGAATGATAGCTTTGATAAGGCTGTTGGGCAGTCTATGACTTAGGACTTCTCCTACCATCTCCATACATGAGAAATCTACTTGCTACTGACTTAGTTCTTCCATAGGAAATACTGAAGCTGGTATCCAGGTTTACAACTGCTGCTGTGGGACAAGGCCTGCTGCTCTGGGTATAGTTCCATGTTAGTAGCTGGAACTAAGTGGCTTCTGAACTGCATGGAGATGGCCTTGCTAGCTTGGAATTCACAGTTAATTTGCACAGACAAGCCTTTATTTTTTATCCACTCACTTCCATTGCTAGCCATTACAGCACTTTTGCACTTATAGTATTATTTCAGAGTTATAACTATAATAAATAAATTATGGAAGGCATTAGGCATTGTACCTTTTTATCTGAAAAAGTTTTTTTAATGACATTTTGCAGATCATTGGTGATGAATGTTCCTTCCGCTTCCAGCTCAGTGATGCCTTGTGGCTCAAAGATACTTATATCAATCTGAAATATTAATTGAAAATTATTTTTATTGACTCTCCCACAATATATCAATTTAGTCATTTACAGGAAGGTCAGAAGGCAATTATGGGTATGAAAGAGAGATTTTCTTAAAAGCAAAAGAAATGTATTTTTGTAATTTACAACAGAAGTCCAAAACCACACTTGTGTGGATACGCTATCAGCCAAACATACCTTTTCCTACATAGAGATTAAAAACAAAATTAGAAAGAAAATAAACATTTATGCTTTTATGAAAATGTAACTCATTTGAAAATTAGTTAGTGGAATTCTGTCAAATGTCAAATAAATACCTAAGTCCTTCTAAAATATAACCCTGTCATTAGCTGTGAGCCATGCCTACCTTTGACATACATTTCAGTGTACCTTTTATCATATTGTGTTTAAAATAATGCTTTATGAATTTCCAGGTGCTGAGTTTTGTAATGATTTTTTACACAGATTTTTCTGAGCAAATAAAGGAGAAGGAATTTGCCTGAGGAATGGTTTTTAGCAAGGTAGAGAGAAGTGATCAGACAGTTTGGGCACGCAAAAGCAATGGTCTTCAAGAATACAATATATATGTATCACTGCAATTTAGCATGATGTAGTTTCACGGTGGTATGAGAAAGGCATAGTTTATGCAATGAAGGTATTTTTAAGAGCTATTCTGCCCCAAGGCAATTAAAATGCCTTGGGCTTTTCAGTTTTCTGTATATCATTAATTTTGAAGGCTTAATAGTTGAGCTAACTTGCCAGGCTTACAAATAAAAACCTGCAGTAAAGCATGTTGGCAGGGACTCCCCAAATGGTTCACTGGAAATGTTATCATGGGCCTTTAGTTCATCTGTGGGCCAGTGGGAATGACCGTGGTACTCCACTTTCAACAGAATCTCAACATCTTTTAAGTTACAGTATCCAGTTTGACACAGATTGACATCTACCTCAAAGTCTTTGACAAGCTGCTTCGGTTTTACTTTGATGAACATCTCATATTTTCCAAACTGTCGCTTCAGCAGTTCCTCATATGTGAGTTCAAAAGTGACTTTACTGGCTGCTGCAATGTTGACTGAAACAGTGAACTTTTCTGTTTTCCTTCCTGAAGCCCTGTATTTAAGTGGGTAAGAAGAATATTATCCTTTTTCACAGTATTTACTGCTTGGGTTTGGTTGGTGCAGGAGTAAAACAAAGATGGGAATTTTGATGTATTGCTAAAATCATGGTCAAACAGTGTAGAATTTATTTAAATTTGCCAATGAACTTAATCCCAGGAACAGATCATATGCAGTTAGCACAAGCTGCAGAAACAGTTTATCCTTAACTGCAGATACAGCCTGTTCAGTCAGAAGTTGTATTTCTTTCTTTATAATTAATATTACAATAACTCTAAATTACTTGTTCTTTTCCTTTGGTCCTGTAAAAAGCAAACTTCAGAAATATGCCAGAACAAGGTATTACAAATCTCACAATTTGCTACAGGATGATGGTGTGGGAGCCACACCAGACATCATTCTTACTTGACAAGACCAGCAGTCTGTCCCTTTGAAACAGCTTTCTCATACTCCTGTTTGGCAGCTTCTTTTTCTTTTATATATCCAGGGTAAGTGACACCATCAATTGTCCTGCAGAAAAATTGCCTGGTTTAGCTGAATGGTTTGCACTGATACACGAAAAGTTATTATAGGCAATTCTCTGTTTATTTATTGGTTTGCTAACAAGTATTTTCAGGAACGTGGTATTGCCAAGATTTGAGCATTTTCAATGAAACACAAACTAGCCTTCTCAGTGACTTCAGCTTGAATGAAGAGCTCTGTGCTCAGTACCTCAGAGAAACTAAAGCAAAATTTTCCTTGAAAATAATTAGATCAAAACTGGACTAATAGCAACACTGCTTATACCTTTTGTATTCCTACACTTTAGCAAGCTTGGTCATCTCATCTCATCTAACAGAAAGCTGTCTACAGCTGAACATTTCATCCTTAGACTCCTTACACCATTAAGCAAGCATTTTTCACAGGGGATTAATCTCATCCTAAAATAAAAGGTCTAGCATGACTTAGAGTGATTGTCCCCTAAAAGCAACTGTTTCTTTTCACTGAAAATAAAACAGGCATAGTGTCATTAGCAGAGATGGATGTGTTTAAACTGAATTAAACTTCAAAATGGTGCTAAAATTGCATAGTATTGCAACTAAGATAAAAATGTAAGGGAATGACTTCATCTATTTCCTGTTTTTAATTCAAATTTGATTTCAAAATGAAGAGAGAAATTAAAATATAATGCCATTGGGGAAATTAAGTAATAGAGCTTTTCTTATTTGATAAGATCATAGTAAAGTAAATAGTATTTCTGAAAAAGTGAATGGATCTCCAGATAAGATCTTCCATTCCCTAAGGTCCATGATGATGAATAAATACAATCAAAACTGAGTCATCTTTTTAATAGATGTACCAGTGTTTGCCTTTCCCTAGGTATCTTACATGTTAAGTTAATAGTATCAGAAAATTGCCCTGGGGACATTTAGAAATCAATCAAATAGCAAATTAAAAATGAATGCTTTTGGTTATTTTTTTTTCCAGTTGCATTTGTACAGATTTTGAGTTTACTCTAGTGATATTTTAAAAACTACACACATGCTGAAGTTGGTAATGAAGGCTGTTTTAGGGAGTTCAACATCAAAGAAGACTTCTTTGTGCACATTTCCACGATTGACAGCTCGACTGGTGATGACATTGCGGGCAAATCGGGAAGTTACTTTACTGTCAATTTTCATGCTATAGATTTCTATCCCATTGACAACCTGTGGATTGAAAAATGAAAAAAAGAGCTAGCTGTTATACTGATGTCTGTGTTAATCAGCCATAATAACATTTTTTAGAAAGAAATCATTGCAGGATAGTCTGTCATTCCAAAGTGAAACAGGAAAAACCTAATGCTAAAAAACAGGACACAGCTGTGTTTCCTTGGGTCTGTCACACCACCATGGTGGTGGTGTTCCAGGAGTCATAACAATAGCCCCTTTAACAAAACATTGCCACCACAGCAAAGATGCTACCAGTGTAAGAATTGTTTGTTGTTATTGGTGGTGGAGGTGGTGTGGTTTTTTTTCTTTTCTCTCTCTACTGAGACTGTGATTTTTGTTTGTGGTTAGTCAGAGACAGCACAACCAATGTACAGCTGCCTCACTGCCTTCGTAACTGTTATAATCAATTGAGTGGCTGACCCCCAGAGCAGGGGCATAGAGTCATCTCATGTAAAAATAGACCTAACCAGTTCCAGATGAGCTTCAAATTCCATTTTGTTAGCCTCAATTTTCTCATAACTGGGGCTTATTTGCCTTTAAGCAAGAAAACAAGTAGGGCAAGACTGAATTTCTTTAAATGCTCAGGTGTAAGGTTGCTGGAGACTATATGAAAACACAGGCAGCAGCAGATGTGCCTCCTTAGGCAAGGAGGCAATAACAAGGTCTGCTTCCTGCAACAAAAGCAGCACTGTCAAGAAGCTTGTGGTTGTTATGCTAGGCCTGATCTCTGGCTAGTTGATTAAAAGGTCTTCCCAAAATCAAAGCATTTAGCACTGCTGAAGTGGCATTCAGATGACAAGTGGAATCAGCCTCAGAAATCTGGTCTCTTGTCCTCCTTACAAATAACAACATAAAACCAAAATGTTTGTTAGAGACACGGAGGTGACTTCAAACAACTTTGCTATCTATTAAAATATAATAAGAGGTTACAAAGAATTTTATAATTCTTTTTCCATCTACAGGAGTTTCCATCAGAGCTTGGAAAAGAACAGCCTCATTAGTCCTGCTGCCTAAAACAAGCAACTCAGGGCTCCTCCCCATGTCGCACACACTCAGAAATACGTTTGCTCAGACTGGGCTCACAGAAATATGCTGTGAACACCGTAAGAATATTCATGTTACCATGCATCTTTCACCATAGACTGAATGGAACCAAGCCATCATAAAAGACAAGACTACTCACCAAGTCATTTTCAGCATTTCGCTTCTGTAACGAGAAAAAATGGGAAAAAAAATCATGACTAAGGTATGACAGCTGCATTTAGACATCTTGTTCATGGGAATTCCTGTTGTCAGGACCTGTGGTGTATACATTTTGTCTTTTCAAACTAATTCTCCTTTGGAAGAAAAAAAAGGCTTGTATCATAGCATAAAAATTGGTTTGCACATTTTTTTCCAGTCACACACACATCCTACTTATCAGGCAGACTCAGACTGCTTCACCCCACCAGCCTCTGATGCTAACACAAATACATAAGATGGCAATTCAGCAGGCTCACAGAGAGAAGGTCACTATGAAAGGCTGCAGGGAGAAAAAAAAAAACAAAAAAAAAAACAAAAAAAAAACTGGTAGATTTTTTTTTGTTTCCATGTGTTTGCTCTCACAATGAGTGCAAATATCAGAAGCCCTACAAAAATATCGTGTACTCTCATGATCTGAAAGAAAGACCAGGTTTCAAAAATTCTTGCAGGATCATGTGAAAATAGCAGCTTGCACAACACAATTCCTGTAAGTGTGGTTGTAATGCGTTATCTCTTTTGGCTCCAAGAGGGTCACATTCTGTGCAAGTTGTTTTTTTTTCCATGTTTACATGCTCTACCAAATAGAGAGTTAAAGATGCAGAGATAACAAGTCAGATGTATATCTTGGGTACATATCTGGTTACCCTGCTTTTGCTACCTTTCACATTTAGGTGTTCTACAGGTTGGAAATGGAGACACAAAGGATTTTGTTATTGCTGTTTATTGTTTTTTGGTTTGTTTTGCTTTTTTTTTTTTTTTTTTTTTTTTTTTTCCCAAGACATTACGTTAAATCAATGGTAATACAGAGATTTGGGGAAGACTGAGCAAAGAATCTACAGTTAATTTGAAACGACCTCCAGCAACACACAAGACTGAATGACGTATTTGTGTAAATCCCTATGCATTGCATAGGAAAAATAAGGTGTGAAAATGATTTTGAAGTCACCAGCAACATTAAAGATTCCATCATTCCAAGTGACGCTGAATGGAAACCACATAGAAGAGAGAATAACGCAACTAAGCTCTGAAAACAGAACTTCCTTGTGACCTTTCTAGGAGTCTCACTGCTGCCAGGATGAGAGGGTTATGGAAGAAAAGCTGTGTCACCTAGAAATACATATTCAAATCATGTGCGCATGCTTTGAATATGTAGTTATAGGGATAGTTTTATTTCTAGAAAGAAAAAAATCCTACCCTTAATGGCTTTGTATATAGGAACAAGATGTACAAGTGTACTTAGGGGTCTTTGATTTCGATTTTTTTCAGTTTTCAGCTGCTTGGCTCTGCCAATTGTGTTTATCTGACTATGGCTTTAAAAGCAGCTTTGAAAGCCTGAAGATTATCAGCCATGTACCAGAGAGACTCCTAGCCACGCTTTGTCACTCATCACTAGCATACCACCTGCTCAAAGGAGCTAAGACAGGGTTTGGGAGAGAGGCCTTCTCAATATACAGCAATCTCCCATTTCAACAAAATTACATTTGCATAAAGTATAGAAGTATAGAACTGGGAAAATTGACCATTTTTTTCTGTAGTGTTCTGCATGTACAGGTGGAACACAGCACAGGGCTTTGACCCTTTCCTTTAGGAAAGCTTTAGCATTGCAAGACATATAGAGAACAACAGGTAGTATAGTAATCAGGAGGAACAAGCTACCTTATATCTGGGCTACATGTAAGATAAATAATAAGAACTCTTGGCATTTGTAATTTTCAGCTATAAATCTCAAGCTGACTTCAAAAAGATAGACATATTATTATCCTGATTTTCAAAGAAAAAGTTTTGGCAAAGACCATAACCTCATCAACAGAAACTGACGGTAAATTGCTTTGTCCTGTTCTGCCCACTAACCAACAATGTTCCCTGAGGAGATCTGCCCTCTGTAACTTATGCAGGCTTTAATTACTGAGACACAGGAAATAATTTACTGAGATGAGGAGTAGTGGCCTGCAACTTAACTGAAAAAAATTAGGCAGAATATCAGAAGCACTGCCTTACTCAGCGATCTGTCAAAAAAAAAAAAGAATCTCGGACACAGATATATTCCATGTTATGCTCCCATAAATCTTAAACAAAATCATACTATGTCACTTGGACCATGGAGATGTTTATCTGGATGTCCTGTTATACCTCTGTTACATTTCTTTTCGAAGGCATCTTTTCACTGCTATTTTGCATTTCTATACAGGTACTATATAGTAGGTTCAGTTGCAGCACTAATTGCACACATCTAAATATAAAAGCTCTAAAACATTTTACCATTACATGGTGATGAAAAGGAAAACAGAGGAAAGTGATGTTTTAAAAAAGACAGGAGAGCTTCTTCAGAGCTAATTCCAAACTGGGGCTGATTAGAGGCAAACCATTCTGAGTCCCAAGTCTGATCTTGTGTTCACTGATAACAGAGAACACAAAGCTCCAGGTGGCACCACTGTATGAGCTATCTGGAAATTGTTCATAAATGGCAGGAAATTAATCTCCAAAGAATGGGAGTCGCACACATGGTTGATTACTTACCTTAATGTTTCTGACATGTGTTACCAAAAGGTCTGATGATGCAAAGGCAGGAATTGATAATAAAATACAAAGCAATAGACGGCTTTCCATTTTGGAAAAAAGTAAGATTCTAGTCTGAACGATACGCTTAAATAAATAATGCTTTGTTTACAGAGTGTTAATAGATAACCCTGTGTGAAAATTGGGATTAAACATTAGGCATACAGGAAAAATCAAACACTGAATTTTGATTTGCATGATCTACAGCATACTGCTACAAAACACTTGTGGGATGGCCAGCGTGAGAGTATGACTCTTCTATGTAATATCATCGGCAAACAGAAATTCAATAGCTATTTCTGTACAGGTGACTGATGTGAGAAGCAAAGTTGTTTTTTGCAATAGAAGGTGGTTTTGCAGTGGAAAATTACACTAACCTTGCATATTCAAACATGATTATGTGGCATAGCAGTGGGGAGTATGTTAAGCAGATAAGGGGAAGGTCCCACTGTCCCAAAATAAGGAGGATAGCTAAGAAAAACAAGATGAGGAGTATAAAATCAGTGAAAACAAAAATCATGGGCCCTCTAGTCACAAGAATGAAAAAAAAAAAAAAAAAAAGGAAAAAAAGGAAGAGGAGGAATTAACGGATTGTCAAATAAAATTGTACATATATGGTACAGAAGGGCATCAAGTAGGTTGGGAACCTGTCATACTCAGCCAGTGAGGAAACGGGAGAAAACAAGTGTCAGGTAAGAGGGAATATAAGGTTATGATAAACTTTTACTGTGCACTTCTGCTTGCAGGACACCTGCCATTGCAATTGTGAATAAAACAGCCAGGCTCTGCAAAGCACTGGGGAGAAGGGAGGCTACCACAGACACCTCAGACACATGACAGACACAGCACACAGTACAGGCACAGTGATAACTGCTGATAACCTGGACCGGGAATTCCGTAGTACTTGTACTGTAGTACCTGTAGTACTCAGCCAGTGAGGAAACGGGAGAAATCAGGTGTTGGTAATACGGAATATAAGGTTATGATAAACTTCTACTGTGCACTCCTGCTTGCAGGATGCTCGCCATTGCAATTGCGAATAAAATAGCTTCACAGAAGATCCTGTCCGAAGAAAATTATTAAGATTTTTCTCACAACTGATTTTTATCTTTCTGCTCTAGACTCACCCCTTTTTCTGGACTAAAACTGTGTACCTTCCTAAAGGCTGTCACTGCCTCAAATTTATCACAGCTGTAACAGGGTGTGCTGTCTCTTGAACCCATTTATGCTTCTCTTCAAAAACTACCTTTTGTAATCCTGCATATCGCTCAGGCACCCACTTCTGGTATCATTATTTGACACACATCCTAACTATCCCAGAAACTTAAAAGTTAATGCTTTCTTACTTGTCCTGAAAAAGAAAATTCATCCAGGCTGCAACTCTAGTCCAAGCTCGTAGTTCTTGCATCTCACACAACTGATACCCATTTTCAGCCTTTGGATGCAAGGTCCGTTTTCTTTGTTATCTTGACAGAGTTAATTCTCCATCTTCTGTTTTCCTCTTTTGTGTTACGTGAAACACAAACTTCAGGGTCTGTGAGGTAAATTTTCAGTAATAATAATAGAGGTAAAATAACACAGTGTCAAATTTTAAGAACTAAAGTTAACTAGACACATGAATGAACCAACAACTGAAATGTACAGAACTGACTGCCAGCAAAACCCATCAATTTGCATTTTGCTAGGTCAGGCGGTTACTATGGCAGGGGAGGTGTTGCTAATGGCAAAATTAATTTTCCTTTCTATGCTGAACAATGGCATTCAGCCTTTCCCTTCACCCTGGGGTACTTTCTGTTTTCCCTGCAGTTAGCTTTTTGAGGTGTGAGAGGAACGCTAGGCAAGAGGGCACTGAGCTCCTTTTAGACCACTCTGGAGCTTTCTCAAGCAAGTCTCTGTCCCATCCAAAGGTGATGTTGTGGCTCTGTGGGGCAGCTGTGACCAGGCAGCCCAGCACTCAGGCAGCACACTGCTGATCCCAGAGCACTATTACTGAGGGACCAGCTTTACTCCTCACGTTTAAAAAGCGGCGAGGCGAGCCTCGCACATCCCCCAGGCCTCCTGCCCGCTCCTAAGATGGCCGCCCCACCCGCTTCCAAAATGGCTGCGGAGCACTCGCCCCGCGGGGCGTCGCTATGGCAGCGGCGGGCGCGCTGCCGGCCGGGCGGGCCCGGGCGGCGGCACCGGGCGCTGAGGGGGACCAGGGCGGTGGTGTGGCGGCGGGACCATGCCCCTGGCTGCCTACTGCTTCCTCCGGGCCGTGGGGAAGGGCAGCTACGGGGAGGTGAGCCTGGTGCGGCACCGGCACGACAGCAAGCAGGTAGCGAGGGGCCCGGGCCCGCCCTGAGGGGAGCGGGGGGCTGGGCCTGGCTGGGTTTGCTCCCTTGTGCATGGAGTCTTTTAGTAAAAGTTTAAAGAAGACGGTTGGCTGGTTTGTGTAATGTAAACAAACACAATAATCTAAAAGTTTTTTTTTTTTTTTCTTTCTTTTTTTTTTCTTTTTTTTTTTTTAATGCCTCATTTTGGGGAGGAAGACCTTCATCTGGTAGTCAATTAAATACACGCGGGTCTGTTTAGCACAGAGTACAGGAGGTTGCTGTTGGCTTGTTACTGTTAGCTTCTTCTCGTTGAGACTTGGAGGCGTGACAAATAAAAATGATAGTAAGGATGGATAAAGCTGGCGTTGGCTTTCCCTAACAGTCAGCTCTGCTGGAGGAAGACAGGGCTTGTGCTCGCTGTATTGACTGCAACAGAACCCAGCAAAGTTTTGGTCATGGCCCAGTTAAAGCATAACATTTTGTTGCACGCATTTTTGTTGGGTATTTGGCATAAATCTGGCTTGCCTGGCCAAAAAGGTTCGCAAGAAACTGCAAGAGGCTAAAGAAATGGGGATGGTGAGCAGCCACAGAGCAGTATGACGGAGGCCTCAGGCGTGAGCCTTGTGCCCAGGGTCTGGCAGGAGGTGCTGGGAGAAGCATTTGTGAAGATCAGCTCCTCCTTTTTGGGGGAAGCTAGGGAAGAGCCGGGCACTCAAAGGCAAATCCCTACCACCAGGGGGCTGGTGGCAGTGAGGGCAGTGCTTGCTCCCACCATGCACATTGTGGTGTCCTCAAAGGGCTGCTAACCTCACTGTCCCAAAAGTAAACAGTACCTGGAGGTGACTTTCTGCTGTACGCAGGTCCTTGGATTTCAACTCTTTGTCATGCTGATCGTTAACACTGGCAACAGCCTCGCTTCCTTATCGTTGGTATTTTAACTTAAATATTTGATGCGTTGTCATGTGTCTTATCTTGTGCCAACAGTGCTTTTATAAACATTTTTTTTCTCCAGCAGGATGAGTAGGATTTTTAGTTGTCACTTTTGCAGAGTGCTGTGTGTTCTCTGAAAAAAAAAATATATATATTTTGTTCAATTGTACTTGCTGTTAGATAAATGTTGTTTTTTGTTGAGGGGATTGAGTGGCTCCGGGTGTTAAAGCTTAATAAATAAATAAATCCAATTTACAAATAATTTGGTGTCAAGTAAGGTAGAAGAGCATTTCAATAGATTTTGTGGGAATCTTTCTAGAGTAATATCTTAATTAAACCAAATGCAGGCAATGCCAAATTTCAAGTTACGCTTTGTGTATATTTCTTGCATTTTCGTCATATGTAGTCTGGAGACAGAATGCTGAAATAAAGCTAAAAGCTCTTGCTTTCCATCCCCAAAGATAAGCTTTAGTTGGCTTGTCACATAGAACACAGTAGTTGCAATATTTCTATTTTATTTTAAACTTAGATGATGCAGTGCATGATTAGTTTTGTTATATTTCCCTTTGGAGCTGTGTGTCACAAGTTACAAGAATTGAGGAGCTTGTCCAGCAGACTTCTGAAGTGCAAAACCATGCTCAAAATTTGGAAGTACTGTTGCTTTCTGCGTAATTGGTTCCCTTGCTGTATAGGGGGTAGTCCTCCTCAACACTGATTAAATGTGCTGGACTGAGCTAATATGGCCCACCTAGGAAGTAGGTAGCCTAAGCAGTTGAATTAAACAGAACAGAAATTGAGTAAGAAAGTATTATTTTAAATGTTTTGAAATTAAAAACTCTCAGGTAAGAATGGGGTCAGGTGTGTATATACCATGACATGGCTCTTCCATGAGAAGCTGATTCCCTAGAAGTGATTACCACAAAATTTACATCAGAAAGGGGACTAGGTCAGCCCTAAATATTGGTGCTGTGTATGATTTGTATGCACCATGGATTTTATTGCCTCATCTTTGGCTTCAGCGATACTTCTGCTGAAATCTGATATTCTCTGCGAATATGTCTGTTGTAGTATATACTAAGGAGAATAAATAGCAGCTTTCATGAGACCTTGTGGCTCTTTTAGTGTGACCAAGGGACTTCCTTCTGATTAGTTTATTTTTGAATAAGTTTAAACCTGCATATACAGAACCTCATAAATGCAACAGATAGATAGTATGGTTATCTGATGACTAGGTCAAGTTTAACCTAAGTTACATCTGCTTTCAAGCGTGAGGGAATGTGTGTGTGTATATATACATGTATATATATATTTTCTTTTCCAGAGTAATCCTAATGGTACCAGTCCTCCTGACTGCCTCTCTGCTTGCTCCATTTCCGTTTGTGATGGAAGCTTTTCTCCTGTGGTTCACTGTTTTGTAGTCTTTGCTTTAGATTTGGGAATTTCCTAGAGTTTCTACATAGTAACTTTCATCTCTGATGATATTATCTTACAATTTCTTTTACAGTATGTCATCAAAAAGTTAAACCTTAAAAATGCTTCCATCCGGGAGAGGAAAGCAGCAGAGCAAGAGGCACAGTTGTTATCCCAGTTGAAGCACCCAAACATAGTTGCCTACAGAGAGTCCTGGCAGGGGGAAGATGGACTGTTATATATTGTTATGGGCTTCTGTGAAGGAGGAGATCTGTACCACAAACTCAAGGAGCAGAAGGGCAAACTTTTGCCAGAGAGTCAGGTGGTGGAATGGTTTGTCCAGATTGCGATGGCATTGCAGGTAAGATGCAAATAACTTCGTTATTTTAAGATTAAAAAAAATGTCTCTTTCTGCATTTAAAAATTCCACAGTTAGGCTACACAGTTTGAATTCAAGTCTGGCTGTGTTAGCATCAAAGTACAATGGTTATTAGTACATTGAACATGTTCATAGGGCATTTCAATCAAATTAACTTACTATTTTAGGTAAGAATTTGCTATCACATGTTATGTGTGCATCTCTTATCACAGTAGACAGTAGTAACCTCCACAGTGTTTGAAATTGTGGATCAAAATCACAAAATTTAGTGGTTTTTGTTTTGTTTTTTTGTTTTGGTTTTTGTTTTTTTTAAAAAAAAGCTTTCAGGAGTATGTTGTGTTCTGTGATTTCACTAGTGTTTTTAAATGGTAAATTTAAACTGCAAATTCATTTTTATTAAGTATTATCTCAGTAATATAAGTGGTGGTTATCATACTTTAATAGAGTAAAAAAGACAAGCTAGAATTATTAACACTGAGAGGTAAGAAATGTGACAAAATTCTATGTTAAAGTTGCCTCCTGTGGCCAGATACATGCACATCAACAGCAGTGCCTGTTTTTGCTTAATATAAGTCTAATCTTTTTCTTTATTTAGACAACATCACAATGTACATGTATTTTCTGCCAAAACTTTGTACTAAAGACTAAGCCATGTTTGTCAAGAAATGGAGGTAGCAGAAGTGTGTTAGAGTTTGAGCCTTAGCCTTACATTTTTATTTCCTTTTTTTTTTTTTCTGGTGCGTCACTAACAGCAGTCATTTTGCTTTTATAGGGATATTTGTGTCTTTGCTGTGTTTGTGTTTTCCCTCTTTGACTCTCATAACTTGATTTTAATTTTCAGTGGAGAAACACTTGTTATTTAACTCCATCTATTCTTTTTTCTTCCCCTCCTAGTATTTACATGAACAGCACATTCTGCACAGAGATCTTAAAACTCAAAATATTTTTCTGACACGAACAAATATAATCAAAGTGGGTGACCTGGGAATAGCCAGAGTGCTGGAAAACCAATATGACATGGCCAGCACTCTCATAGGCACACCGTACTACATGAGCCCTGAACTCTTTTCTAACAAGCCCTACAATTGCAAGGTACAGTAAGTTAATGCAAATATTGTTTCTAATTCATTAAGCAACTTATTTTGTAATGCCTGAGGATATTACAATCCTAAGTATTATTTTTAATTTATTACTGCTTTTGACTCTTTTTAATGTCCTCAGAGAAAAAATGGGAGAGAAATTGGCATGGACCTTTATTTCTGAAACTGTGTTTGCTGCAGTGGGTGACAATTACTAGCATGTGATACGTTATCACAGCCAAGGTGTTCAGCAGTCTGCCTGGACCTATAGCATACCAGTGTAAACAACACAGCTGTCTAATAGAGGCTAATATATTTTTCTAAATTATTATAGAACAGCCAGGAAGCTTTATGTTCAACAGCAGCATTAAAAAAATAAAATAGAGGAATGAGCAGCGTCACTGTGAATTTAAAATAAAATAAAATGTGCTTTAGAGCACATAAAATGTGCTCTAAAGAGCACAAGATTAATCAAGATTAAAAGAATGGGATTGAAGCCAAAAATTTACAATGAAATTTGTTCTTAATTAGTTTATTGCCATATAATAAGCCTCTCTGAAGACTTTTGAAGGTGATTAAATATGAAGATAAAACTTCTACCTGTATTACAAAGCTCCTAAACTCTTTTTTTTTCAGTCTGACGTTTGGGCATTAGGCTGCTGCGTTTATGAAATGGCTACACTGAAACATGCCTTTAATGCTAAAGACATGAACTCTTTGGCTTATCGAATTATTGAAGGAAAGGTAAAAATGTATAAAATATTTTTATCAGTGCTTGGATTATCTAGTATCTTGAGACAACTGTTTCCAATTGGAAATAAATATTTTGTGTACTGCATGCAATGTCATGTATTGTGTAAGACTGGTATTTCCTGGTGGTATATGATGTAATACAAGACTCGGGAAGGTAGTAACTTTTAGTTATTGCTAGGGTCTGTTACCCTTTTGTGCAATTACTGTACTAATGAATTTTCAGAGTTCTGAGATGATCGACTTATTCATTTACTTCTGGCTTAAACGTTGTACAAAGATTTACGTCACTGTTCACATGATGGCCATTTCCATGTTAGGTAAGACTTATACACCAAAGCAAGAAAGACATTTAAATAATGAAGTTAAAACAGATTTAATGTATATAAATCTCTTGCATCTATTCACAGAACTCTAACTGCTGATATCAATTTAAAAAAAAAAAAAAAGTAGAGAACACACTTGAAATTTCTATGTTCTGTTTGATGGGTAGTTAAGTACTTTGGAATCTATCATTGAATGAGTAATTGGACTACTTATGCTGAGTATCTAGCTGAATCTAACTGCTGTGCATAAATAAATAATCTAGCATTAGCCCCTGATGACAAATAAGTTAAATAATAGCAGGCTTCCTATTCCTTTTACAGCTACCACCCATGCCAAAGGATTACAGCCCACATTTGGTAGAAATCATACGAACCATGCTCAGTAAAAAGCCTGAAGAAAGGCCTAGTGTGAAAAGCATACTAAGACACCCATATATCAAGCACCAAATTTCTTTGTTTTTGGAAGCCACGAAGGCGTAAGATATTTTCATTTGAGTGTTTTTATACAAAATATTCGTGTTTACTGTTACCTTTGTTTTACAACTTTTCCTATTTTTTATAGCAGGATAACATTAGTTCTGTTGTGTGCAGATGCAAACCAATGAACATGTGTGTTTCTTTAGAGTCTTGGAGAAAGACGAGAGAGAATGGAAAATAGTTATTCTGGCAAATACAGACTAAATCTGTGCAATGGTTTGGATTGCATTGCTTATTCAGAGAAAAGGGGGGAAAAAAAGCACCAGTATTTTCAAGAAAGTGATGGGAAATACCCATCCTTCTGTTTGGTTCTTTGAGGCCCTTTATCATCTGGAAGTTATACCAAGTTCCTCTTGGTTTTCACTGATTTAATTATTTTTCGTTTTCAAGCTTGGTCAGTTATTTTACTGCATCCATATAGGAGTAGTCTTGGTGCTGTACAGAACAAATGTACGCTGCTGCTAGGGTCTGCATAGTGTTTATAAACTCCTTTTATGGAGGTGAAAATGAGCACATTGTACAAGGTCTGTTGAAAAAGTCTAGTATCTTGTATTCTGTGTATGTAAGCTGTTTGGATTAGATTTTTATTTTTTTTAAATTAGTATAAAGAAATACCTTAAGGTCTTGGTGGTGGTCGTTGACTGAGCAACTTTTATTCTTGTTTGTTCGCTTGTTTTTACAGGAAAGCAGCCAAAAGTCATAAGAAAACAGCAGATTCTAAACTTAAAGATCCTTGTTCTGTGGTCTCAGTAAAGAAAGAAACTTGTAACAGGAATGTGACACCCGAAAACCACTCCTTTGAGCAAGCCAAGAAATACAAAGTTGTAAGATATATTCCCTCCTCCCCACAATTTTTTTTTTTTTTTAAGAAAAAATACATTGAGAGATGTGTGTGTGTGTGTGTTTTTTTTTTTGTTGTTGTTGTTGTTTTTAAATAATATGGAATGTCTTGGGCATTCATGAAAACATGGAACTGATCCCTAGTGGTATGTAAAATTCACATTAATGAAGGAATAGTGTTCAGGCAAGAATGGAAGTAAATAAAAAGCTGTGGGTCAGTAAAACTAATTGCAATATCTTATCTATAAGATATCAACTAAACAACATGCAGGTTTTCATTTGTGGGCCATTATGTGAATTATTTCTATATGAATCTGCAGTTGTATTGATGTACTTAATTTTTGTATGCAGCATGTTTATAAACAAATATTTCTACATTTCTCATGAAGGATTTGAGGTTAAATATTTTTTCAAATATTTGATGACAAGTGGTAATCATTTTCAAATCTATATGGTTTTGACTGGAAAAAAAAATAATTATAGTTAGACCACAAAATTATTTATTGTTGGAGTTATTTCTGGAGGTTAGAATGAATCTTACGTTGTGATTAATCTTGTGCATGTTTATTTATTTTGTTTTGTTATTTTGGAATGGCTCTGTTATTGTGGGTTTAAGCTTACAGTGTAGAAAAACTGAATGTTTGGTGGAGTAGCTCTTGAAGAATTATTGGTACTTGTTGGCTCCTTCCTTACAGAGGAGCCAAGTGAATATAACTTTTCTTTCATGGTCCTGGTGAAATGTGGGTGTATAAGCCCATGCCTGAAATATATAATCTGAAATGCAGTCTATATCTCTTTAAAAACGTGGGTTGCAGCATTTTTGAAGCTCTTAATCTGTAATGGATGATAATTTCACTACAGTTCACATAAATTAGTATGTTAATGATGTTTCCTCAATTGTTTGGAATATACTTTCTTATGTGCATAATGCCCAAAAGGTAATTCTTATTTTTGTTTGTTTGCTTTTCTTGTAATTCTAGAATGAAGAAGACTGCATCATCAAATATAAAGCCACTAAATCTTGTGCCCCAGAGAAATCACCTGTTGAGTTGAAAACAAAACCAAGCAGTAATGATTCAAACAGCCTGGGAGAGTCTTTAGCTACAATCAGTGAAGTGAATATTGATATCTTAACATCTGAAAAGGGGACCTATGAAATTGAGAAGTGCGGCAGTGATCATATTCCTGAGAATAATAAAGCAAAATGTGTAAATGTTCCAGGGAATTCTAAAATAATATCTAGTAGTCCACCAGTTAAGACTGATGGACTACAGAAAAAAACAAAGCAAGCTTTTAAAGCAGAAAGTGCTGTGCCTAAGCTGTCGTCTCTTGCTGCTGTAGAAGATGATGATACTCTGAGACTCCTGCAGCCCATATCAGAAGACCAAAAGCAAACTGACCTGGTAATGCCTTCATTCTTACATAGACTTTGAACTGGATTTAACTAATTGTCAGCTGTTAAAATGGAGGGAGTGGCTGCTCAAAATAGTTTCCTGTCCAAGTAGGATGCTGATGATGCCGTTGTTGGGATGGTTTAAATAGTTGGGAGCCTTGACTTCAGCTTTGAAAAGGCAACATGGTGGAGGAGTTTTTGGCTTACATCTAGATGAGGGAGATGCTGTTTTTACAAGGAACTAGAATTTTCTATTCCAGCTGAGAAAAGAGGTGTCAAGAATAGTTTTAGGATATCTTTGTTCTGTGTTCTAAGTAGTCCTGGCTAATCTCTTGAGCTGGTCCTGATCTGGATGGGCAACTGGAGTAAACAGCCAAATAAGTGGGACTTCCAGAGGCTTTTCTTTTGCATTCACAATTGTTTTAGTACATTCACTGAATGGTTTGGATAGTTAAATGGGTAGACTTAGGCCTAAGGTGCAAAGAGAACAGAGGACGGATTAAACAGCTCTTAGAGTTGCTTCCTGATTTATTCCACATACTCTTTCTCCCCCTTTCACTTTTTTATAGTCAGACACTTAACGAAATGTTGAAGAAGGCTGGAAAAAAAAAAAAAAGGATGAGGAGTGGGAGAGAGATTGAAGGCAGACAGGTGATGAAGAGATGGGAAGAGGCATAAAAGAAAGGAGAAAGGAATGGTGATATGGAAATCTGGAAGATTTTGCTTGCCTGCTTTCTTTCCTTTCTCTTGAAGGCAGGATGTTTCCTGATGTTCTTAATTTCATTTATTCTTTCACTGTTCATGAAAATGTTGGTGGTTTGTAAAATCAGTGTGTCTAAAGAAATGTCAACTTCTTTCTAGGCTTCTGTAGTGCTGTTCTTTAGATAGTAACTGTCACAGAAATGCTGGCTAATTGTTTTTAACCTGTACTCTTTTCCAGTGTTAAAGGGGTCTTCTGAGACAACTGGGAAAAGTCTTGATCTCATCCTACTGAATCTCTAAAGTATCAGTTATAAACACAGCTCTTTCTCTCATGTCTTATACTTTGGATTTAAAGGTCTTACGTCTGTTCCTCTGGCTGTACAGCTGTCACTTCTGCATAGTCACTTGCAGCTGTTCTACTTTAGATGATGATTGCCTTTTCTTTACCTTTTGATCTATAAAATTTTCATACACACTTTTCTAATGAGAAATCATTACCTATTGCAGAGTTTGGATTCTACTGAAAAACTACTAGCACCATTTGTTCCTGTTGTAATTCAGGTAAGTGTCCTTCTTTGCAGGTTTTGTACCTTAAAAATACTGGTACAGCAGATATTTTTTTCTAACTGTCTGTCAAGGGTTTATTGTGATTGCACCTGTGGTATGTTAAGTTGGATGTAGTCCAAGTAGTAAAATGGCCTGTCCTGATTTTTTTCATTATTTTTGTTTTTTAAGAAGTGCCTACATTTTGAAAAAATACTTTACCTTCTTAGGATGATGTCTGTCATGGAGCTTCAGGAGATGCTCAGGAAAAAATTACTTCTCAGTTACAGCCTCATAGTTCTGCTCATGAACCCTCTCTCTCACGGCAGCGACGGCAGAAGAAAAGAGAGCTAGCTGAAGTCTGTTCAGAAAAGGTGCAGAAAATAAAGATGATAAATCTGAATTCTCTCTCCTTGAAGACTATTTTACTCTTTAAAAATGGTACTCTAAAAAAAAAGTGTTTTATGCTGTGCTTGTTTTATGTGCATCTGTGTAATTTCACTGATAATGAAATGCAGAACACTCAATATGTCCTTTATGAGCAGCCTTTGAAAACCTCAGCAAGCCTCACATGTGTGAGTTGGGCACATCAGATGGGTGCAAGGGAGCAGTGAAGTATTGTCTTTGCCTTTGCTGTGCTACAGTTTTTTCCTAGCAATTTCTGTTGGGACTTCCCAGAATGTTTGTGACTACAGAATACTCAGCAGTACATTTCCTGGCTGTTCATATAAGGCTGCTTGTAGCAAGCAGAAGACTACTAGTACTTTAGACAAGACACAAGTAAAGGCTGCCCTAGGCTTATGAGTGCAAACTGTAAAATGGAAATGTTGGCCCTTAACATGTGCACCTAAGACAGATCTCCTGTCAGTGCTTCCACAAGGAGCAGAGAAACTTCTTTGTGGAAAGGCATAGTATGAAAAATAGTCTGGGAGGAGGGGAATGAAATTTAGGGATGGAGAGAAGGGAAGTGGATGCAAGCAGAAGTGTAGAGAGGGAGAGATGAAATTAGGAGTTGTGAAGAGAGGTATCAGTAGGATCCCAAACCTCTGTCATCCAGCCTAATAATGCAAGAATGTCTTTAGTTTGCAGAAAACTTTTAATTAAAAACAACTATAAATTCGTGCTTGTTTCTCTTTCAAGTTCAGAGCAGCTGCTCATCAGCCTTCACCTTTTCCGTCCAATGTGAATGCAAAGACAGTACAGAGATGTGCAGAGGAGTATTGTGCTGAAGTCTCTGAATCTGTAAACAGCACCAAAAACAGTCAAGTTGCCATTTCAAAGGTTAGTTCTAAATACTGTGACACCATATTTTTGTCTCTCATTGCTTTTGAGCAGATTGTTCCTGGAGTGCATGCACAGTGAGTAAAGAAATAGATAGTAACTTCCTACCTGATGAGACCATCTAGTCCATATTGGATGAGAGGCTTCTGTGTTGAAAAAGGGAGTTCACAGGCTTCTTTTCTACAGTGTACATTAGTCTTGTTTCTATAACAAATAATACGGCATTTGTTAGATAATGAGAAGGTCTACTCTAGTAGGTCTTCTGCATCAGTCGAAGGAAGCTTTTTGTTGTTGTTGTTTTATAGCTGATAGATAACCAAAGCCATCGTGACAATTGCTAATTACTGTCAAATTAACTTATTTTAAAGGAGCGGCCCTTGTCAGCAAGAGAACGAAGGCGGCTAAAACAGTCTCGGGAAGAGATGTTTCCCTCTGGTAATTTTTATGTTTGCATGTTAGATCAGCTGATAACTTCTCTGAGAAGAAATTCTAACTTGCTGTCAGTTCTTCACTAACATCTTGAGAAAGATGCACTACGGGTGTTAGTTCTGTGTCAAATAAAACATTCTGTTAACATCTCTGTATCCTTCTAATTCTTATTTAGTTGTGTTTGTTTGTGCCCAGTGGTGACAACTTGTATTTGAAATGTATCTGAAGCACGGAATATACACCTTTCAGATAGAAGCTTCAGTGTTTTCTGTTAGCAGACTACCTACCTGCCTGTCTTTTCCCACGTGATAGACTTTTTCTTGCATGAGCATGAAACTAATTCAAAATACAAGCAGCTAAGTTATAAATACTGTAAAAATGTCATCCTTTCAGTGATTCCAGCAAGACGAACAGCAAATAGTGCAGTAGTTGAAGGAAAATCACAAACGGAAAATCATGTTAAAGTTGCTCAGTCCTCATCAGATCCCAGTATTTCTCAGGTAAACTGGGGTCATCTGCTTTTGAAATATGTCAACACAGGCACAATTCGGGAAGAAAAATAAAAGAAAAATGTCAGTCGATAAGAGTGCACATTTCTCTGCATATATTGCTTTATATGGCCTTGGGAACAGTATAGATCTGTAATCTGCCTTTTTGTTTGGCTAGTTCAGCTTAAAATTCCAGGCCTGCTGTGCATTTTCACTCCACTTGTGAGATCCCTCAGTCTTTGTCCCTCACAGACAGGGCTAACTGTTCTGGACTGTCTGAATTGCACTGTTTGTTTCTGTTTGTTTTTTGTTGTTGTTGTGTTTTTTTTGTTATTTATTTGTTTTGGTAGGGAAAAAATACATTGAGAACTGTGTTTTGGTTGTAGATGAATCACCTATTTTTGTTTAATCTTAGGAACACGCTACCTTCAGCATCATACATCTAATTTTGCTTAGGTAGTAGTGTTTGAACATCGCATTTTAATATGCAGTCACGTTAAGTGGATATGTTTATGTGCTGAGAATAAGAAATTGTTGCTAAAAGAAAACTGAATAGTTTATGTTGCTATCGGTGTTGTCTGATTAAAATGTCTTGTTTAACATCATGAACATGTATTAGGCAAATTCTTCAACATCTGGGGAATGTTATTAATACTCATAGTTGTAAAAGAAATTTTATTCTTAAATTCAAAGTCTAGGCTTTTTTTTCCTCAATCCAGCAGTTGCATGGAAGGTGTTTGGCGTGTTTCATCTGCATATATATGCTTCTAACTGATACTGAAATGCAAAACTTGATCTGCATTCACAAATTGATATTACATAAGTTTAGTATGCACTAGTTGGATGTGCTTATGCTAGTGATGCTTTTGTGTGTGGTGCTGTGCACTCAACAGAAGACTGTAGAGACAGAAGTGGTTAAAGTCACCTTATATATATCCCTTGCATGTAATATATATATATATGTATGTATATATTTAGGGAATGCTGGAAACTTAACTAATAATAATAAAAGTATTTAAAATCTTTGTGTTAAAGACCAATAGGTGGGCTAAGGATAATGAATATATAATATAGTTGGCTAAGTGCTGACAAGCATATGTGATTGAATAGTTTTAATAGAGGCACTTGGTGAAGCACTTAGTTGTTAAAACTGTATGACCAAGTAAGCACTCTATGAACAAATAAGCATTTCATAAAGTTTGTTCATGATGTCCCGTGTATTAGCTTGTTTTTAAAAGCAAAGGTTACCCCTGCTGAATATTATCACTGTCTCACTGTCTGTAAAAGTACTCTATTGAAAGGGTGCTTTTCCATGTAAAAAAAGTAGTTCATGCCGTATTGATAAAGTACTTCTGAAAATTAGAATTCTTGTCTATCTCTTCTACTCTCTCTTCATGTAGAAAAACAGAGTGGCCCATTGCCTTTCTGATGAGGAGTTAAGCTCTTCCACAAGCTCTACAGATAAGTCTGATGGAGATTCCAAGGAAAAGTAAGTATTTGGTGTAATACTATGCAAGAGTTTTATCTGCTGTACTGGACCTTGACTTGGAATGGGGACAAAAAAATTGCAGGCATTACTTTCACAATTTATCTCTACATAGTGCTTGAAGAAGCACATGATACATAAAGAAAACAAACTTCATTTGATTGTTGTCCTTCTGTGACAATAAACTTTTTGTGCTGCACATCCTGGGATATGTGATTGTGAAGCTGTTTTTTTGGCAAATGAGGCTTCCCAGGAAACCAATCTTCCAGCATCAAAGGGCATGTTACTCTCAGGATCCTTTAAAAGCATGGTGCAAAGGTGCCAACATGTTTCCTTTCCACTGTGAATGAGGCTGAAATAGCTTATTTCACGTTTTGTCAATGTGAGCAGCTTCTTCAAGAAATCTTATTCATTGCATTACCACGAGTGCAGCTATGCTGGCAGCAGTAGCTGAAAGGATTGTACATTTTTGCTAGATTGTTGGGTTCTGATCCATTATTAGCTGAAATACTACTGATGCTGCTGCTGATAAAATGGCATCACAAGAAGTAATTTAACATGGAATACGTAGCAGGACCTCAGTAAACTTACTGAAAATCTACTGAATGCAAGGTGGAAGCTGCATCGTACAAGTACTGAATTACATCTCCTTTCCTAGAAAAAGCAGTATGAATGAAGTGAATGACTTGGTGCAGCTAATGACTTGGACACTGAAAATGGACTCTAAGGAGAATTCTGAACACTGTGTAGCCTCGACTCCGGCCCCAGAATTTAAACTTCATAGAAAATACCGAGACACTTTGAATTTGCATGGAAAATCACCTGATGAATCAGAGGAATTCAAATTTCAAGAGATTCCTTCAGGTCTGTTGGTCTGTTACTACTTTAAATGAATGGTTGGCTAATTGAAAACCTGCTAGTAGGCAACAGAAGGCAATCAATACACTCTTACTACTTCCAGATATTAACAGCTTTCTAAATAATTTTGTGTACAGAACCGCTCTAGTTGCGATTTACTTGCCAATGAAAGGAGTGTGATCGATCTGTGAAATTATTAATGAAGAGAGAAAACTGACCTGCAATACAATTTCTTCAATGTGACTTGTGCTGATGTTCAGTATTTTGAAATAAGATTTTTAAGACATTCTGTAGTAAAACTGCTTTGTGAATTGGGGATAAAGCTGAATTGCACATAGAGCACAAGTCAGCCTTAAACACAGTGAAGGGTTGTAAAACAATAGGATTTCATTCTTATTGAATTATTATTAAAATATTTGGATGGTATTCTACTATTAGAGAATTTTTTGAATGAAAAATATTTTGCACAGGAGCCACCTGAAATGAAGTTATAGAGACCTAACGGTGTGCATCATGCCTGCTGTGACTGCGTACTGTCCAGTGTCTTAAGAGCTAGCATCTGAGTGATGCAGCACGGTTATTGATCATTACTTATCTACACGAGTACTTATCTACACAAGCAGAGGGCTGGAGCACCTTTCCTATGAAGAAAGCTTGAGGGAACTGGGCTTGTTTAGCGCGGAGAAGAGAAGGCTCCGGGGAGACCTCATTGTGGCCTTCCAGTACATGAAGGGAGTCTATAAACAGGAGGGGGAATGCCTGTTTAGATGTGTTGATAGTGATAGGATAAGGGGGAATGGTTTTAAACTAAGATGGGAGACTTATGTTAGATATTAGAAAGCAGTTTTTCCCTCAGAGGGTGGTGAGGCACTGGAACAGGTTGCCCAGGGCGGTTGTGGATGCCCCATCCCTGGAGGCATTCAAGGCCAGGCTGGATGCGGCTCTGGGCAGCCTGCTCTGGTGGTTGGCAACCCTGCTCAGAGTAGGGGGGGGTTTAAACTAGTTATCTTTAAGGTCCTTTTCAACCCAGGCCATTCTATGATTCATTCTGTGATCTGACTAGCTAGCTATATGGTTACTTCATGCAAATTGTTAACTGGTCTTCTGTGGTAATAGTGTTGTCCCATGTTCTTCTAGGCAGAGTATGAAAACTGAGTACAGTGAAACTAATTATTACTGCAGCAGTTTTTAAATTTTATTTTATTTTTGGTAATTATTATTTTCTGTAGATGTTTTATCAGGTCCTGAGAAGATTAGGAGATTGGTTGAAATCCTGAGATCTGATGTGGTGCAAGGACTGGGAGTGAAACTTCTTGAGAAGGTGTACTGCATTATGGAAGAAGATGATGAAGTCAAAAGAGAGGTGAATGCCTTGCATATTACTTATCTGGGTTTATAAGAAATTAATTTTGATCACTCTCTTTCCAAAAGGTGTTTATATACTCACTGGAAGACAAAGACCTAAGAATACTGTAATTTTCAATCTTAAACAAATTTGATTCTGAATATAGACCACCTTCAATTACACGTTCTTCAGGAACCATAGGAGCTTTAGAATTGTACCATGGTCCCCGAGTTTCTGGAAAATGAAAGGGATGTGAGTCATTCTACTCTGATTCTCCATTAATGATTTCCTTTTGAATTGTAATTTTGTCTTCATATTACTTGCACGATTTCCATTATGCCCAAAGTGAGAAAGTATTTAATATCTGTTTCTAATAGAGGTCAGTGAACAATACCTCTACCTCATTTGATTCAAAACTTACTGCATGGGTAAATACAACCACGCAGCCATGTGATTTATATGTAAAATTGTTAGGTGGGATTTAGAACATCTTTTGCCTTCAGACAACAGACTCTTTTTTCCCTTTTTCTTGCCTTGCCTCTATGTAGTAAAACTTTACCTGCTGCTTGCAGCTGAATGCTTTGATTAATATTTAGTTAGTTCAGCTAATATTTTGGTTGTTCCTGCTTTTTTTTGATATCAGTGACTTTAGTGTTTTTTTCTTGTGTTCTAAATAGCTGCAGCTGCGGGAGCATATGGGAGACAAGTACGCAAGTTACAGTGCGAAGGCACGCCATCTGAAATTTCTTGAAGAAAATGTGAAGTTCTAATTGGAACCTTTTCCTTGGTAGTAAAGAGGACAGATTTCTATCTTGTTGGATAGATTGGACCAGCTTAAAAAGCATATTTATCCATTGACCTCCTCTGCTGGATGAACTTTCAAAAAACGTTATAGTTTGTAGTAGTATTTTTCATGTTAAAGTGAAAACCAGGCTCTCACTTTTTCAGAAGAGAAACTGTTTAATTTTTATTCCCTTAATGAAACATTAATTTTTAATAGATGCAAAGAGATGGATACCAAGCTTTGTATAAAAAGGAGCGTCAAAAAACACGATGGTTTAGTTTGAATTTATCATGACAAAAGGTTTTTGTATGGTGATATGCTAAATATGGTAATAGAAGCTATGTCAGGGCTATGGCGTAGACTGATTGATGTAATGCTTACCATCTAACAGTTGTGGAGAGTTACCAGGGAGAAACAACTATTAATTTCCATAGCACCAAAGAGCCCTGCGGGTTCTTTAAGTAAATTGCCAAGTGCTGAAGGGATGGTTGCATTGCTTTTAAGCAGTAAGCACTGCCTTTGGTTTTGAGTTGTATTGCTAAGGCAGCCCCAATGTTGGTGGAGAGCATTTGGTAACTGGATAAAGTATGTCTGAAAGGAACACAGCCGTGGTTACCATGGTCCCTGCTTGGAGGAGTCCCTTTGCCTTACAAGTACTGATTCCTTTTAGGAATTAAAGTGCCCAAGACCAGGGCCACTCAGAGTGATAGGTATCTTAGCTTTACTCTTTCCATGCACCTGGACTGTGTTGCTACACAATACCTGGGCATTGTCAAGTGAGATCACTGTTGAAAAAACTCATGTCTTTTTTAAAGGATTAAAAGGATAAAGGGAACTGAATTTGTAAAACAAAGCTTCAGTCTCCCTTGTGGGTGGTGGCACTTACAATATTTAAGCAGGTCGTGGACTATATCACAGTAAGTTACAATATTTAGGCAGGTCGTGGAAATAAGTCATAGTGGTCAAAAGGTGCAACAGCTATGGATCCCGCTGCCTAATACTTAACTAGATGATGAAGTTATGTGGTTTCAAGAGTGGTTGTATTATGTAGAGTAAAGCTGTTACTTTCTCCTCCCACATAAATTTATTTTACACAGAAAATGTCACCCTGTGCTATCCTATCCTGCAAAAGTTTCCAGTTCTTAGGATTTTTCAAAACTCTGGTGGGTACTGGTTTACAGGACTTGTTTCAACCTGGCACTACTGACAGCTTCTTTTACAAGTGGTTAGAAATACTTTTACAGAAGTGTAGCTGCATATTGTCTTCCAGCTTATGGCAATAGCTTAACTATACTTTGATTCAAGGGCAGTCTTCCTTTTCAGTAAAATACTTGAGTGAGTTGAGAACTCGCAGAGCCTCAAGTTTATCACCCCACACCCACCTTCATACTCTGAACTGATCTTATGTACTCATGACAATGTACAAAATAGTACAGAGAAAAAAAACAACAACCACTGAGCCAAGCAGCATCTCCTAGAGAAAATGTATTAAAACTTAAGAAAGCTACAATGTAACATCATGAAGAACCGTATTCTTTAGCTTTTAGCGTCTTTTTGGCTTTCTGTCTGCTGGCTTCTTATCATCTGTTCCCGACTCCTGGACAGGTAACCACTTCAGAGGATTGCGGCGGTACATAGGCCATGGCGGGAGTGTTAGCTTAAGAAAAGGAATGACATGAAGATGTGTAAATCAAGATGCTAGAGAAGTGTTTTGTACAGCTGCTACCCAGAAAACTGTGTTGTCCTTTCTGGTAAAAATAGTATCAGCTTGTCCTAGTTTTGGCTAGTAGCCAAAAGTCCTAGTAGCTGGCATGGTGCTGTGTTTGGGGTTTGGGATGAGAATAATGTTGATATCACACTGATGTGTTAGTTGTTGCAGAGCAGCGATTACACTAAGCCAGGGACTCTGCAGCTTTTCGCTCTGTCCTGCCAGCGGGCAGGCTGGGGGTGCAGTGGGAGCTCGGAAGGGACAGACCCAGAACAGCTGACCCAAACTGGCCTAAGGGGGTATTCCATCCCATCTGTCACGCTGAACAATATATAGGGGTTGCTGGCCGGGGTGGGGAGGTCCGGCTGCTGGGCATCGGTCAGCAGGTGGTGAGCAATTGCATCGTGCATCACTTGTTTTGTACATATTAGGAGCAGCAGTATTATCATTATTATTATTTTCTGTTCTGTCCTAATAAACTGTCTTTATCTCAACCCGCAGGCTTTCATTTCTTTCTGATTCTCTGCCCCATCCCAAAGAGGGAGAGGGGAAGGTGAGTGAACAGCGGTGTGGTGCTTAGCAGCTGGCCAGGTTAAACCACAACACAGCTTGACATAGAAGTAACATTTCACTGAACTGGTGTACTGGGTCTGGCTGGGATGGAGTTAACTTTTTTTTTCCCATTACCCCTCTTTTCCCTTTTAGTTAAATTATTTAATTAGTAATAATTTTTCCTTAATATCTATTTTTTCCTTTACTTAAATTATCCTTATCTCAACCCATTAATTATTTCTTTCCTTTTCTTCTTCCCCTCTTCTTCTGAGGAAGTGGAGTAAGAGAGTGGTTGTGATGGAGTTCAGCTGCCTAGCAAGGTAAACCACCACAATTGGGGAAGCAGTTTAGTGTAAGGTAGCAGTGTGAAATGGCAGCACTCTCTAAAATCTTACTAGCATCTGACATAATACAAGTATTGGATTGTAAAGCAAGTTTAAGCACAGGACTTCACCTTCTGCAACATATATTTTCAAGTTTAGAAACCAAACTTACCAGACATGATAAAGCAACTCCAGCCATGAATATGTAGACAGTCCAGCCAAACTGTTCAGTGATGAAGCCGTAGACGAAACCAATTACCTTTAAAAATATATATATAAATAAATCAATCTTCAAATAATCATAACATCCAAAATGTTTTTATTTAAGTGAGGGTAAGGTAGGGAGGAGAGGTAAGTATAAAGTATGGGTTTTCCAAAAGCACACTTCATACATCTTTCTAACCTTGGTTGCAAAATTGTAGGCCAACAATGAAAGTAAAAAATGAATTAAAAGAAGAAAAGCCTTTATCCAAACAATCAGTAGAAATTTGTTTCTACGATCAGAAAACAAAAGTTCTTTGTTATAACCTACCGTTCTTGTATACTTACTGCAGAGACGAGAATGATTCCTTGAAAAATCTGTTCTGCTAATTTTTGGCCCTTGTAGTCCTGTGAAAAGAGACGGGTTTCGGTCAGTTACCCCAAACACAAGCCTGCGGGCACCTGCTAAGACTTCCAGTTTACATCCTGGGCTTGGCCTGAGCACAGGGTTTTGGCTGTTTTGTTCAGCTTTCAAACCAGAGTGGAATTATTTTCTTACTCTACCATGTGTTCAGGGCAGGAAAGGCAACACATTTATACAGCGTAGCATCCCTGTAAACCCCTCAGAGAAGCTGCCCGGGCCCTGCTCCATCCCTTGCAGAGCTTCCCCACACGGCAGAGGCGCGCGGCGCCTCCCTCCCTCCCCTCACGGCGCAGCCGCTCCCGCCCTCGCGCCGCTCCCCTCCGGGCCCCCGCCGCCCCCGGCCCTACCATCTCCGTGGGGATGGCGCGGCAGAAGCCCAGCATGGTGGCGGTGTGTGTGTGTGGGGTGTCTGCAGCTCCCGTTCCTCCTGCGGTCGCTCGGTGCCGGCGGAAGGCGGCTGCTGAGGTGGCCGGAAACCGGCGCCTCCCGCCCCGCCCCGCTGGCCGCCAGCCGCGGGGGGAGCCCGCTCGGCTCCGCCGGTTAAGGGGGGGGGGAAAGGGGGGCGGTGTCACTGCCGCTGCCCTGGGGCCGGGGCCGCGTCAGCGCGGGCGGTGAGGGGAAAATGTCGCTGAGGAAAGGTAAGAGGGAAGGAGGGGGGCGGTGCACGCCGCCTGTCCGAGCCCCCCGCTGTCCCCCGTGGTGAACTTCTTTCTGTTTGAACTTGCAGCGAACGTGGCCATCCTGGTCGCGGCCGTCGTGGTGTTCCTGCTCGTCCTGCACCGCAACTTCCTGGGCCTCAGCGACTTCCTCAGGCGGGAGCTGACGGGTCCGTGGGGTTTCGTTGTGTTTCTGTCTTCAAGCGGTGATGAGCGGCCAGCTCTGCCTCACGGAGCGCGGCCGGGCTGAAGGAGCCCCCCGCTATGGCTGTCAGCCGCTCGCCTCAGAAGCTCAGAGAGTGGTGCTCAGTCGCTAGGAAATGGTGCTTGTCTTCATCTGAGCCGCTTAGGTTGACTTAGCAAAGCCTTTGTGCTCAGGAGTCCACGTTTAAGAACTGGACGTGGTCCCACAAAGCTTCTCCACGTCCCCATTAACCGCTAACTCCCTGTTTGCCACCCGTTTGTCATGTTCCCCAAATTATCTGAAAATATCTAATATGTAATAATCTAATCTGAAAGGTGCCAGCGTTGTTAGAAGGGTGCAGTAGCAGGAGATTAGCCACCTGTTAAATGGGATACGTATGCTGCATGGTCATACATTCAGCTGCTGATCTCCCGTTATCGTGTCTGCACAGTACGGATATAAATTCTTGCTTTTTCAGCTTAAATAATGCAGTGATCTGTGATGCTTGGACTGAACATGGGCTGTGTGCAATGCCTTGAGAATCCCCCAGGGGAAAAAAAAAAAAACAAACTTGCAACAGTGTTGTTAATGAAGAAACAAATTCTAAACTGGTTTCTACCAAAGAGAAAGTAGAGGGAAAACAGGGAAGGGAGATGTGACTGGAAGGCAGTTAGGGTAACAGGAGGGAGAAATTAGTGATTTATAGACGTGGCAAACAGGACCAAAGGTAAGCACGGGCTACTCTAGCTTAAGCCTTGCTCTAGTACCTCGTTGTGCAACATGTGAGTATTTAGAGCAGTTTATATGCATGTAGTTTATCTGCAAGTGTGATGTTTTCAGATATATTAACAAATTCCTGGATTCTCCTGAGTGGGGGCTGTCATTTAAGCATTTAATACTGGGGTGTTGTAGTCCACGTTCCTCGACCCAGCCATCCAAGCGCTTGTATAACAGAAATAATTGTAGGCATTGGGAATTTTGGCATGGTAATAATTTCTGTGTTTCGTTTATATAAAACGTAGGTGATGCCATTTTTATTCCACAGATTCAAATCCATTAGGACTTCAGCCTATAGACTTCATACCTGCAGTTCCCCAGAGACTGATGGATGAAAGGAACGATAAGGAGATTGCTGTGGTCATTGCAGCATCAGAGGAGAGGCTTGGGGGTGCGATTGCAGCCATGAACAGTATTTATCATAACACCAAATCCAATGTGGTTTTCTATATTGTTACACTGAACGATACTGTGGACCACTTGAGGTAATGATTTTTTCGTTAGCTCCCCATGGTACTGTAAAAGTCAAGTATTTTTGAGAATAGGAAGAGCTGAATTTGCTTGATGCTGCACTCCTCTAAATTGTTTGCAGTCCTATCTGCTGCTGCTTATTGCATCTTTTTGACAGGGCTGCTGACAAGGCTGCAGTCATTCCTACTGGTAATGTTTCAAGGATGGAAAAAGAGACTACTTTTCCTGTGGAATGATATCCATCCAGCAGGGCTGGAGTTTGTTGGTGGAGGGGTTGTAAAAGTTACTTCCTTCATTTTGCCTGAGCAATGTGAATACTGGCAGTGAAGTTTCCCATTTTTGTTTTAGATTGTGCTTTGATCCTTTCATTTTCGCTCAGGTCTGTTCACACTGATAGTTTTTATGAAGGATTTGTGATAACAGGATTGTATATTTCTAGTAAAATAAGCAGTAATCTTACTGTTATCTTAGTAAATCTGTAAATCGTAGTTTATCTGTAAAGTTATCTTACCTTTCATGTGTCACAGCTGTTTAGTATGCTGATAGTGGACATGCCCCTACACAGGACATATCCCACACAAGATACCACCACTGAAATCAGATGCTGATAATATTCTACGTCTGTGTTTGCTGGGTAGGGAAGTTACTGGCCAGATCGAGATCTTTTGATTGGATGTCTTGTTTTTCATTTGATTTTTGTCTCATTTAACAAAATCTATGCTTTTGTGTTTGCAGGCTGTGGCTAAGTAACACTGCTCTGAAAAATTTGAGATACCGAATTTTGGATTTTGACCCTCGTGTCTTAGAAGGGAAAGTACAAGTGGATCCTCAAAAAGCAGACCCCCTAAAACCAGTAAGGATGGTGTTGATTACTCTTTACAATTATTAGTTACAAACAATACATTTTGATATTATCCTTCCATGGCTTTTGAACCCAACTTTGTTGGCATACAATAAATCTTTTATAATTAAGTTCCTAAATTTCAATAAGGCTGAGTTTTTCAGGTAGTACAAGATGGTTTTAAATATCTACATATATGTGCCTAGTATCTTTCTGTGCTGATATCTCCAGTTAAACACTGCAGGTTGCGTGTCAAGCATGCCAAAACCTTTCAGGTACTACAAATATGTGTGGAAAGATAAAAAATTCTATTGGAGACCAGTCTTAAAGTTAGTTTATTGATGCACAAATTCATGGGAAACTAGGAACTGATAGAACTTGCTTATTTTAAATAACTGATAAGATATTGCTGGCTGTCTTGCTTCCTGGGTGGAAGTTGCTATATAGCGTTACTGCTATAGATAAGTATCAGGAATACCAATTTCAAAATTTCTCACTTTTTTGAACAATTTTCCAATCTATGTATTTATTTTGCTTTCACAGTTAACCTTTGCAAGATTCTACTTGCCCAGTTTGGTACCTCATGCGGAGAAGGCCATCTACGTGGACGATGACGTAGTAGTGCAAGGTACAGGACCTTTTCTTCATGTTTTGCCATTTTTGGATTAAACTGAGTTGGAATAAACAGAGTGTTTTTATCTGCTGCAGCGATGGGCTGTACAAAAAGCCACTCAGAGATTAAACAGGACTGCTTTTAATTTTTCTGTGCTTATTTTCATTTTTCAGATGATATCCTTGAACTTTACAACACTCCACTGAAACCTGGACATGCAGCTGCGTTTTCAGATGATTGTGACTCAACCACTAACAAGGTTGCTGTCCGTGGAGCAGGGAATCAGGTTGGTTTCATTCTGACTCAGTCATAATAATGTTGTAGTTCCTAGGCTTTGGAACCAAGCGCTTGGTTTTAATATTCTTGAGGGTTGATTTCGAAATGCAGTGAACCTAAAGGTGTGAATACATGTGTACCTACTGAAATCAGTTGATTCTGATGTTTGTGTTACAAGTGATGCCTGGTACAGTAATTTAGGTACAGTAAAAACACTGAGTTTTGGCTGTGCTTTACAATGGTAGTGGAACAGTAGAAGGTCTTAGAACACCAGAGGAAGATTTTTTTTATTTGTGAATGTATGAAAAGTACTTGTTCTGGGACTGCTGTTCTTTCAGGTTGTAGACATTAATACCATGCAACTTTCCTTGAAGTGTGTAGTTTAATAATATTTTTAAAATGTTGGACTTACTTTCTCATGTGTTGAAGGAAGGGGAATTTGTTTTAACAACTTCAGGTTATGCTTGTGTGCTGGGAATTGTGCAAAGTTTTTCTTTACAAAGGAATTTGACTATATTTTTAAGCTAATTTTCCACACTTTTTCTTTTTCAGTATAACTACATTGGGTTTCTAGATTACAAAAAAGAAACCATCCGAAAGCTTGCCATGAAAGCCAACACTTGCTCTTTCAATCCAGGAGTTTTTGTTGCCAATTTGACAGAATGGAAATTACAGAACATCACTAAACAATTGGAGAAGTGGATGACGCTAAATGTAGCGTGAGTACCCTCTGAGATGGGGGTGGCCATAGGTTGGGGACTGGGCTAAGTGATGGCATTTAACTGTTAAATGAAGGGCTGCGTATCTAGCTGTGGATTCCTTTCATGCAGCTGCAAGTGAAACTCAACTGATTTAGAGCCACACAAGCAACCTTCCCTATCTCCTTTCCATTTTCTCTTCCAGAGAGGAACTTTACAGCAGAACTCTGGCTGGCAGCATCACGACACCTCCACTGCTAATTGTATTTTACAAGCAACATTCCAGTATTGATCCCATGTGGAATGTCCGACATCTTGGTATGTATGAAGTATTTGCAACGCTTTGCCCCCCTGTGTGTTTTTCCAGGTCTGTTCATCAACTCTGAGTTGATGATACAAAAACTGGATCTTTTCTTACCCTGCTTTATACCTTGTGCTTTATTGAAATGCTGCTTCCCAATACCATCTTGCATTTTGTGGGCCTGATCCTCCACATTCCTCTTTGAACTTGAATTTGAACTTGTTATTGATTTTAAGTTCTCAATTTCTTGTTTCCTTTTTTATTGTTTCCACATATGTATTGTATCTGAAGTGATCCTAGGTGTCTCCTCCAAGATGAAGAGGAGCAGACATTCATATCAGTTCTGCTATTGGTAAAACCTCAAAGCTGGGAGAGCTCTTAGGTTTCATTTGAAATGAGTGATACATAGGCTGCTGAATATAGTGGGTATTAAAAGGGTTTTAAAGAACTTGGAATTTAAAGCAGTACATTAAAATATATACAGAGATGGATGAAAGTAGTCTTCCATTGCATCTGATCCTTTTTCAGTTTGCCATGACTTCTGCCTCCCATATCACCTTTTTCCATAAATGACAAGAATTCCTGTTAAAATCCTTTGTTTTGAAGTTAAAATATCACATGTTGTTTTTTCCTGCTGCCTTTATTATGGCACTAATGCTTCTTTTTCAATAAAAGGGTCTAGCGCTGGAAAAAGGTATTCTCCTCAGTTTGTGAAAGCTGCCAAGCTGCTCCATTGGAATGGACATTTCAAACCATGGGGAAGAACAGCTTCATACGCTGAAGTGTGGGAGAAGTGGTATGTCCCTGATCCTACAGGCAAGTTCAGCCTGATCCGGAGACATTCGGAAGCCTATGAAGCAAAGTAGAGAAAATTTGAATAACTGATGGCATTTTCTCAGGAAACTTCAGGAGCCAAGCAGATTTTTTTAATTATTATTTTTTTTAAAGTCAACTTTGTGTTATAGAGCAGTCCTTGCCTTCTGGAGCACAGGGAGATGCACTTACTCATGTGCTGTTCCAAAGGAGACTCACTTCTCTTGTGTGACTGAAGACGGTACTCCAGCAGAAGGCAAAACTAGCACTTCTGTTAGGTCATTTGTGTGTTGTACATTCTTCTGCTCTTTACTACAAGTCTTCTGGGGGGATCGTTGTGTCAGCTATGTAAACAAACAGTTCCAGAAACAAGATAGAACTTCATCTGGAGCTTGCACCATTCAAGCATTGCACAGGAACATACTGTAATTAAGAGCAGCTTGGTATTTGTTCTGTCTTGTTGTTGTTGTTATCCTGTGAAATAGTTTCATCAGCAGTCGGTTCTTGCATGAAAACTGCTCCCAGCCATTTCTGCGTAAGCCTGTCTTGCACAATTTTGGAAAACTGAATCTTGATTTTTGAAAGATGAATAATTTCAAGTATTATTTCACTATGCAAAATGGTTTTAACTGCCAGTAAACACTAAAATATTCTCTGTAAAGTGGTGGAGAAAATGTTCAAAAATAAAAGCTACTGTTAACATGAGTCAAACCTCAGGTACCTGACAATATGATTCTTGTCGTGGTCTGACATATGAAATGTTTCTTTTGCTTAAGTACAGTGTTAACTGAATGAAGTCAAAACCGATTGATCTCACCTTTGAGAAAGCACTCGTAAAAGTGTGCAAAGTATTTATTTCTAGGGTCAGGCTGTATGAAATAGATCAGAATTGTTACTGTTAAGAATTTCCACATTTTTTTCTCAAGTGAGCATGACTGTGCCACAGAAGTTTCTCCCACTGTGTCCTTCTGGGTCTGATCCTCTGAAATCACTGAGCGAGATTGCTGTGACCTTTGGCAGCCCATCTGACTTTTCTGTAGGTAAGTAGTTGTGTTTTTTTATTGCCTTTATGTTTGAATACTGGTTATTATTAGCTAGTGTATCCCAGCAGCTGCTGTGGCTATTATTCGATGCAATGAAGTTTGAATTCAAGTTCTCATGTTTATTCAGTACTACTGCTTGTGAACAGGTATAAGATGTTATGGGTAAAAGACAAGCAGTGAAAGGCTCAGTGATTCATGATCCGAGGTACAGGGCAGCAGAGAGGTAAAGGGCTTGTGTACGTGTGTGAGTATGGTTTCAATACTGCTTTATAATTTAAAAGAACTTCCACCTTCTCATCTCATTGTATACACTGTCTGTAGTTCTGGTATAGCTCTATGCTGCTCTCTGGTTTGTTACTGATCCTTTCTTTTCCTGGCTTCTTAAGAACCATTCCTGTCAGTGGTTATTTTAGCAGGCTTGGATAAAAAAAACAAACAAGCACAGATACAGACACGTGCAGTTTAAGATACCTAGGAGGCATGGATGCCTCTACATACATTTAAAGAATATGTATCAGCTACCTCTTTCAGTGCAGCTGGAGTAATGTTGCCCCAGTTTTGCTGCAGACTGACTGAAGTAACATCCTTATTACACAGAAGAACATGCTTTGCTTTACAGTTACCAGTTGCTACCATATTTCCATCAGGAAGTATGTCTTTTATTCAAGAGCACCATAGGAACAAGCTCTTTCCCCCCTACTGAAGACAAATTACTGTTACCATAATCCCAGTTATGTCTCCCTGTGAAGCTACTGCGCTTACAGAGAAGCGCTTAGATAAAATACCTTATGTCTAGCTGAAACAAGTAGTATTTGCCAACCAGCTTTTACCTGTGAAAGTTGTATAGTTTTGAAAAATACTGAAAACTCACTTAAGTCACGCTCTAGAGATACAGTCTATAATCCTCTAGGCAAAAAGATTAACATTTTTATGAAGGAAACATGAAAGCTTGCCCTAAAATTTAATTGCTGAAAAACTATGGTCACATTTTTAAAAGAAAGCAACGTGGGATTTATCTTTTTGAAAGATCTCTTTATGAGGCACAAAGAATGGACTAACACAGTCTTTTTTTTTTTTTCAAAGTCTTTTTAACAGGAATTAAAAGTATACAGCTTAAAGGTCAGCTTTCTGGAACTATACAAAATCTGGAATTATCTAGAGATACACAGCATTATCTACATTGTTTGACACAGTAATTGTGAATGTTTGCAGCTCTGCTATGAGGCATTCCTATAACTTCTGTAACAGAAGTGTTTGACTGGTCTGAAGGCCAGTAATAGTCTCAAGCCCCATCTTTGGGCATCTCATTACACATAGTCTGTATTAAAATCATAGGCATCGTCTTCACCTGCTGACTTGTCCAAGCTGAGTGATAGTGAACTGTCGCATCCACTTTCTGAGAAGAGAAAATGATTTGTTAATGAACTGAAATGTAAGTGGTAGAGTACTAGAGACTATGCTACAGGTTTTTACACAGACCTGCTAGCTTGTTTTCTGAAGTTGCTTGTCTTGCTTGTTGTTTTCCAAGCTCTGCTTTCCTGGTCATCCCAATTTTGCTTTCCTAAGATTGGAGAGGTCACACAGAAGAGTTTACTCAGACATCACTAATGAGATCTCCTATGCAAATGAAATAGGATTGATGATAGCGTAGATGTTCCCTTGTCAGGAACATGCTGACTTACAAGTCTGTTTTCTTAATGATTACTGCTGGTGGCTCTGCAGCACCTGTATGTTCTGTTTACAGCAGGAAACTAACAGGCTACTTGATGTCAAGGTCTAAGCAGGTAGCAATTGAATGAAACCCTGATTTACCTCTTTCACATCCTCTTCTTCTTCTTCTTCTTCCTCTGCCATGCTATCTTGCTCATCAGTTTCCATGAAATCATCTTCCTCTTCTTCCTCACTTGTTTCCAGACTCTCCCACTGTGATGCTTCCCCTACCACTTTATTTTCCTGTATTTTCCCATTTGTCATGCCAGCTGACTGGAAGACAATGCTGCTTGCTGGACTAGGGTATTTTAAAGCTGGGAAAGACATACAAATCGTCTGTTAAGTCACTGTTAGCACCAGGTATGTCTACCAATTAAAAGGACAGCCACCCACATAAGCAGGGAGAACAAATGGCTGCAAGTTAGAGAACAGGAAGTTCCGCACTGACATGTGAAACAACTTCACGGTGAGGGTGATGGAGCATTGGAACAGGCTGCCTAGGGAGGTTGTGGAGTCTCCTTCTCTGGAGATATTCAAGGCCTGTCTGGATGCCTACCTGGGCAGCCTGCTCTGAGGAACCTGATTTGGCAGGGGGGTTGGACCCAAAGATCTTTCGAGGTCCCTTCCAACCCCTACAGTTCTGTGATTCTGTGAAATGCAAATCATCCAAGAGAGTACCTTCCCCTGACTCATCTAAAAAAATTGCTAGTAGGTAAAGTACTTGGATTTGAGTGTAGATTGTGCTGAATAAAAATGCACTTTGTTGGCCTAACTAGGAAATAGGCCAAAAGATCATTGAAGGGCACATAAGTACCACCTATTTAGAAGTTAAGTGAGATGAGCAGAAACTAAGCACTAGCGGGAGTTCACAAGACAGCATATAACTCCACTGTTTTGTTGCATGAGAATCCATTTTGTTCTCTAAGGTTCACGTCTGCTGCATACTTACGAAGTTGTCATACAAACCCTAGGATAACTTTCGTTCATGATCTCTCATTGAAACTGCTACCACTGCTCTTACTGGTACACTACAGTAAGAAGTCCTACCTTGAACAGTAGTGTTGTTTTCTTCTTCTAGCTTCTTTAAATTAAAACCCTTCTGCATTTCAGCTATTTTGTCTTCTGTAAGGTAGGGTGGTAGCATCTGAGATCCAGGAGGTTGTGAATGGTAGCTTATTTTAGCTCTGTGAAAATAAAATATCAGCTTTAAAAAAACAAACAAAGCTAACATGATTAAATCATTATGCTTAAAAATAAAACCCAAAGCACAAACCTCTCAGACTCCTCAACCTAACTAGTAATTCAATATAATTTGTTTAGCAGGTAAATAGCTGATTGTATTTGACTCTGAAGTTGTCAGTAACATAATTAAATGGACATCCTACTCTTAAACAGATGAACCACTTGAGCAAGGGAACTATTCATATGCAATTAGTCACTGATTCCAAATTCATTCATTCCACGCTCAGGGGAATACAGGAACCACTGCAGTCCGCAACAGTTTAGTGAAAAGCAAAGAGGTCAGCAAACTGGCTATAGAGCTACATGTAATTTGCTTTGACTCCCTCCATGTATAGTTCGTTACTTCAGAAAATTATACATTGCTAGTGTTTTCTAACTCTGTTATCCAATCCAGCTTTCTTAAAGTAAAATGCAGGAAAACCAAAAGCAGCCCCTCCTGTCTGTAATTGCTTCTCAGGACTCAGTACTTCTGCTGTGTAATCACAGCTGGATTAACAAAGTAAAAATCAAAAAGGTCAGCAGCACAAAGCATAACTGACAGTATACATACCCTGTCCAGTCAGAAAGTAGTAATTTGGCTATATTCTCTATGTCAGGAACACCTCCCTTTTTCAGCATACCCCTTTTCTGAGCAAGTAAAGTTAAAAACTCTTCAGTGTTCCTGAAATCCGGGATACTATAGAACATCATTACCTAGTGTAAAAAAAAAAAAAAAGTGCAATCAGAAGACCACCCAGTTTTCTCCTAGCTTTAGGATTAAAAAAGCAAATCAAACTGGGTTACGAGGAAGAACAAATACATAAAGAGCAGCTTTTTTATTGCGTATGGGAATAAATATTACCAAGCAAAACATCTACTTTGTCAACAACTCAACAACTTTTATCTGCTATTCACCCGCACCAATAGGTGAGAGACAGCGTGCTGGTTTGTGGAGAACCAGTTAGCATAGAATTGGATGGGGATTAGGCTTTGCTTAATCTACTTGAAACTAGAGTGAAATCAGAGTTGGATCTGAGGTCTTCAGTGTAATAATAAGAAGCAATCAGAATATCCTCATTTTTCACTCTGTGATATTATTATGAGATGTTCTTTAAAAGCAGATTTTTTTTTAAATCAGTAAAGTCATGGGGAAAACAAACTGGCTGCCAGGATCCTGACAGGCTGCATCTGTCTTCCATGTGTATTGCTGAAAGATCACACTTAGCATCGGATATACCAAGCAAAATTTGTCACGTTGTATGATAAGGAGAAAGCAGTGCAAAAGCTTCCAGAACTAACTGAAGTGAAATGAACTTTAAGAAAGCTACAGAGGAGTTGAATACAGTTCAAAAATACAGAGAACAATGATGGAACTCACCTGCTGTTTACTGCAGTGATTTAGAACTGCATCCACCGCTTCAACCACATCTATTGAGCCTGATCTTCCATCATCTATGATACTTCTCAGGGCCAGAGTTAGGGTGCTGTTGGCACGATCTGCAACTATACTTGGACTGTCCAACATCTTCATCTTTTTATCAATACGCACAACTTGCATGCACCTATTCAGAGAGAGAAATGTGCTGTATCTGAAGATAAATCAACCAGCAAAAGACTGTTAAGGTGAGGGAATCAAGCCACAAAGCTCAGCGTTGGACTGAATGCACTTCATACAGAGTCAGTTTCAGTGTTTTCTCATCATATGCTTTGTGTCAGAAGTCAAAATGCACAAGATGAGCAAGTTTATGCACTGTATTCTCCTGTAACAACCTGCATCATAGAAAACGTTATCTTTCATCCTGACAAACTGGAATGTCCATTTAAAGCTGTACACAGGCATGCTTTGACTGCCCAACCAAAACATAAGGTAATCAGAATACAAGCAGGAACAGGAAAATGAACAGCTTTTATCAGACTCAGCTTACTTGGTAAGACCTCTTCCTAGTCCAGCGTTGCAAACACGATTTTTTTTAATACTGTTGATTATGCTGCTCTTCCCCACGTTAGGGAAACCTGAAGAAAACCACATAAGTCCTTATAAGTTAAATGAAAAAACCTCAGCCTGTTACAACGATCAAAGCTGCTGCTTCCATGTATCTTTGGTAGTATACGACTTCAGTGTGAGATCAGAGTTGGATCTGAAGTCTTCATTACAGAAGTAAGGCAAGGTTGGTATCCTCATTTCTCACACTTGGCAATAAAAAGGACATGAAAGACATCATTGAACATCACATGCAGATGGAAGGAAGGCAGCATAGGCTGTGTGGTATGTAACCTCCTTCTCCTTTCCTTAAGCTGGTTTATCAGTTAAGGCCTCGCGCAATGTGCCTTCCATAGATCACGCATCCCGCGCGTGTGAAAGCGCAACACAGACCACTGTCAGCTAAAATACTACAACAGTGAGTCTCGATTGGAAGTAAGACATAAGTCTTGAGTAAGAAGGCCCAAGAGGAAGTCATGTGTTGATTGTTTCACCCAGTTCATAATACAAGATACCAAAGCTTTACGGGAGGAGAAACAAAATTTCTGCCATCTCTCCAAATCCTTACCTACTAACCCAACCTGAATAGCTTTGTCTTGAGTCCTGCAGTGCTCTTGAAGAAGTTTCAAAAGGCATTCGCTTCCAAAACATTCAGTGTTTCTTGATAAATCAATACGTGCCCTTTTTCTTGAGAAATGCTCCCGCTACAGGATTCAAAGAAAACAAACAACATGGTCAGGCTATTTAGGAAGAAGGTTAAGTATGTATTCTTAGATATATTCATCTACTGTAACATTTTCAACTCCTATACTCCATTAGCTGATGTTACTGTGTTCTTCTAAACAGACGAAATTAGTTTAGTAAGAAATTGGCTAAGATGAATCTACCAGTTAAGTGACGGTAAAAAGGTAGCCATCAAATACTTGAAGAAAAAAGAATGTAAACTGGCTTATAGGGTTTGTTCTTTCTTTCTTCTTACTGGAAAGATGTATGACTGTGTCACTTTTGAGAGCCTGCAGCACTCTTACCATAGTCCTGTCTGTCGTCAAGGTTGATGATTTAAAAGCAACTGTTGGAAATTCCTTCTTCAAACAATCCAACCATTTCTCCAAGTTCTCCTTAGGTACTAAATCTGGAAAAAAAGAGCACAGTCCTTTCACTCTTGTGAATGCTAAATATCACTGCATGGGGAAAATGTAACACGGAATCGGGAACCAGATTGTACCTTGTACACTTCTTTTTGACAAATAATGCTGAGCTGAAAGTTTATTTATTTACATGCATAGCTCTAGTCAACTATTAGGTAAGTTCCCCAAAGCCATCCAGTGGCCACAAGTCTTGGTCTTTATTTTCTGTCTACAACAGAGCTACATTTTCAGTCCCTCTATCAGGTTTTAAGTGTTGGAGTCTTGCTAGAAGACTCTCTATGCTACAGAGAGTGATGTTACACAAAGAATTATCTCCTCATCCTTGCAAAGGATGCTCTAATATACAGTTGCCTTTGCTCTTACTGTCACGCTTGGTATTTCGCCCTACCCCCCCAATGATAACCCAGTAATTTGCAGCCTTTTCAGCTGCATCTGTTTTTTAGGTGAGGTCTTTCCTCCAGCAACAGAAGAGAGACAATACTTCTAGAAGCCAAATCCTAAACACAACCATTGAGCTGATTTGCTGATGCTTTACCTACCACTGCCTCAGTGGGTACTAGCACTGCGACCTCTCCCTTACCTACATTCACAAAAATGTTAAAAATAGTTAGAACTCTAAGTTCTCTTGGGTTTAGCTGAGACTGGCCAATGGCTTCAGATGAGTTATTGCAAAAGGGACTAATGAGCAATTAGATTACCTGTCTACAGCGTTTTCTTAGCAAGGCAGACTATAAGGTAGAAGAAACATGACCCCTTCCATAAGGCAGCGAGCTCAGAGTTGGATCTTATGACTTCAGTAGAATCTCAGATTCCTTTAAAATCTTCCTCATAGCTCACGTACCACAGAATTACCCTGTGACTGAGTGACACTTCAAGAAAACCTTTGTTTCTTACCAATTTTGTTCAGAACCAACACTAGCTTTTTGTCTCCTCCAGAGCAAGTAATAGCTTGCTCCAGCTGGGGACAGCGACAGCCCATTGGATCTCTTGCATCCAAAACCTCCAGAATCACATCTGAGGCTTCTATCACCTAGGTCAGAAACAATAAAAAAAGACTCAAATACAAGATGACAGACAATTTGACAGATAACAGCTCTGTAATAGCTTAGCTGTAGCCTACGATGGTGACCACAAAATGGCTGCTAAGTGAGGTTTCATAGGACTGTTTGGGCTCCTTTCTTCTGAACTACAAATAAGAAAACTGAAGCAGTTTTCACCTTTTTAATGTGAAGGCGAGAAATCCTTTGACAGGAAAATTTCATTACTAGAAGAGCTCTGCAATTGGTCACTATGTACTGACATTGGCTCAAGAAGTCTAATGCTTCAAAATGCTGGATGTCTCAGTAGCTAATACCAGACAAAATTGAAGCCCTCACAGCTTCCGTTAAAAATAAAAAAAATTGCTCTTCAGCGTTGGAGTTTATCACAAGCAACTTTTACACTCTCTAGCTGTTGCACAGTAATGTGAAAAGGAAAATAACAAATTGTTTCATTTCTGATTCTCATCAAATTATATAAAAATAATTGAAGCTTACCTTCTCAAGCTCACTGTGAAGTGATTTCTTTGATTTTTTATGCAGCACTTCCTTAGTATTTGCTTCAGATTTGGTAGGTTCCTGAACACAAGTAAAAAAGAATGGGAATGATTTAACTGAGAACTGGCGTATTACACTTGTGAGCATATACAGCCCGAGAATGTAACGTAACATATGACTTATGAAGACAGTTTCAGTATGACCTTATTGCTTCTATGTGTGTCAATCAGAATCATACCAGACACCTACCGTTCCCTCTGTCTGTTCCTCAATTTTGGCTGCATTCTTTTTAGCATCAAGCTTCCTCCTCTTTTCAAGTTCTTTCTGTCTGTCAAGCTTCTGCTTTTGTTGTAGTTCTTCAAGCTGATGGCAAATAAGGAAAACCCAAGCCATGTAAAACATATCTGAAGGTGGTAAGACTGTTTTTTCTTCCCGCTTACTTATTTCTGACAAAAATACCTCAGATGGCCTGGTTAGAAGCCAGGTCTGTTTTAGTAACATTGGGAACTTTTTGGCATTCTGTCCTGAAAAGGATAATACTGCCTCCAAGTACTTCAGTAGCAGAGGCAATATATCCACCCGCTAGCCCCCGAAGTAACAGCCATGCAGAAACAACATTTCAACTGACAAAGGATGCTGCTTTTCTTGCCATTTTGTTGCAGATCCTTATTTTGTGAAGTCATGCAACGCTGAGACTTAACTCACTGCATTTGGATGGGACTTCTATGTATCTTACCATCACTGGCAAGTCCGATTACAGTAGAAATGCCACTTCCAGCATGCTTATACACAGTGATGAAGGCTGTGGTTAAAAATTCAAAGAGCAACTTGCCATGTGGTGTGTATAATGGTGAATACAGAAATGAAGCACGTCTGCTAGGCCTACTTAGAGCCCAACCTAAGCACACCTCTGGCTGTGCACATGCGCACACAGGTAAGGCACGAGGTTCTTCTAAGAAGGAAGGGAATGGTGCCAGCTCTCGCCCCGTTCCCACAAGCTGCATTTTACCCTCTGCCTCCTCTGCTCTGCTTCCCGCAGGAGCGCCTCCTTGAACGGCGCCGCGCCGGGCACGCTGGGGTCCTTCTTGGGCTTCTTGCGCCCACGCTTCTTGGCCTCCCTCCTGACTTTGCGGTGGTGCTCCCGGATCTGCGTGCAGAAACACGAACGTTAGTGGAGATAAAGTAGAAAATAAATACATAATTAATTAATTAAATAAATATCCCTCGTGCTCGTGGATTTAGAGACAATCGCACGCCTTTGGTGTCGGGGCCACCTCGAGGGGCACCGCGAGGCGACGCCGGCCCCTGAGGTGAGGTGGGGTGAGGTGAAGTGGGGTGAGGTGAGGTGAGGTGATGTGAGGCGCAGCCCCCGCCCCCCCGCTCACCTTCTTCTGGATCTTGTACCGCTTGTGGCAGCTCAGCCGCTTGCTCGCCTTCCGCAGCCCTGCAACGCACCGCGCCCGTCAGCCCCGTCCCCCGTGTCCCCCTGTCCCCAAATATCCCCACACACCCCCTCCCCGGCCGCCTCGTCAACCCCTGCCGACCCCCACCCCCCCGCGCTCCCCGCTCCCTCACGCGGCCGCTTCATGGCGCCTCCACCGCGCTGCGCACGCGGGCCCCGCGCCCCGGCCCCTTCCTGCGGCCGCAAAGCAGCGCGGCCCCGCCCCGCTCCGCCCCGCCGCGGCTGTCGCACGGGCTCGGCGCGGTTGGCGGCCGGCCGGGCTTTGCGGCAGCGGCGGATCGGGGACGGGGAGGCGGCGGCGGCGGAGGGGGAGCGGGAGCGGGAGCGCGGCCGCGGCGGGCGGAGAGCGGCGGGTGAGGAGCGAGCGGGTGAGCGCTGAGGAGGCCGGGCCTCGCCTCGCCTCAGCGGGCGGAGCGGGGAGGCGGAGGGAGGCCGGGAGGCCGCTGCCTCCCTTTGTGTGGCCGCCGCACGGCCGGGCCCTGGGCACCGAGAGCCGGGCGCCGTGCCCCGGGACGCCGCGGCTCGCTGGCCGTTGGTGGTGCCTCAGAGGGTGGTGGGGCCGCTCTCGAGCCCTGCTCCCCCCCCGTTGTGCCTCGTCCCAGCAGCTCGGGGCCCGCCCCGGGCCGCAACGGGCCGGTCCCCCCCGGGGGACCCCGCTCGCTGCCCCCTCCCTGTCCCTGGGATGTAGGGAGCAGAATGGGGGCGAGCGCCCCGCGGGCTCGTTTTGAGGGTAAATGCGTGAAAAGTGCTCGTTTGGTGAGGTCAGCTCGGGTAATCCCCGCGGCAGCCGGGCTGGTGCGGCTTTGGCTTCTCACCTGTTGTGTGTGTGTGTCGGTGTAAATATACATGAGGGCGGCCCTCAGAATTTCTTATAGAGATCCCAGAGCCATCTAGGTTGGGGAAGACCTCGGAGATCGCCAGGGCCAACCCCCAGCCTGCCCTGCCGGGTGCTGTCACTGAGCCACGTCCCTTAGCGCCACCTGAATACCCCCGGGGCAGCACTCCCAGCCGCCCTTCCAGCCCTTGGCCGCCCTCTCCGTGAATAAATTCTTCCTCCCACCCAATCTCTGGTGCAGTTTGAGACCCTTTCCTTGTGCCCTGCTACTTATTACCTGAGAAAAGGGACCGAGTCTATGTGGTGGGCCATTTTTTTGGGTGGTGTGAGCAGGAGGACCCTGAGCCGCTGTGGTGTAGGAGATGGGGTGGCGGTGGGCGTTCTTGGTGCGACCACGGAGGGACCTGGGAGCCAGCAGTTACATTGCAGAAAATTGAATTATTGATTCCCGCCGTGTCTCCTGGCTTTCTTTCACTGCCGAGGACTTTTGTTTTCTGGTGTGAGCCGTTTGATGCTGCACCTCTCAGATAAAAGTTAGAGGCGGTGCCAGGCGCCGCGGCCGCTGTCCGGTTCTTGAATCTCCCGCTCGGGGAGCACGGAGCTGCGCTGGGTGTGCGTGGTCTGAAAATGTCCAGAGATCTGAACGAGGAACCAATTCCCCCTGGGGGCTGATTTTTGTGTGGTTGTATGAACTAGATAAAAAGGAATCCTTTTTCCATAAAGTGGTTCTGTATGTTCTATGTGGAATTTATGGGGAAAAAAATCAGACTTGACTGCTTGTAAGTTGAAATAGATATATTTTTAATGAAGCTGCCAGTCACTTAATGTTTCTTGCGTATGAGGACAAAAGTCTTCGCTTTGAAGACTTGCACAGGTACATCACCACTAGAGAGACTAACGTGTGTTTTGACCCTAAACATTCTTGTATTGTTTTTATCACTGTACTGCTCCGTGTTGTGCAAGTTCTACTGCTTTCTAGTTTTTACTCTCAGGTCAGATATCACTTCTGTTTACTCCTTGCTCTGCCTGATGAATCATTGCCTTACAAGTGGCTGTGAATTCTGCATTATGTATTCAGAAACGTTAGAGAAATGTGTTTTTTTTTTTTCTGCAAAAGTTACAGAAATGCCTAGTGTTCTGTCCGCAAAATTACTTTGCAGAGTTTCTGCTAAGCTAAAAAAGAAGTTAACCTTGTGCTTCTTGCTTCTTCTCCGTATTTTGAATTACTCAATTTGTTCTCTGACTTTAATTATCTGTCTACTCTCAACTTTCTTCTCTCTCTCTCTTTCCTTGTTCTTGTCTTTCAGTTTTGACTGTACTAACACCATTGCTGATTTGATACTCTTAGCGTGTTACCTTCTCGCAGTATCTGTACTTGGCCATCAGACACTATGAGGAGGCTGGCTTTTCGAGGTGCTGGTTGTACTCTGGTAAATCTGGTAAATTATTGATTGTATGTGCACCATTCTCTCCATTCCTCTGCATTCGGCTTTTGCTTTTCCTTATCCTAACCGTTAATTATTCCTACCTCATATTTATTCATCTCATTTGTGTGCTCAAAATTAATTCTGTCTCTAACATAAATGCTCTAATGCAATTATGTTGTGCTGCCATACCTTGTAAGATCAGCTGAGTACTTGCTAGAATAAAATCCCTTGATTCGGTTGGAAAATGGGAATAAGCTGGAACAGGTGAATCTATTCTGTCCTCAGCATCTCAGACAGCTACAAAAAAAAAAGAAAAGATATTTTTATGATGCTGTCACTAGAAATTGGGAAGGTGACAACAATTTGTTCTGTAAATAACCATTGGTGTTGGGCAGTGGCTGTTCATTTGCCACTGTTCGTGTTGATAAATTAGAAAACATGACCCAAAAAGAAGGTGAATTTTTCCACTGCTTGATGACTGAGCCACTTGTCCTGCACATGAAGCGGGAGTGGTAGTCCATACGATAGTCCAGACGTTTTCTTGGCTTGAATCTAAGACAAGGTATTCAGTAGCAGTTTGAACTTTAGTTTGTCATCTGTCATCTTCATGGTGGTATTTTAATTTTGTTTTGTTTTTATGATCTGAGGTGGGATGAAGTGCGTTTCCACCCAAGCTGAGCACTTCTCTCTGTACAGCTTTTTCCTTTAAAATAGCAGTTCTTGTTCAGTAATCGTGCATGGGATGAGGAATCGAAATGTAAATGGTTCCAAAACGTGTCCTCGTGTCGTCATATCCTCCTAAGAGCTGCTAAATACAGCTGCATCATTGCGAGCCCTGGGCTATCTGACTTCTGCTGTCGGTGACTTAAAACTGCAGGGCCATTTTGACCTCCCTTTAGTCCTGCCAATTTTCAAGGAGGAATCTGGTGTTTAGATATGGTTTAATTGAGCTGTGGTATATGAGAAACGCATAGGACCTATCATAAGGCATAGTTAGCTTAATAGCTAGATCTCATTGGAGGGTTTGAGTGCAATGTCATGAGTTTAAGAACATTTCTCTTCATTATAGAAGAAGTTGGATTCCATGGGTTCCAAGAGGCGAAGAGCAACCTCGCCATCCAGCAGCGTCAGCGGAGGAGACTTTGATGATGGCCACCACTCCACAAACGTACCAGGCCCCAGCAGAAAGAGGAGGAGGCTCTCCAATCTCCCAACTGTAGATCCTGTTAGTACCTTGTTTTGCACAAGTTCTTTCTCCTGGGGATGCTGTATTCCCATCAGGGAAATGCTGGATTGTAAAGTAGGCTGTGCTCCTCACAGTGTACGCTTAGAGGGGCGAGAGCAGCCAGAGCATTTCAATCTTGCTGCACATCTGATGGTCATATTTAGCTGAATTCAGTGTGCCCTGAAGCTTGCTGCCCTGGCTAAGCTTTGTTTAGGATCCAGTCAGCTTTGGCTTGTTCTTAGCTGCCCCTTTTCATTTTTTCCTTTTCCATTTTCCTTTTGCTGCTTTTCTTTTTTTTTAGCTGTTGATTTTAGTAGATAGAAATAGACTGGAGGGAGAACTGAAGTAATGTGCAGAAATTGAGAGCTGTGTCTGAATAGAAAGCGTAGAGAGAGACACAGGTACAGATTGCTGAAACATACGATGTCTTTGTTCTGCTTTTGAGTTAGCAATCTCATTTTAATTAATTGCAGGGCAGAAGAACCCCTGTTGTAGTTCTGTGTCTGTAACTTGCAGAGAGTTGTGCTGAATTAATCTATGTTTTGGGTGTTTCACCTAGAACTGACACTGAAAGGAAGATCCCCATGTTAAAAAAAAAAAAAGAAAGAAAAAAAAGAAAACTCTCTCTCCAAAAAAACTCCTGCGGTACCTGGCATGCTTGCCAGGTATTATGCTAATGCATGAGATACGCCAAGTTCTGCTTTAGAGCACGATGTACGTGGGCAGCTTCCCTTCACATTGTAAGCAGGCTTCAATTAGTTACCTCCTTAAAGTCTTCCTCTTTTTAAAATCATCTTATTGTTCTTGCATTTTAGATTGCTGTATGCCATGAACTCTACAACACCATCAGAGATTACAAAGATGAACAGGGCAGGCTCCTTTGTGAGCTTTTCATTAGGGCACCAAAGCGAAGGTAAGACCTTGTTCTTGTTAAGTGTTGAACCTTAGATGTAACCAGGGAGCGAACGTATTGAGGAATACGTCACCGTTAATGGCTGTGAAGAAACTTAAGCTATGTTTGTCACAGCCTCACAACAATGTTTGATCTGAGTATTTGAGTCCAATTACTCAAGGGGACATCCTGATGTTGGTGCATGGTTTTTGGTCAAAAAAGGGTTCATTCTTTTTAATTGAATTCATTTTAGGGATTTCTTGTGACAAATAAGTTTGCTAATAGAACACTGTCTGGATCTTTTAGCTGTAACAAAAATGTATTGGAACTGTCTTTGTTTTATTTAATCATAGATATGCATAAACTTCAGTGCCGTGGTTTTGATTTTACTGCTTAGAATATAATGCCTATGTTTGTCCTTGCAACAGAAATCAACCAGATTATTATGAAGTGGTTTCTCAGCCAATTGATTTAATGAAAATCCAACAAAAGCTAAAGATGGAGGAGTATGATGACGTGAATGTTCTGACTGCTGATTTTCAGCTACTCTTTAACAATGCAAAGGCTTACTATAAGGTAAGGAAAATATATATAAGGCTCGAATTCATGGGTTATAAAAGTGATAGAGATACATTCAGCTTCTCATTTGGTTTTGCAAAAACCTTTGTTTTGCCTTTATTTTTGGTAAGAAAGCAACATGCACTTACTGTCCTTGTTTGCATATTTTTCCATTACGTTGACTTTATCTTTGTGTGATATCTTGCTGTAGTAATTTTTCTGTGGGGATACTATACAACAGCATGGTTAGAGTCTTTATGTTCTTTTCCAAAACCAAAAAGCAAAAACAGAGAAAAATACTGTTCTGTCAAAGCCTTCACATTTTACAAGATATTCTGTGTGACCTTTTGAAATAGATTTTTTTTTTCCTCAAAAGGAAGAGTTTATAAATAACAGTGAGTATACAGAGAGGTTATTGAATCTGTCTCTTCCATCGGGCACTTACTAAAATGAAAAAAGGCACATTGATTACTGTGGTGACAGATGGTGAGTATATGTAATGTTGTGTTTCACCAAGGCTGCTGCCTCCTTGTCAGTTCCTCCAAACTTGGTATGCATTGTGTTTCCGATGCTGTTTATGGGTTGCATTGCAGTTGCTGTAAGGAAGGAGAGAAAAACTGGAATAATCTCATTTAGTGGAAGCTGTATTAATTACATAAAATAGTGATATTGTATATAGTGACTGAGATGATATGCCAAATTAAAACTTTGCTGCTAATATTGCCTTTAACATATCTGTGTCTTTTGGTGGTGGTCCAAATGTTTGCTTTCTGAATAACCCAGCCAGTGTAATCAGGTGACATTCAGAAAAGCAGTGTTTATTTTGTGTTTGTGCATATTCGTATCTTTTTTGAAAAAGAATCAGATTTATGGATTAATTTATTTATACATCCTGGTTACAGTAGGAAAAAGCACAAAGACTTCAAATTCATTGGGTACTCCTGAAGTTTTGCAAGGCACTTGCTTCCCCTTAATGTTGTCTTTTCTGTTTTTTTTTTTGTTTTTTTTTTTTTTACACAAGGATAAGAAATGATGGCAGGAAACAATGACTAGAATTGTACAAAATGCGGGATGCCGTTGCCTACTGAATACTGGGCTTAGAATTCTGCCTATTGTAAAAACCTTGCATGTAGAATAGGAAACATGTAGCCGTCTTTCAAGGCTGTAGGAATGTTGATGCTGCTAGAGAAACACAGAGTTGAGAGGTGAAGGTATGGCACACAAACATAACCTCATTATTTTTTTTGTCTTATACCTTACCTGAGCAGTTCCAATGACACATTTAATATAAGGAAATCTGATTCATTAGCAAGGTCTTTGTTGCAGTAGGTACTTTATTGGTAATGTTAGACTACAATGGAAACCTTAGGTTTTTTAGTATTTTCACTCAAGTTATGCTTTTGAGCATCTTACAGTAAGGAAGAAGGGAGCAGACTAGCTTTTAAGCCTGGTTTTCATAATTTAGTCTGATGTCTAAAGAATATTTAAATCCAGCAAGGTAAGCTTAGGAATAGTTTTCCTGTTGTTTTCTCATCTGTATTCTAAGCTGCCAGAGACTGAGTGAAGTAGAGTGTAATGAACAGTAATAAGGAGACATATCTGCAACAACACCTGGAACAGGCTATGGCGGGGGAAAGGGAAGGAAAAATACAAAAGTGGGAAAGCAGCCTTTTTTCTGGGTAATTTTCTCAGTTATGTTAATAGGCACATGCTTGTCTGTCACTACCAACTCGGTATTTGCAAAACTTACTTTGCTGACTAATCTAGCTCTTCCCCAAAATATACATAGACATGTAACCAGGTGGCAGCATGTTGTCAAGTTCTTTGGCATTTCACAGTTAATACCACATTATGGAACAGTGCAAATCATTGCAGTGTTTACAGGGGTATTTGCACATCCATTGGCGTTCTTTGGTAGAAATGAATTTTCAAGAGCCGTATAATAGCAGCAGTATTGTCTTCAATCGTGTTTCATGGAATTATATCCTAGAATGGCTTGGGTTGAAGGGGACCTTAAAGATCACCTAGTTCCAACCGCCTGCCATAGGTAGGGACACCACCCACTAGATCAGGTTGCCCAGGACCTCATCAAACCTGGTCTTGAACACCCCCAAGAACGGGGCATCCACAGCTTCTTTGGGCAGCTTGTGCCAGTGCCTCACCACCCTCTGAACATTTCTGGCCATAGTGTTAGCATGTTTTAAATATCAGAACTGATGTGCTGCAACAAAAGCTAGTGATCCCTCAGGATTCATATGATGTGCTTGTCTACACCTCTACTCAAGTAGTTTTATTGCTTGGTTTTCCCAAAGGCTTAAATACTTTGAGGTGATAGACCTTACAATTTCAAGTACTTATTACTATTCTTAATACCTCTGTTAAAGAACAACTCAAGCAAGTATTTCTGAGGTTTTTCTATTATTTAATACACTTAATGCATTTCAACTAAGAATTTATGAAATTTCCTTCAGATAGGAAAATTCTGAATTTAAAGAATGTTTATATTGTTAATTTGTTTGTTTTGCAGCCTGATTCTCCTGAATATAAAGCTGCCTGCAAATTATGGGAGTTGTATTTGCGCACAAAAAATGAATTTGTTCAAAAAGGGGATGCTGATGAGGAGGATGAAGATGAGGAAGGACACGAACAGGGCACAGAACTAGTAAGTGTGGTTGTGGCAGCTGCAGCTGGAGAAAGTCATGCATGGCTCTGTATGTCAGCTGACCCTGAGAAGGAGCTTGGCCTCCATGTTTGGAAAGGCATTCAATCTCTTAATGGTTAAATTACGCTCCAAAAGATATTTTATACACAAGTTTAGTAGTTACCGGTTAATTATTTCACAGCATTGTGTGTATGTTACATTTTTGTCTAGCAAAAAAAAAAAAGATGTTTTCTGATACGGATACATGTAAAATGCGATTCTGGTTCAGGTGAAATTAATATCATGTGTGCTTGATATCATACCAACACTGAGGTTTGATGCAACCAAGCTTTATGTCTAATGGTACAGTTTTCCAGTGTGGGTCCCATTTGGTTAGTGCAGCTGTTCCTGGAGTGTTGTATAAGCCAGATATGACCATAGGAAGTTTGGGTTTGTCTGTTTTTTCCTGTTGTTGGGATGCATGTTTACATGCTGTTAGAACAGACTTGATAGCCAACAGTCATGAAATGTATATCTGGCAGTCCGTAGTGTAAACATGAAATTAAAGTTTTCTCGTGTTTCACCCAAATGCATAAACAATATTGTTTTTCAAAGGTGCATACATCTTTTATAGCTGTTTTTTTTTTTCTGTCTTTGAAAAATTAATTCATATATTTCAATGCAAATTGAAACACTGTACTTTGGCTGTTATTGAAACTGCTTGTGATTTAATTTCTTGTATTAGTCATCTCCAGGTTACCTGAAGGAGATTCTTGAACAGCTTCTTGAAGCTGTAGCTGTTGCCACAAACCCATCAGGACGCCTCATAAGTGAACTGTTTCAGAAACTTCCATCTAAAGTGGTGGGTATTTTAATAGTAATGATTTCATTCTAAGTTTGAAACATGGAAATTTCCATAAATCCACCATTATGCAAAGTCTGGGGATGCGGTACTTCATTACTGTCTCATTAGTGGCAAACTCCAGCTGTTTTTAGAGCTTCTTTGCTCCTGCCCACTCATTCCCAGCCCTGTCATTGCAGATGGGGGTTTGTCCTGTTCTGCCAGTTTAGTTAACTGTTCTTCTTTGGTTGAGTTTTTAATCTTTTTACATCTAAATTAATTTTTCTTATCCAGGGTGTGGCATAACAGGTTTAACCAGCAAAACAAATAATTTGAAGACCATTACCATGTACATGTATTTTGCTTGCAGCCAGAACTGTTTCATTTCATCAATAAACTGATGTAAAGTAATTGCAGGTATCTGCCTTAGATCTGACTCTCCAAATTGATGCCTGCTGCTATGTTTATGAAATTTACACTGTTCTTACCTGCATTTAATTTTTGCTAATAGCTCACAGAATGGCTCACAGCTGTTTGTAATAATAATTTTTCTTTGTTTTCCAGCAATATCCAGATTATTATGCAATAATAAAAGAGCCCATAGATCTTAAAACTATCGCACAAAGGATACAGGTACAGTAAGCTTATTAGTATATCATAGAACACTTCCTTTTAAACAAGTCTGAAATAAAAGTGATAAAAGCTAGAGTTAAAGTGGATAGCAAAAGCAGTGCATTTTTCCCTGCTACTGAGAAATAGGAACGCTCTGCTGATTCAATGTTCTCTCCTGGCTTAATGCTGCCGAAATAGCTGTGCTGAAGGTCTAGCATTGTAAACCATAGTGTGCTGGCACTGAGCTTGAATCCTAGGTTCCTTGATGTTTAATTGTGTAAAGTAATTCCTTGGCAAGTACTATTGACATAAAACATCGATGTATTGAAGTGTGGTCATGCATTATCATCACCTCCTTCTGCTCTAGTGCTGAAAATAGATGTTTTGTACTGATGCATTTTTTGATTTGCTTTTCCAGCAATTTGAAATACTGTTCTGTAATTCTAGCATTTTGTGTAATAGCAAAGAATAACACAAAGGCTAATTGAACTAGAGAATAAAGGTGAAATAACATGTTGTCAGAACCCTTCAAAATTAAGATAATCTACTGTATTAATTTTTTTTCCATCTTTTACTTAGTGCTCGTATGATCAAGAAGGACTTAGCACTTCTGTTGTGTTTTTTTAAAAGTACTTACCTGTTTTTTATAAATGTTCTCTTTATTCTATAAATGTTGTCTTTATTCCTTATGAATTCTCTTTGCTTTTGACTTCATTCTCATGCTGTCTGAAGATTGTCAATAAGCAATGCTGCTTTTTCTTGTGTAGAATGGGACTTACAAAAGCATTCATGCAATGGCCAAGGATATAGATCTTCTCGCAAAGAATGCCAAAACCTACAATGAGCCTGGATCACAAGTGTTCAAGGTTAGTTTTAGCTGTTAATAGTTAAATCAAAGTTCAGATTATCTCAGGAAATGAGTTACATGACTTCTTTGGAAGAATGGAGTATCCCGTTACTTTTGTGATTGACGTAGAAATGGCTGAAACTACAGGTTAAAATGATAGCAGTAATTAGCTATTAATCTCTTCATGGATCTCAGGAACTGTTTGTGGTTTTCATCATAAGCTTAAAAATCAGAGTAATGCATTCTTTGCATGGTTCTTGAAGATCCTCTTTCCTTTATCTGTATTGTTATGACCAAATTACGCCTACAATCTCAGGTAGTTAAATTGTTTTATATCTAAATGTATAAAAACAAAAAACTTATTTTTGTTTTGATTTGAATTGCTCTAGCTGAAAATAACATTCTTTGTTTTCAACTTTAAACAAAAAATTCTTTTAATTGACAGGATGCAAATGCAATTAAAAAAATATTTAATATGAAAAAAGCTGAAATTGAACACAGTGAGTTGGCCAAGTCAAGTCTCCGAATCAGGTACTGGAAATAGAGTTCTCTTTATAAACTCATGAAAATCTCTGTAGATATTCCCTTAATTTTGCTGTGGCAAATATATGGGGAAATGTTTGCTTGCAAACTCATTTTATTGTTATTTTAAAAGTTATAAACCACAAAATGGCTTTCAAATAGGAATTTTTTATGGAAATACTTCTGTGGTGAAATATTTCTGTGGTATGCTTGATTGTCAAAAAGAAAAGTGTAATTGTCTCTTTTAAGCTACGACCAACTTCCACCATATGTGTTTGTAAGTTAATAATGGAAAAGGAATGGTGAGGAAACAGTTTTTGTTTTGTTTTGATGTAGAAAAAATGATGAGCATTGTTGAACCTTATTAGGGCTTGAAACACAAGAGCTCACAATAAGGTAGGGGCAGAAACACAGCAACAAGACCACAGGCAATAGGTATGTAGAATAAAGTTCATATTATATAAACTCTTAGTTGAAAATCTGTTTCTGTCTATGAAAGAGGCACAAGACACTGAAGATCTGGACTTACACATCAGAGGAGTAGAGTTTGGGTCTTGAACAGGCAGGTATAAAATACTGTTGATCGTCGTATTTATTTCACAGAAAGATTTTACTTGGGAAATGGTGCTACCTGTGAAAATCCATGGTGTACAGAGAAGTGATGTAGTCATTATAGATTTTTTTTATCTGAAATGCAATTGGATTTATTCTTGTATAGATTTTTACTTCTGAGTACCAGTCAAAAGTAAATTTAAATACTGTTTTCCAGTATGAGCTGCATCATTTATCCAGAAAATAAATCCATGTCTTGCAAGTCCTCCAAGGAGTTAGCAAACTCTTTCTAGGATAGACTCTGTATGTATATGAGCTCTTTAGTAGCACTTGATACTAGAAAATAAATCCTGTTCACGTCCTGTGAAGGTTTGTGTGGTATAACTGAGAACCCTAGCACTCCCTTCTTTTACTGAAAGGCAGGTTTTATTGCGTTGCTTTTTTTGTGGTTGTTTTTGTTTTCTTTTATTTTTCTCCAGGAAAATGTTTAGATAGTGTTAGTCCTGAGCAATGTGTTTAATACTACTACGTGTGAAAGAAGTGAAAGTTACCTACTTGATTATTACTGTTTGGTGCTTTGAGCTGCTCAACGTATGTAATGGTTTTCCAGGCTCATTCTCAGTGTTAGCATGCTTCCCATGTTGTGGGAACCATTGTCAGAGCTATTGCTGCCAAAAAGGACAATATAAAAACAGAAACGTTGTTAAGGAGTGATTCTTGATGTATATTCTAACAATTTCTCTTAAAAGTATGTGTGGTGCCAGAAGATCTTGATTCTACAAACATGTAATGTACATAATGTATTTGATGGAATACATACAGGCCTACAGGTTTTCTATATAGATTGTGGCTTTTATTTTTTCCTTACTGCATTGATGAAGCTCAGGATGTCCCAAGTTGTATTTAATTTGGAGACTTAACTGTTTTTCTTCAAAATAATGCTATTTGCACAAAAAGGGATGACAGATAAATCACACTGATATTTGTTAGTTGAATTCCTCTCTTACACTGCCAACCCATTTCTACTTCTCAGCTCCTTTATTCTAGATGTTCTTACATTCTCAGTGGATCTATGAGGCCTGAAGTAATCTGAATGTCAGAATAATTGACAGCTCCCTTCTTTGTTTCTGTAACTTGGCAAAAAATATTTATTTGTAGTGCCTGAAACAGGCTATAATAATACTGACCTGCTTTTGTGTGTGTGTGCAGTTTGTGTTTTTTTTTTTTGTTGCTGCTTTTTGTTTGTTTGTTTGACACCAAAAAAGAATGGGTGAGAGGAAAGTGTAGTGAAAAACCAAACCTTTCACCTGCTGTTCTGAAGCATTTCACTGGTTGCTCTTTTTATTACACCATTGTTCTTTTTGTTGTGTGTTTTTTTGCTGAATCTGCATCACAGAATCATTTATAACAATTGTCTCAACCGGGGGTCTCTTTTACTTATTGCTGATTTTGGTTAAATACCCCCATAAGTTTATTTAATTTATTTTATTTTTCTTCTGGGTTTATGTCCATTTTAATTTGTCTTTGGTGGATCGTGCTCCAACTCCTCATAATGCTACTAACCAAAGTCCTGCAGCTGTGTTGCCTCAGTGTCACAAGTAACCTTGCTCTGCCAGCGCAGAGTTCTTTGTATCCTTTGTCATACTAAATTGCTCTCTGTCAGTGCATTTAACTGTCCTCCCTTAAATAAAATCACACAATAAAGTTGCTTGACAATATGCAATGTCGACTATTGGTAAAACACGATGGATCTTTATAATTAGCTTTATGTGGATGCTAAGGAACATTTTGCTGGCTGCTTTCGCTGCTATTGTAGGCTGAGCTGTGTGTATAGCTATTAATCCTCAATCTAAATGTTATCTCCTCCTGACTTTTTATAAAAACAAAATCAATATTAAAATGCCGGGCCCCTAAATGTATCTTAGTGTTACTTTACTTTTGGCTTTAAAACATATATTATTTTTTTAATTCATTTCTGGACCTTTTGTCTGCACTATCAAAGTAAGTCTGTAAACAGCTATATTCTTGCTGCATCTTTTCTTGGGTCTAAGGTGGGCCTCTTTTGTTCCCCTTTCCTTGGCTTGTCTCTTCTACCTTAAGGACTCCATCAAATTTGACTGCTTCCAAGCTGACAGGTCCTTCCTCACAGGGTAAAGGCAGTGTTGGTGATGAGAGAAATTCTTCTAACAAATATTATCGGTAAGTAAATTGTGGACTTGGAGGAAAAGCTGGGTCATCATCACATGAAAATACTGATTTATTTTATTTATTTTTTAATTTCAGTTGGGAGCGCTCTTCAATGATCAGTAGTGACTTCAATACTTTTGATTTCAAATATATTTTAGTCATATTTAGTGTGGTTTGAGAAGTTACTTTGCTGTAATTGCTCTTCCATGTTTGATTTTAGATTTAATGTTTGAGAACACCTGTCATTAAATACTCCTGTGTACAATTATTTCATTAGAAATGTTGTGAAGATCAATATGCTAGGCTTCATTACAAAATAAAGCAGGTGAAAAATCACATACAAGTAAATTTGTAAATCTAGGCAAATAGTATTTGGAGGCTGAAAATGAATAAGTAGGACTAAATAAGAGATGGTAGATGGAAACCAATAAAATAAAAGCCTGTAAATAGCAAGTATTGAATTTAGGATGCACTTACAGCAGACTTACTGGGTAGACTTGCTTACTAGAGGCATTCTGGTTTGTTCTTTCATTCATCAGTTGAGAATTTTGGTACGTATCAGAGGTGTTGTCTTCAGTCTAAGAGTTACTGTCTGGAACCAGTACTACTCCCGGCAAATTCTTTGTGTGTACTCTTGAAACCATGGCTGAACACTCAGCAGCAGCAAGGCTCTTTCAGGTGTTGAGCATTTGTATGGAGTTGGTGTCATTTTAAGCAGCATATCCAATTTTTTCCCAGACTTGACTGCTCCTGCAGGGCAAGACTGAACCCACTTCTGGTGTGAAATGCTGTGTCCCAGGTTTGGGAGAAAGAGAACGTTGCTGAAGAAGGCATCGTGAGAGCATAGTCACTTAAAAACGAGAGAAGATGCTTCACGGGCAGCCACTTTGTGTGTTGAAAAACCTCAAGTAGTGCTGGGGGAGAGAGAGAATTAGGTGTATACAGCTTAAAGCATGCTAGATTTCTTCATGTAGACAAATCCCTATAAAGTGAGGTTAAATAACACTGTTATTAATTGGGAGTATAATTAATACTTGTTACCCTTCCCAATTAGTAATTCAAATACTCGGGCATTCAAAGTTGGACAGGATATGTACAGCTTGAACTCTAGCTTTCTGATTGCATGTCCAATTTTTCAGTTTGAAGGACCACCCCAAAGAAGGAGGCAAACTCATGGGTCATTAACAGTTTCCTTTGCTAAGCTCTCCATATATTTTTTTTTGGCATAGTCACATCTGTTTTCTTGATAATGTAGGTAACTGTCACGAGTTCCATTGGTTTACTTACACACTCAGGATGGCTGTTAATGGTGGTTTGATAATGAGAACCTTTTGCTATTTTTTATTTCTGAAATCTCTTTCTTTCTTTGTTTTCTTTTTTTTTGTAGTAACAAAAGATCAGCCCAGGGGGATCGTTTATCAGCAATTACTATGGCATTGCAGTATGGATCAGAAAGTGATGAGGATGCAGCTTTGGCTGGTAGGAACTGAAATGCTGTTTTATTTTCTTTAATTAAAGTACTTGGAATAAGCAAAACTGTACAGCTGATCTCTTCTAGCGTGTATATTTCCGGAAATATACACACTCTTCTAGCGTGTATATTTCCGAGTATCCTTGGGTGTTCCTTGCTATAAAAGATTCACAGTGCTATGTTTGTTTGAGAGGAATCTCACGCTTGCTCGTTCTGGTTTATATTCTCTTGCTGTCTTGTGCCATTGGGTCTGTCTGAACCTATCCCTCAGGCAGATCAACACTACCTCTCAACTTGATGTTATCTGCAGACTTACTGAAGGTACGCTCTGTCCCCTCATCTAGGTCATTAATAAAGATATTAAACGAGATAGGCCCCAGTACCGACCCCTGGGGGACACCACTTGTAACGGGATGCCAGCTGGACTTAACTCTATTAACCACAACCTGCTGGGCACGGCCCTCCAGCCAGTTCTTTACCCAGAGAAGAGTGTACGTGTCCAGGCCACGGGCAGACGATTTCCCCAGGAGATTACTGTGGGAGACCGTGTCGAAGGCTTTGCTGAAGTCTGGGTAGACTACATCACCAGCCCTTCCCTCATCTGCCGGTCTGTTCACGCGGTTATAGAAGGAGGTGAGGTTGGACAAGCACAACCTGCCTTTCGTGAACCCGTGCTGGCTGGGCCTGATCCCCTGGATGCCATGCATGCGCTGTGTGATCTCATCCAAGATGATTTGCTCCATAACTTTCCCTGGAGCCGAGGTCAGGCTGACAGGCCTGTAGTTCCCTGAATCCTCCTTATGGCTCTGCTTGTAGATGGGAGTCACATCAGCAAGCCTCCAGTGCTCTGGGAGCTCTCCAGATAACCAGGAACGCTGATAAATGGTGGAAAACCTGCCAGTCACCTCTGCCAGCTCCCTCAGCGCCCTAGGGTGGAGCCCGTCTGGTCCCATGGACTTGTGACATTCCAGATGGAGGAGCAGGTCTCTAACTGTCTCTTTCTGGATCACAGGGGGTGATTCTCTACCTGAATCACAGGGGATGTTCAGGTCAGGGCGTAAAGTACCCTGAGCATAACTGATCCGACTATTAAAGACAGATGTAAAGGTGTTGAGAACCTCAGCCTTTTCCTTATCTTCAGTGATCACATTCCCTGCTTTATCAAGTAAAGGATGGAAATTGTCCTTGCTTCTTCTCTTACTGTTAATATATTTGTAAAAGGATTTCTTGTTCTCTTTTACTGCAGTGGCCAATCTGAGTTCAAGCTGGACTTCTGCCTTTATAACTTCCTCTCTGCATATCTTAGTAACTTCTTTGTAGCTGCCCCAAGTAAGCTGTCCCTTCTTCCAGGATGTAGACTCTTTTTTCTCCTGGAGTCTCAACAAAAGTTCCTGGTTTACCCATGTTGGTCTTCTTCCCCTCCGGCTTGCCTTACGGGACTCAGGAACAGTCTGCTCCCGTGCCTTTGAGACTTCCTTCTTGAGGAGCACCCAGGCTTCCTGGATGCCTTTGCCCTTCAGGAGTGACTCCCAAGGGACCCCTACAACAAATGTCCTGAACAGGTCAAAGTCACCTTCCAGAAGTTTGAGATAGCAGATATAGATATAGAGAGTTAAATCTGTGAGCCTCTTCGGTTGTAGCAGTTGCCTAAGCAGTGAACAATCAGTTTCCAACATGGAGTTTATCCGCACAGTTTCAGAGGCTGTCATGATGTAAAGGAAATTGTAGAAGGTTTCCAGCTCAAATGTACTCAATATGAACAGCTTCTGCAGCTACCTGAAGTATAGATATGTAAAGACAGGTGTAAAAGGTCATTATAAATTACTTGTTTATAAGTATTTCACGTCAAGTCTGGATGTTGCTCTTGGCTGTACTAGAATCTGGCTTCGGTTACATCTTGAGCATTCATTGTTATCTACGTGCTTTGGGACCTTGGGAGACATTGATTAAAGCAAATTACTTGCTGAGTAAAGACTAAGTTTCTTCCATATACATTTATATGCTTTCCTAACTCTGTTCCTTCCCTGCTGTAGCACTGTGTAAGCGTACACGTATGCTTTACTGCATATTTCTGCTGTACCTGCTCACTGTAGTTGTGGTAACAGCTGCGTGAAAGAGGAGTAACTGACTGTTCCTCTGTGCTGCCAGCATGTTCCCTGGAGACCTGGTGCTACTGAATGCTCAAGAATCTGCGGTCTTGCATTATGTGGCTGGTTGTACAGCCAAATGTGGATTTTTGTCTTCTGATCCAAATAGTAACTTCTTCAGTTCTCAAGATAATGTGTTTCCTGTTATTCAGAAAATGCTAATGTTCTACTATGTAAGAATATGTAATGGTTGGCACACATCTTTTAAAGAGCATACATGTTATAATGAAAATATTTGTAGTTGTATTCTGATGTGTTACATAGACACTTTCCTTTTAGTGCTTGTTTAATTTACTGAGATTTCATTTTGGTGAATGTCTTGTGTTCCACTTCTTACACCAAGGAATTACATTTCTTGTTTAGGATATTGAACTGCTTTTTTGTTGTCTGCCATGTCACAGAATATTAGCATGCTTGTTTCGTGTTTTTCTCTCACATAAAAACAAGTTCTCCTTTTTTCTATTCTGTTCCTTTTTGATGGAGCAGTCAGAACTGAACTGTTTGAGTAAACAATAGCAAAGACAGGATTTTGTTGCATATTCTACTTCAGAAATTTATTTTACTTGGTAGCTGTCTCTTAGCCATCAGGATTTATCTCTGCATTCAGACTGGTATGTTAGGTGTGGGGAAGAAGACAGAGTGTTGTCTTCAGTCTTTTGTTTCTACCTGAGTGATCCTGTCCAGCTCCTGCTTTGCAGGCTGCTGTAGTAGCTGCTCTGCCATTATGCAATGCTGCTTGGCGTACACGCGTCTGATAATTTTAAGCATCTCCTCTGAATTAGTAATGAACGTCTCTGTAGTGTTTGCGCATCTGCTGTGGTCTGCTTGTGTTTTAGCTTGCGTCTAGCTTGTCTGGTACACTCATGTAGATCTGCAGTGTCAGACTGCAGAGGAAAAATGATAGTACTATGTTGATATGCAGTCAGAATGTCCTCTGGCTTTGTCATCATTTCAATACATCTTTACTGAAATCGAGTAGAAAATTTGAAACGTTGCCAGCCTCTATTGAGCAATAATGAAAATGCCAGCTGGAAACTTGGCTTGAGCATTAGAGAACTGTCTTTTTGTGTAACTGAATTATCCAGCATGTCACCTGCCAAGCTTTCCTCTAAATTGGGATTCGTAAGAGAGCAAACAAGGATGAATAAATAGCTGTGTATGCAAAAACACATAGATTTTATTACTATGCCTGTCTGCAAGGTACAAATTATGCCAACTGTGTTACAGTGCAGTAGAAGCATTGGCCATTTATTGCTTCCCATCCTATATTTCTGTTGCCAGTGTTTTTTCATTCCGTCTGTGTTTCTGTTGCTCAGTAACATTTACTGCAGATGAAATTAGGAGAAATGTTACTTCATCAGAGTAGCTCTTTTGTTCGTCCTAATCCTGAAGCATAATACATGCTTCATAAAGACTATAGGAAAAGTCTGCTATGAACATTTTATAGTACAGTATTTATTGATTTTCGAATTATTATAGAACTAGCATAAAGTGTTTATTTCTCTTTCACTTTCTGCATATTAAAGGTGAGCTGTAGTGTCAGACTTGCCTGTTAAAGTTCAGATTTTTTTTTACTTGAGCCAGGATTATTATGCAATTACTATATAATGGGATTACTATTTAAAAGATTACAGAAGTTCTGAAGTAATCTTTTTTGATATATATTCAAAAATTCATTTTTATTTCAGCCATTTTCCCTAACAGACTAAAGACCTTTGAAAATTCTAGATACGTTTTTTCAGTTCATATTCTTGTAGTGTACTCCAGTCAGATAGCAAAATCACAGTGATTCGGTGTACAAATGTATTTGGTACGGATATTGGTAGTAATGGTTTGACTGGTAAATAAGGGTGTAGCTGTTTTTATAGGTAGTGTGCTTCAATACTCCTGTTTAGTGTGAACACTTCTGCACGCTTCTATATGTAGAGTTTATTACCAGTGACTGAACTGAAGGCTCATCTGATAAGAGAACTTGCTATTTAGAAAAAGTGTGTTGTTTGTTTGTTTTTGTTTTTTCCCATCAGCTTGGGGCTTGTGAGGTGTAGCCATTTGTGAAGTCCTTTTCTGGCTTGTGAATCTGACTACTGTAGAGTGGCTGAACACCCTCAACTGAGGGTCTGCATTTTGTTCCAGTTTAGTTCTCTATTTGAAAAGTCATTAAAAAAATCACTCTGACTTGTCCTGCTGAGAGTTTCTCATTTTTCCTTTCTCTCTGTGCAGCTGCTGCTCGTTATGAAGAAGGAGAATCTGAAGCTGAGAGCATTACTTCTTTCATGGACACTTCTAATCCTCTTTATCAGCTTTATGATACAGTTAGAAGTTGCCGAAATAATCAGGGCCAGCTCATATCTGAACCCTTTTTCCAGTTGCCCTCTAAGAAAAAGTATCCTGATTATTACCAGCAAATTAAAACACCTATTTCATTGCAGCAGATCAGGTAAGAAAATGCAAACTGCCTCTGGTGCGATACTATTCAAAGGCTCCTTTCATTTCCAGCATCCTTAATTGCGGTCAAGTTGCTGACCTCTCATGCAGCGATACCATTTTTCCTCTGTGCTTTGTTGCTGCTTGTTTTGTGTCAGTCTGCATCAGTCTTCTAATCATCTTTTATCAATGGCTGCCATCCATGGGTTTATTTTCCACAGTGTTTCATTAGGAATGTGCCCAGGTAGTTGCCATATCAATAATTCTGAAGGTGAGGTGCACAGCAGATGCGAAAGCTTCTGCAGAACACTCTGTTATGCCCTTCCCTTTATCCTGATGGCATGGTTACCTCTTACTGCCATGTTTCTTAAATCAATAGTCTTCAGCAATGCAAACTGTGGAAAGGTGTTTGCAATTATATTCCTTCTGTTTAGGTCACAGTCTAATTGTAGAGAATAATTACTTTCATTCATGATGTAGTTAGTCTGGAGAGAAGTGCTAATGTAGCACACTGTTCATAAATCTGTGAGCCCTGCAAGATTCCTCAGCTGCCAGAGCACAGCTGTGGGATAAAAACGTGTGTAAAAAGCAGTGAGCTTATCTTGGGCCGCTAAAACCCAGGATAAACTAATATATTCACCATGTTAGCTCCATCGTGTATCAAGGTGCTGAGTGCATTAACAGGTCTTCATGGCCCTGACTAGCTTCAGGTGGTCCTGGCTTCCTTCCCAGGGACCTGGGAGCCCCATTTCAGGCCCTGCCTGAGCTACATGGTAGGAGTGCTGGTCTCCAGCCCACCACGGCCATGCCTTTTTCTTATGTCTTCATACAACTGTTGGCTTGGCAAAGGAATCATCTTTTCGTGAATGAAGCATAAAACACATTTGTTGGAAAAAAGATGAAATTGAGAACATCACTGGCAATTCTCAGGGAGCTTTTTGTCTGAATGTACCAAAGGGTGTTTGTTCTAATTATGTATATGTGGATTTAATTGGGAGAAACCTTGTTTTGAAAATGTACTTGGTATCAGGAGAAATAATTTGCCATAGGGAGGCAGCTATTACTCTACTTTCCTTACAGAGTAGGCAGGGTGCACCTTGCTGTCTGAGCAAAAATGATGCTCAGATGTATATACAGAACTTTTAAAAAAGATGGCATTTCTCATTGCCTCAGAGCTTAGAAAACAAAAAAGTACAGTCTTCTTAGAAATAGTAATTTTAATGCACGAGTTAAATTATGATATTTATAATAGTCTACATTGTTTTAGCAAATTCTGAAATTCAATTATTGTTTAAATTGCCACATAATCTTCTCTTACTATGCTTAAGAAGGCTTGAAGTCATGCATATGTGTACTTAATTGCTATGCTTTAGGGAAAACTGAAGCAATCATGGTTTTACTGATATTACAACCATGCCTTTAGGTATTCAAAATAACCACTCCGTAGGGGTGGAGAGGTAGGATTTTTTGGCTTGGGGTGGAGGGAGGCACTTTTGTGTGTTTGGAGATGCACATTCAAGGAGTACATCTGTTCATAGACGGGGACAGAGAAGTTAATTGTCCTAGCACAAAACTGAAGGTGTTAGAGAGTACAGCCTGGCATTCCAGTCTCAAACCGTTTTCTGCATTGGCATCTGGATACTTGGGCTATGTACTGTCAGAGTGGACTGTGAAAAGGGAGCCAAGTATTTCCTTTTCCCCTGCCCCAGTCTGCTGTCACTATAAATTTTGCAGCTAATCCTGTATTTCAGGAGTCTGTGTTTGTTAAATGCAGGAAAATCCTTGCTCAATGATTTATGATAACTACAGAGAGAGTATCACAGGTGTGGGTGTGCTTTGTTTGCTTGTTTTAATGAGATGCAGATTATAACCGTCCCAACCTCCTGAGTGCTTTGAGCACTAAGAGCCTCAGTGACTCGAGCTGAGTGCTGATCCCAGGCTGATTCTGGATGCGGGAGGTAATCCTGCTTGAGTTTCCTGCTAGTTTCCTCATGCCATGCTCTTTACAGAAATACAGAATAGTTGGGGTTGGAAGGGAGGCCGTCCCCTCCAGCCACCTCATCAAGCAGGGTCACCCAGAGCAGCTTGCCCTGGACTGTTCCCGGTTGGCTTTGGAGCATTTTCCCTGATGGAGACTCCTCAACCAACCTGGGTGACCAGTACTAGTGTTTTACCATCCTCACAGTTTTTTTGTTGCTGTTTTTTTTGTTTGTTTGTTTGCTATTTGTTTGTTTTTAAAAAGTTTTTTTTTTTTTATTGTGTTCAGATAGAATTTCCTGTGTTTCAGTTTTTGCTTCTTGTCCTGTCAGTGGGCACTGCTGAGGCGAGTTTGGCTCCTTCTTTGTTCCCTCCCATCGGGTGTTTATCCACACTGATAAGACACCCCCCAAACCGACTCAAGGACAACAAACCACAGAGCTGCAGAACAAGGATATCCCCTTTAAAAATGACACTATGAAGGCTGTGCTTTTTAAGGGGTGGTAGAAGGACATGGTATGCAGGATATTTTGCAAACTTAGCATGGCTAAAATCCTCTAATTCAACAGCTGGAGGGATAGTCAGGAAGCAACGCAGGAACACACAGAACGTGCTATTAGGTGGAACACAAGTGCTGGATCCTGGCGTGCTTACAAGAACTGTGATACTCATTACGTTTTATAGTGTTAGTAAATATGATCCTGAAGGCAAGTGAATCAGCCTTTCCTCCACCAGGGAATTCCCTGGCAGCTGTCCTCGCCTGATCTGCATGTGAGAGGTGTGTGTGTGTGCAGGGGCGCTGCAAGCATCGCCTTTATTGGCATGCCCCAGTGTCTTCTGCTCTAGGAAGCTAGGGGCCACAGCTGTTTTTTTTTTTTTTTTTAAAAGAGTGGATCTAGCATAAAGCACACTTGGTTTTGTGTGACATCCACTTCTTGAGTGTTTTTTTTTTTTAAATGTGCTTTTCTTATGGATATTCATTCAGTTGTATGTGACATGGGAATTTAAACTTCACATTTTACTGCACTAGAGTGGATTGAGATTCTCTTTAAACTGAAATTAGCGTTGGCTTTTGTTACCTCAAGATTAATTACTTGAGTTGAATTTATAATAAAAATGATCATCTAGTGAATAGAACTTGAAAGAGCAGAGACTGCTATCTGGGCTAGTCTGAATGTTTATATAAATAACAGCTTAAACCTATTACAAGTTAAGTTCTTAACATAAGCATAACTTTTTTTTCTTTCTTTTTTTTTTTTCCAAATATTTTATTATTATATTGACTTGGAAAAATAATATGTCACTGTTACGGTTTGCTTGATTTATGAATGTGCCAACTGGGAAAACGTTAGTTTTGGCCTCGCTTTGCAAAATAAACTGATGTTTATAAAACTCTTCTGTTACAAGATTGACAACTATTAGAGAGCCTCCAAAGGAGGACCACAAAGATGGGCAAGGGTCTGGAGGGCAACACTCATGGGGAGCGGCTGAGGGCCCTGGGTTTGCTCAGCCCAGAGCAGAGCAGGCTGAGGGGAGGCCTCATGGCGGCCTGCAGCTCCCTCACGAGAGGAGCGGAGGGGCAGGCGCTGAGCTCTGCTCTCTGGGAACAGCGACAGGACCTGAGGGGACGGCATGGAGCTGGGACAGGGGAGGGCCAGGCTGGTGTTAGGGAAAGGTTCTGCTCCCAGAGGTGGTCGGGCCCTGGGACAGGCTGCCCAGGGCAGTGGGCATGGCACAGAGTTGCTGGAGCTCAAGGGGTGTTTAGGCAGCGCTCTCAGCCATCAGATCTGAGTTTTGGTGGTCCTGTGTGGAGCCAGGAGCTGGTGGCTCCCTTCCAATGCAGGATATTCTATGATTCTCTGATAATATTCTAAATTGAGAAGAGGCATGGTACTTGAGTTCTGCTGAGTTTGAGTATAATTAACTTCTCTGAATAGTCTTAATTAATCACCCCGTTGTTCACTGACAGCAAGTGTGTTGAAGAGGATCATAAGGTAGGAGGTTATTTGGAGGCTGTAACAGGATTACTTTTGCACCACTGGACTTTTCATTCTTCATATGTGTGGTTGGAAGTTGTCTGTCTTTCAAAACCATGTGGGCTAAGTCTTGATTCTACTTCTGTGGTCAGGCCTTTGATGAATTCAACTGTGAATGTAGGTTGTTCGCTTAAAATCAGACGGACTGCACCTCGTGTATCTAGTTGTGGATAAGCATACAGTAATAGAAGCAAGATTTTATTTGATGGTAAGGTAATTTGGATGACAACTCAGCCTTTTATAAGACAGGGTTTCCTCATCTTGTCTTCTGACTCTGGGTTAAGATTTAATGGAGTAAGAATTAAGCTGCTTTTCTTCACTCGTGAGCTACTGTCAGGGTCTTCACTTCTCTATCAGCTTAAAAATTCTGCTTCTGTAGAGTCATGAGGAGGAAGAGAATTAATTTTCATAGTATGGTATAAGACTAACAGCAACTTCATTTGTTTCTCTGCATTGTGGTGCTTGAGGATTAGGCTGCAGTACCACAACGTGCATATGTCACTGCCTAAATGCACACATGAAGCTAGTGTAAGATACTGTGGCATGCGGAATAAGTGGTACATTTTAGATGCTCCGTGTGACAGTGGTGTTCTGGAGTCTGCATAAGCAATCCCAGATTTAGTAGTGTCAAGTGGCTTGGGATCTGCTGATAGGAAGAATCACCAATTTTTTTTTACCATATCATGAAAACACACAGGGCCAATTTAGAATGCTCTTTTCATAAAAAGAGTTGTTGTAGGCAGGATATATTCCGTAGGAGACATTACTGCTTTGTTCTGCCTGCAGCTTGCTTTGGATGTGTTTCACTTCAAAGGATGTGGCAAGTTTCTCCTTTCCTCAGTTTGATAAAACTGGCACCTAAACATACTGAATTTGGTTGAGCAGGACCAGGTTATGTTACTAATAAGTAAATCAGATTTACCTTATCGTACCGATAGTGTTCCTTCAAAGATTTGAAACTTGGATGCAATATAGATATAGAACTGTATATTGGCTTTAATATCTCATGAGGATTGTAGTTCATGTTCTTAATCAGTGTAATCCTAGACCTTTTGATTCTTATTTCTTTTTTTTTTTAATGCTGACATTAATGCAGTTTTAAGTTGCATTTGGAGAACAACTCCAAATAAAGAGGAGTAGTACAAAGTGATTGTGACGAGTGATTTGATTTGGAAAAACAGTACTTCAATTGGGATGCAGCCTTCCAGGTGTCTCTCTCAGAAATCTGAACTTACACCTCATGCAACAGCAATCAAAATGCAAACTTGCAATTCTGTAATTTTAATTTCTTAAATTAATGGGGAGATTAGCAGTTGTTTTCCTTACAGTTCTTGTTCTTTCTGCCATCTAATCTCTTAAAACTTACTTTAGTTAGAAGGCAAACATGTCAGAATTGCAAATGAATATATTTATAAACTGCATGCTGCTAATATTTAAGCAAAATTTGAGCAAAGAGTTGAAAGGTAGGAGCGCTGCATGCAGACTTGCATGCTTTCAGGGGGCTGAACAGCAGAACAGATCTTGAGAGGACTTTATCATAGCTCTGATTATGATTGTTGAAGCATGATTCTTTCTCCTCTAATAGTTATCTTTAACAGTAAAAAGCATTGAGGCATTTTAGACATTTGTCTTCAGTATTTAATATTCAAATCTAAGGCTGTTGTGGTAGGTTTCATGTCATTAGATCCCTACTTAGAGCCCAAGCCTGCAAGTTTATCAGTATGAGAGGTCGCTTTTGACTGAGGAAGATCACCTGGAAATAAATGACATGGGTGCCATCCATATCCAAAGGCAGAGAGAATCTGTTGGTCAGTATATCTTTCAAGTGCTTCTTATGAATTGATTTCTGCACAGGATTTGCTATTTTTGATTTTCTTTTTTTTTTTTTTTCCTAATATTCTTCATTTCGTAAGTAGTATAGATGACTTGGAAACTTTTTTCTAAGACGTAGAATTGCATGCATTTAGTCATTATTTTTGTTTTCTATTAATCTGTTGAAAGTTTGTATCTATAATAGCATCTGTAAACAAGGAAATTGCTGGTTATTTACACACTTATTTACCCTGTGTGCCTTGACAGATTAGGATGTTCTTAAATCATTCAGTTTTGAAAAACTAAAAGCAGCCAAAGTTTTTAATAAATTTGGTTTTATTGATCAGGATTTCTGGTGCAGGTTTTCTTTTAAGCCTTTCTATTCCATGTTTTCTCAAGTTCTTAATGATGCTTTATCTTTTGCAATACCAACAAGAGCTTGTGTGCTGACATCCTGTAATGGCTTGTCAACATTTTGTTGGACTCGAAGAACTCATTTGTACATTTCACTCCAAAGATTTTGCTTTCTGAACCAGCCACTATTCAGATTAGCTGGAAAAAATATGGCATGGCCTCTAATGTTTGTTACCAGACAATGGCAAGAGCATGGATTGGACTCTGTATTTACATCCTGAATATGTAGGAGCATACACATCACAAGTTAGTGGTCTTTTGGGAAAAACAGTCCTGAATGTAATGAGTAGCAACAAATAATTTTCTCCACATCTTAAATCTAGGATATTTGTCCATTTTTTTTTCTCATAGACATTGAGGGAACTCAAGTTCTTTGGATCTGAGAGAAAAGGCAATTACTACAGACATATGCAGCTGGCATCCAGGAAACATGCGGTTAGTTGGATGTTTCCTGCAAGAAAATTCTGTAGATCTGGAAATACACGTGCACTTCTCAGTAGTTCTTATAACAGTAAAGCAGTGTAATATTGCTGCAGTAACACCTTGCAATTGTAACAACAGGAGAATATATTGCGTTTCCCCGCCTAACTACAGCTCTCTAGATATTGGATTTCTCATAAAAATGAAAATGTTTAAGAACTGTTTTGTGGTGTGTAGCTCATGTGGAGTAACTGATTTGTTTGTTTATTTTGCAGAATGAAACTGAAGAACCATGAATATGAAACCTTAGATCAGCTGGAGGCTGATCTGAACTTAATGTTTGAAAATGCCAAGCGCTACAATGTCCCCAATTCTGCCATCTATAAGAGAGTACTGAAAATGCAGCAAGTTATGCAGGTATCTGGAACAGAACAATCAAAAGGGTGTAACTTGTTACGTGAATTTATTTCCCTAGTGAATAATTTTCCAAAACAATTTTTGAACTAGACTCATATTTGCAGTAGTATTTTCTTGGTTGTGATTAGCTTGCTGATAGTATCTTGTGTCTTCTATCATATCATGCAGTGGTTAAAAAGTAGTCTGAAAATTGCTTCCAGAAGTAGTTGATATCAGATGCTTAAGAAGTGAAGTATGGGAGTGAAGAGCATCATTGGGTGATTTTTTTTCCAGTAAACCTGCTGCCTCGTGTGCTTTCTCTTGGTCGCCCTAATTCCTTACCATGACTATTTTAAGTTGGGAAAAATTTGAAAAAATGCTGAGTTGTTTTTTTTTGTTGTTTTTGTTAAGGGTTTACAGTTAAATACAGGTTGTTGGTAGTTAAATACTGTTGCTAAGGCTGTTTAAATTTCATGAAGTGTTGAATTCAGATTGTTCACTCAACAGTTTTTCTAGCAGATGAAAAGGATTATACCACTATTTAAATCGGGAAACTTGCATTAAATAAATTGCTGGAAATATTTTGATGGTGCATGTGTCCTTACACATGTAAAATCCGTAGCTTCATCTTATTGTATGTATCTGATCTGTTCTGGAGTTTAATGTTGTTCTGAAAATGTCCAGCAGTGAGTTCGGCTTCAGGGATTTGTCGTTTCTTCAGGCAAAGAAGAAGGAGCTTGCTAGGAGAGATGACATTGAGGATGGTGACAGTATGATTTCTTCTGCTACATCTGATGCTGGAAGCTCAAAAAGGAAAAGGTATGTACTTCTATAGTTTTCTGCAGACCTTTACATTACTACTTTCTTCTGGTGGACAAAAACCTGGACATGAGCCAGCAGTGTGTGCTTGCAGCCCAGGCAGCCAACTGTGCCCTGGGCTGCATGAAAAGAGGAGTGGCCAGCAGGGCGAGGGAGGTGATTGTGCCTTTTATTCTTTTATACTCTTTTATTCTTTTATTCTCTTCCTTTTTCTTCTTCCTCTACTTAACCTAACAGTAAAAAGAATATGCGAAAGCAACGAATGAAGATCTTATACAATGCAGTTCTGGAAGCTCGAGAATCAGGCACAGGCAGACGGCTCTGTGATCTGTTTATGGTTAAGCCATCCAAAAAGGACTATCCAGATTATTATAAAATTATCTTAGAGCCAATGGATTTGAAAATGATTGAACACAACATCCGCAACGATAAGTATGTAGGGGAAGAAGCAATGATTGAAGATATGAAGCTCATGTTCCGAAATGCAAGGCATTATAATGAGGAAGGCTCCCAGGTACTGTTTTATTCTGCAGTCACGCTTACCTTTCTCCATTTTTTGCAGACGTAGGATTTATATTTGAATTTTTAACTATTACTCCCAGGATTTATGGTAGTTGTTTATTGAATTTAAATAGAAACATAACTTCTTCTCTCCGCTGGTGCTTTAGAATATGGTCGTATAAACATGAAAAGCAGTATGTTCCCATGTAATAGTATATTTTTTAACTGAAGGTTAGACTTATTTCCTGTTAGCTAGCTTTTTTCCTTCACTTCAGAAAATGTCAGCTGAATATTTCCTCCCTAGTATGTTCACAAAAAAAAAAACAACAAACAAACGTCTGGTTATTAAATTTTCATTATTTATCACATGAAGGTATTTGCACTGTGAAGGGTCACCAGAACATGTTCTGATGCACAGAACCACTGAGAAGGGATGTCTTCCTTTATTGGAAGGAAACCAACTTCCTTATCATGGAAGTGGAGAATAAGTAGTCTGAAATGAATATGCTTGTCACTTATGAATATTTTGCAAACCTCATAAAGTTCAACAAGGCCAAAGGCAAGGTCCTGCACCTGGGTCAGGGCAATCCCAAGCACAACTACAGGCTGGGCAGAGAACGGATTGGGAGCAGCTCTGATGATAAGGACCTGGGGGTGCTGGTTGATCAGAAGCTCACCATGAGCCAGCGATGTGTGCTTGCAGCCCTGAAAGCCAGCCCTATCCTGGGCTGCACCAAAAGCAGCGTGGGCAGCAGGGAGAGGGAGTGGATTGTGCCCCTCTGCTCTGCTCTCGTGAGACCCCACCTGGAGCCTGTGCTCAGCTCTGGGCGCTCAGCTCTGGGCCCCCAGCATAAGGACATGTGCATACTAGACCAAGTCCAGAGGCAGCTGTGAAGATGAACAAGGGGCTGGAGCACCTCTTCTGTGAAAACAGGCTGAAGGAGTTGGGGCTGTTCAGCCTGGAAAAGAGAAGGCTACAGTGAGACCTTCCAGTGCCTAAAGGGGACTACAGGAAAGCTGGGGAGGGACTCTTTGTCAGGGGTGTAGTGATAGGACAAGGGTAGTGGCTTTAAACTGAAAGAGGGGAGGTTTAGATTAGATATAAGGAAGAAATTCTTCACTCAGAGGGCAGTGAGGCCCTGGCACAGGCTGCCTAGAGAAGCTGTGGCTGCCCCATCCCTGGCAGAGCCCAAGGCCAGGCTGGATGGGGTTTTTGGCAGCCTGGGCTGGTGGGAGGTGTCCCTGCCCATGGCAGGGGGTTGGAGTTAGATGGACTTTAAGGTCCCTTCCAACCCAAACCATTCTCTGATTCTATGATTCTATTGTAGGGAACACTAAAAAGAGGGTTAAAAGGTGCTTTATTCATAAGCTAAAAGGGCACAGATGGCCATGACATGCTTGGGAACTAAAATTGTGTCTCTCGGTCAGCAAGCTTGATGTTGTGGAACAGAGGAGTGGTAAGAAACCTCCAGTTACTTTTAATGAGGAACTTGATCAGCTAATGTACAGGACTTCATGATCTGGTTGCCTGCACTGGGCTTGGATGTGAAGACCTAGTAGGATCGTTCTAGTCCTTTCTACCTTGATGGAGTTACTCTGGTTTGGGAGGTCATTGCTGAGCAGAATGATTTGATGTGGAAGTTGATAAGACAACTGAGTCATCCTGTTTTCTGGTCTTTGGAATAGAAAAGTAGTTAGATAAATTATCCAAGATTTGTTTCACTGATTTGTATTTATCAGTTCTGCTTGCCTCTGTGTGTGTTGAAGATGTATATTAGAGAATTAATACCGTCTTTTTAATTGAGTAGTTGGTTTTGCCTTCAAGATTTTCGAAATAACATCTAGATGTTTTGAGGAGACTAGCTCTAAACTCTTCTTTAAGGTCTGTGCGTGACCAAATCTCATCCCTCTGAGACAATAGGAATTGTTGCCATAAAGTTTACCACCTTATACGAATGTGTCAGGAAGGGACTTCATACTGTCTGAGGAAAACACAGTAGTAAACCTTGTGTATTTTTATTTATTTATTTATCACTTGACTAATTAATAGGTATACAACGATGCCCATATGCTGGAAAAGATCCTTAAAGAAAAAAGGAAAGAACTGGGACCCCTACCTGAAGATGATGATGTTGCATCTCCTAAACTAAAGCTAAGTAAGGCAACCTTGTAAATTGCCATGTTTCCACTGAACACTTACCAAATCCAACAATACAAACTTAAGAGACTCATCCTTTCAAAATGGAAGATATGTCCTGTGTATTTACATTGCTGTGCAAAGTAGAACTTTGTGTTCAAAATTACAATGACAACAGTGGTGTTTACATGTGCGTGTTATAAACTGGGGTGATGCATATGGCATTGTCTAAGAAAAGCAACTTAGAACGAAGAAAGAAAACTTCAGAACTGTTGGAATGATCTGACATTTAGGCGTGTGGTGTTACCCAAATGTTATATGCTGCATCATGTACTCAGTAACACTTCAGTAAAGTGTGGGATTGCTTACAAGGAAGATGCTTCTCAAACTGAGTAAAGCCTTTAGTTTCCCTGCTCAGATACCTGGGATTTCCACAGAATGATGAAGGAAATATGAGGTTTTACTGGGATATTATTGAAAGCCATAAAAAACACAGAAGCAAAGTTTCCAACAATCTCCATTCTTAGAGCTGTTGCCCTTAAACTGCATTTGCTACTACTCAAACCATATGCTTTCTTAATATCTGTTCAGAACTTAGTAAACTGAAAAGATTAAAACTGCACAGGAAGTGTTAAAGCAAATAACTGCACACAGTTATTTGAGGCATTGTTGACAATAGAACTGTGCAGCTCTTTGGTGCAGTGCAGGTGGTAGACAAAGAAAGTGCTCAGGGTCTGTTTTTGTAATGTTTTTTCTTCTTTTGTCTGCTTAGGTAGAAAAAGTGGCATTTCTCCTAAAAAATCGAAATATATGACTCCAATGCAGCAGAAATTGAACGAAGTGTATGAAGCAGTTAAGAATTACACGGATAAACGAGGCAGGCGACTGAGCGCCATCTTCTTGAGGCTGCCATCTAGGTCTGAGCTTCCTGACTATTACGTAACCATTAAAAAGCCAGTTGACATGGAAAAGATCAGAAGTCATATGATGGCCAATAAGTACCAGGATATTGATTCCATGGTAGAAGACTTTGTAATGATGTTCAATAATGCTTGCACCTACAACGAACCGGAATCTTTGATTTATAAAGATGCCCTGGTCTTACATAAAGTTTTGCTTGAAACTCGGAGAGAGATAGAAGGAGATGAGGATTCTCATGTGCCCAATGTCACTTTGCTAATTCAGGAACTCATCCATAACCTTTTTGTATCTGTTATGAGCCACCAGGATGATGAGGGCAGATGCTACAGTGATTCCTTAGCTGAGATTCCTGCTGTTGATCCCAACTTCCCAAATAAACCTCCTCTGACTTTTGATATTATCCGAAAGAATGTTGAAAGTAATCGCTATAGAAGACTGGACTTGTTCCAGGAGAATATGTTTGAGGTACTGGAGCGGGCAAGAAGGATGAACAGGTGAGCAAAGCCGTGTTTTTCAGATATCTGTTGTCTCACAGCATGTTCTGCGTATTAAGTTTAGACAAACACAGAAGTATTTTAAAGTGTTTGCTTTCCTTTGTGTGGTCATTTAGAAAATTTTGCTCAGTCTGCTCAATCATGTCTTCAGTTGAATGTAAACCAGGTTTACACTAACTTATAAATTGAAAAAACAAAGAGGAAGAGCTCTTCAATTGCTTGACTAGCAGGTTACTCTTCTGGAGCCATCATAGTTGCATGAGTTGTAACATTGTGTGAAAGCTATGAGCACTTGAAACTTCTTGCAGAGTGTCTTGAATTAGGAAAGTCAGTTTTGTTAATATTACTATTATTATGTAAGTTCTCAGAAGTACTCACTGGAAGTGAACAGGCTGTAGAGGAGGGCCAGTGGCAAGTAGTTTTGGTTTCAAGCAGTTAGCTTTCATTTTTCTGCTATTTCAGGACTGGTATATACAGAAATACTGCTTTTAGGTAAACTGACAGCAGACTAGTAGCTGGAGCGTGACTGTGGTGCTGCTTGTTATGAGTAAGCACAGAAATCTGTTGGTAAAGTGAAGCTTTGCTGGGCATCACCTATCCCATATTGGTAGTAGGCAGTGTGCCTCAATTTTGATTAAAATACGTCATGGTTTTCTTGGAAGCATTCTCTTTTGGGTTTTGTTCTGGTTTGCTTTGCTTGCTTATATGGTTGTCCTTTTTTGTTTGTTTTTTGCTTTTGAAATTACATTTGAGAAGGTTAGGTATTTGCTAAGGTTTCCTGAATGTGCCACAGCCAGATCAAAACTGTTTGTGAATGTTGGCATAGTCAGTGTTTTTGCATCTGTGCTACATTAACACTACTTAGTAGGTACACATGAGATGGTTTTGCATGTCACACATGCAGGATAAATCCTACACTAGCATGATAAATCTGCTTCCAGGAAAGATTTCGTTGTTTGTTTTTGTTTGTTTGTTTTTAATCAGGGAAGTCTTGGGTAGAAATGTGGGAGGCCTTTTCTAGAGCAAATGAGAGCCAGAATAATGGGATTAAGTTACCTGTTTTACTGTACTGGAAAAGGATGGAGGCAGACTCTGAAGGAGAATGACTGACCTAACATGCAATTTCCCTGATATTTTCTGGCAATTTCCTTGTGAGCTGACAGAAACAGTTTACCTGGGTTATGTCAAGTAATTTTATGTTCTTTTTTCTTTCACATTTTGGTAAAGAGACGGGCAGTACTTTCCATTGCAAACTCTCTCTGTTAGTGTTCCACCCAGTGGTGGATTGTTAGATGCTCCCCTGAATCAGGAGGTACCTGAGTAGGCATCAAGCAGGCTGGTAGTGGTGATTGCTCTAATCTGCCTTTTGCCTCACGTTCACAGAGACTTTAAGTTTTGTACTTGGAAAGCTTTCAAAGAAGGCCACAACCATTTTTAGCAAAGTACCTCTCCAGGGTAAAACAGCCCATAATTGCTCAGTGGTATTCGGTTGGAAACTGTTCTCTTGGGTTGCAGAATATCATTGATATTGGCGCTGTTTCATTTCCCAGGACATGTAAACAGCCTCATATAATTTCCTTCACTCTAAAAATAATTTTTCTTGCCATATGGAGAACTCTTAACTCAAATGCCAGTTAGACTGCTACTTGAATTTGGCCACTAAGATGATCAGAGGGCTGGAGCACCTCTCCTGTGCTGAAAGGTTGAGGGAACTGGGCTTGTTTAGCTTGGAGAAGAGAAGGCTCCAGGGAGACCTCATTGTGGCCTTCCAGTACTTGAAGGGAGCATAGAGACGGGAGGGCTAACGCCTGTTTACATGTGTTGATAGTGATAGGACAAGGGGGAATGGTTTTAAACTAAGACAGAAGACTTAGGAGGATATTAGGAAGACATTTTTCACTCAGAGGGTGGTGAGGCACTGGAACAGGTTGCCCAGGGAGGTTGTGGATGCCCCATCTCTGGATGAGGCTCTGGACAGCCTCCTGCTCTGGTGGTTGGCAACCCTACTCAGAGCAGGGGGGTTGAAACCAGCTGGTCTTTAAGGTCCTTTTCAACCCAGGCCATTCTGTGATTCTATGAATATGAAAAGTAACACTAGATGCACTTAATTTTTTTAACTTTCATTTTATAAATACATTTTTTAAAGTGAGGGACAGACAGTGACAAGCAAAATTTAGCCTTTTAGGCTTACCCTTTCAGTTTTAAGCTAGCAGCCAGGTTAGATGCTGAAAGGATCTGTGGTAGAGATCATTTTACAAGAAGTCCATAGAGTAGCATGGTAAAAAAAAACAAAACATGATATATAAAAAAAATTGTTTAAATAGGAGTTTTATCACAAAGTATGGTGGACAATGGTGTGTGTTTAGGATTTTGTTTGTGCACGAATTATGTTTCTGGCATGTTGTATTGTACCTACGTTTGTACAGGACGGATTCAGAGATTTACGAGGATGCGGTTGAACTTCAGCAGTTCTTCATTAAAATTCGAGATGAACTTTGTAAAAATGGAGAGATTCTTCTGTCACCTGCTCTCAGCTATACCACCAAGCACCTTCACAATGACGTAGAAAAAGAAAAGAAGGAAAAGCTGCCCAAAGAAATAGAGGAGGATAAGCTCAAAAGAGAGGAGGAGAAGAGAGGTAATTATTTTCTGTTCATTAATATTGAATGTATTGAGAAATATACCTTATATGTATTGTGTATGCTCTGCTGTTGCTGCAGCTTTACTTACTGAAGGGACCTTAATAGTCTGTCTGGTTCTCCACAAAGAGCCTTGTATTTTAAGGTAATGAGAGATGTATTTTATATTGATCCTTATCAGACAGTCCAGATGGCTTTAAAACAGATGCATGTAGATACGAACCTTATGTAAACTCATCACTAGAACATACTGAGGTACCAGTAGTCTTATTCCAAAGATATTACAAAGGAAAAGAACAGTTTTTGATAGGGCTTTCTTTTGCTAATAAGCTTAGCAATAATTGTGAAGGACCTTTGAGTCATTTCTTTTTTGGCACATACCACTTTCCTTGATGTGCTGAAGGTATTATTTGTGATCACACTTTTAACACTGTTAATGAAATGGTATCAAAGTAAGCCTTTTGCATTTGTTACTTGGCTGCTGTGGGTGTGAAGAGGAACAGGCTTTCAACATTTTGTAGGGTAAAAAACCTAATATGAAGGCCCTTTTTTTTTCACATTTCCTGACTGTTACTGTGCATATAATGGTTGTGGAGTACGTCAAGGGGAATGAATAATGCTCTATAATTGTTCCTTTCCATAGATAGGAGCAAAGCTGTTAGCTCTTTGTCTTCTTTCTGACATGGTTTGTCTTTACATGTGGCACCAAGCTCAGCAGCAGTCAGCTGGTTGCTCCAACCAGGCTCAGGACTGTAAGGGGACAACGTGTGCTTTTTCTGTCTTCCTGTGATAGCTAAAAACCCCAAAGAAAGCAGAAAGTGACTTTCTGTAGGCTTCTGAGCTCAGTGCTGTCAGCATGTTCCTCTTCCTTTGCCTGAAGGCTTCAGTAAAACTCCTCTGAAGAAGCAGTTCCCTGCCTTTAGCGGCAGAAAGGAGTCTGGCGCAGCACAAAACACACTTAAACCTTTCCTTCACACTGCAAGTGTCAGAGGAGGCATTGATTGTCATGTGACACTTCTGCATTGGCCATTTAGAAACAGAAAGGAAGATCTCTTCTTTTTGTTCTGTGACTGGCACCTAGTACACTGGGTTCCCAGTTCACAGCTGCAGGATTGTGGTGTTACTACCATAAAGAACAGTGCATGCAGCGCATTAAACATTGACACTACATTGATAGCCAAAAATCATTGCTAACATAGGCTATAGGCTCTTCACAAGGGGTGGCGGTGTGTCTCTCTATATTAGAGAGTGTTTTGATGTTGTAGAACTCGAGGCTGGGAATGCTAAGGTTGACTCCCTATGGGTTAGGATCAGTGGGAATGCCAACAAGGCAGGAATCCTGGTGGGGAGTGTCATCATGTGGCACTTGCAGGGCAAGCAGGCAATCAGGCCCAGTCAGCATGGGTTTATGAAAGGCAGGTCCTGCTTGACAAACCTGATCTCCTTCTATGACAAAGTGACATGTTCAGTGGCTGAGGGAAAGGCTGTGGATGTGGTCTACCTTGACTTGAGTAAGGCTTTTGACACAGTTTCCCACAACATTCTCATTGAGAAACTGGCTGCTCTTGGCTTGGACTGGTGTACGCTTCGTTGGGTTAAAAATTCAACAAGGCCAAGTGCCGGGTCCTGCACCTGGGGCACAACAACCCCAAGCAGAGCTACAGGCTGGGAGATGAGTGGTTGAAGAGCTGCCTGGCAGAGAAGGACCTGGGAGTAGTAGTTGATAGTTGGCTGAATATGAGCCAGCAGTGTGCTCAGGTGGTCAAGAAGGCCAACGGCATCCTGGCTTGTATAAGAAGCAGTGTGGCCAGCAGGGCTAGGGAGGTGATCGTCCCCCTGTACTCGGCTCTGGTGAGGCCGCACCTCGAGTACTGTGTTCAGTTTTGGGCCCCTCGCTACAAGAAGGACATCGAGGTGCTTGAGGAAGTCCAGAGAAGGGCAACGAAGCTGGTGAAGGGTGTGGAGAACAAGTCCTACGAGGAGCGGCTGAAGGAGCTGGGCTTGTTCAGCCTGGAGAAGAGGAGACTCAAGGGGTGACCTTATCGCTCTACAGGTACCTTAAAGGAGGCTGTAGCGAGGTGGGGGTTGGTCTGTTCTCCTATGTGCCGAGTGATAGGAAGAGTGGGAATGGGCTAAAGTTGCACCAGGGGAGGTTTAGGTTGGATCTTAGGAAGAACTTCTTTACCGAAAGGGTTGTGAGGCATTGGAATGGGCTGCCCAGGGAAGTGGTTGAGTCACCGTCCCTGGAGGTCTTGATCTTGGACGTCTCTTCCAACCTAGATGATTCTGTGAATACGTGGTATTGCATTGGCTTGCAGCTGTCTTCCTTTTCTTTGTTTTTAACTGCACTTGCATATGCAGTATGCTCAACACTACTAATAAGAATACTGTTTTATGTGCAAATAGTAGGCATTACTGTTTTAAAGTAATTGACTAAACAAAACTTCTGTGACTCAATTCATGAAGAGTGCTACATGAATGATTAAAACGTTGATAGTTTGTTTCTAGAGTCCTTTTGCTCCTCTAGGAGAGACTCAATGGCTATGGCCCCAAGTTACTGAAAGTTAAAGTGTGTACTTAAAGCAGGTTGACACTTAAATTACCTATCTGAGTACATGCTTTAAGCCTGCATTCAGTGCAAGGTCTTTTATTTTTCTTCAGGGACGAGTGAGTTATCCAGCACTAAGCAAAGGGTAAAGGCATACACATCAGAAATCATGGTTGATAGGGCATTGCTCAGGCCTATTTTCCTTGTTCTTGAAAATAGAAGCTGAAAAGAGTGAAGATTCCTCTGGCTCAGCTGGATTATCAAGTTTGCATCGGACCTACAGCCAGGATTGTAGCTTCAAGAACAGCATGTACCATGTAGGAGATTATGTCTATGTGGAGCCTGCTGAAGCCAACTTGCAACCTCACATAGTCTGCATTGAGAGGCTGTGGGAAGATTCTGCTGGTAAGGATGCCTTTGGTATAGAAAGACAAACAGTGAAACTTCTTACATCTTCAAATCTGAGCCCTGTCTGTGTAGATGTTAATTATTGCATTCGCAAAATTATGTGTGGACTGATGAGTATTGTTGATTGTTTGAGTTGCTTTGTCCCGAAAGAACTTTACTAAAGTTCATGCATCAACACATGCTTTCTTGTTCTTCTTCACTACCCACCCTAAATTGTAAGCATCCCAAAGAATAGGCTCTTTGAAGTGGAACGAGCATCTTTTTCTGTGCTAATAGAAATTTCTGAACCAAAGTTGGATGCATTTAACTGCAAATGTTGGAAGCCATTGCAAGATTTATAAGTAAGTTGTAGGCTGTGTTTCCAATAGACATTTGGTTCTGCAGAACCTGAATCACCCAAATAGAGAAGGAACTGGTTTTCTTGGAAAAAAGGCAGTGTGCAGGATTTCTCAGTAATCTAGTTTTTCTCACCTGAAACAGTCAAGGAATCTTTTCCTGTTTTAAACAAGTTTAGTTTGCTCTTTATAAATTACTATGTGGCTATTTGATAAATAATACAATCTGTAGTTGGTTTTGCTTGATTGTGCACTAGAGAATACACCTTTTTTGATTTTTTCCTTTCTCTCCCCCCTTTTTTGTCTTTTTTAAGGAGAGAAATGGCTGTATGGCTGTTGGTTTTATCGACCAAACGAAACGTTTCATCTTGCAACACGGAAGTTCTTGGAGAAAGAGGTTTTTAAAAGTGACTATTACAATAAAGTTCCAGTTAGCAAAATTTTGGGCAAATGCGTGGTCATGTTTGTAAAGGTGAGAAACTCTTTGAACTAATTTGCTAAACAGCTAATATTCTCTATGATATTTTCTTGAAGAGGTGTAGATATTATAAGTTGTAAGTATTCTACTAACACATATTTATTAAGTACTTAGCTAATGTTTCCAGAGCATATAGGAGAAAAATTGAAGGCAACTTCTTAAAGGTTGCCATAAAAATCAGTCTTAAAATGTTTCTGATAAATGCACAGGAAAAAATGGGCCGTGTCAGAGGGAACCCACCATGTCTTTGGTGGGGGTTTGGGGAGGTGGATATATTACTGAAATATTTCATCTAAAAGTGTAATTCTCTTCATTCTGCAGGAATATTTTAAATTGTGTCCTGAAAACTTTAGAGATGAGGATGTCTATGTATGTGAGTCACGTTATTCTGCAAAGACAAAATCTTTTAAAAAAATTAAACTGTGGACTATGCCTGTAAGCTCTGTAAGATTTGTCCCACGAGATGTGCCCCTCCCTGTGGTCCGTGTTGCTTCTGTGTTTGCTAATACAGACAAAGCAGAGGAAGAGAAACACTCTGAAACATTAGAAGACAGTAAGGTGGGAGAAAGTATCCTTCATCTTGAAAAGGTATGCAAGATAATAAGATGAGCATTTGGTGTGTTTGACAGATAAAGAATGATGAAATGTGAGCCCTCAGGACCGAGGTTTCATAGACACATCCAGACACAAAAAATAGATTAATACAAAATCTGTTATAAATTATTATACATAAAATACATAAATAGAAATAAAGCATTCACAGTCCAAACAAAAAAAGAAATGTGTACCAGTTTGTTAAGTTTTACAAATGCTTTCTTGTGATCATGTTAAGGGTTGTTTTTATTTTTTTCTTTACTGCTTTAGAAAAAAATACATTTCAACTGAAAAGTTTGTTGTAATCCTAAAGTATCAGTGGGGCTAAAAGTCCGATTTTAGCTCACAGAGATGCTTTGTTATGTAGTGTATCAGTAAAATTGTTAGTAGCTAGGCAGCAGCAAGCAATACATAATATAGTATTCTTTGTGACCTACTTATGGTTAATAGCTGAACAGTTTATTTTCAAAATGCATAAAAATATTTCTGGCTAACCTACTAGGCAAAATGTTTTTTACTGTGCTTAGAGTTATAAGTTAAATTGATTTATTTAAATACATTTGATTGCAATAAATGTAATCAAATTTATATAAAATAATTTTAGTCATAACTCTACTTACATTCTGAGTACTTTTAACAGAAACTCAGAATAGAAAACCCAGCACACTCATTGTCAGTTTTAATCAGACACTTAGTATATGGTACTGCATCAGGACAAAAGAAGGAATTCTTTCTACCAAGAGAAGGAAAACTTGTGAGATCTTTTCCTGCCACACTTTGACGGGGATATCCTATGTTTGCATTGGCTGTCTGTAATCTGAACTAAAAGGTCAATTGAAGCAATGAGTTTTAACTAAAAAGTAAGAAATATAACAAATTGTGTGATTTTTGTACTCAATATATATATTATATATGGATACTCCATATATATATGGAATATATCCATATATCCAAATATATATGGATATATTCCATATATATTTGGAGTATTCATGTTATTGTGTATGAGAGGTGAATCATTAAATGTATCTTAACTTGGCCAAATACTTATTCTTGCCTTCTGAAGTTTTTGCTGTGCTTTATAACAAGGAATCAAAATATGCAGATAAGGCTTTGAAGTCCATAACTTTGAAGCAATAGAACAAAAAAGGATCTGGGAATTGCTGGCAAAATTATGGCTTTGATTGTGAAATAGGAAGGCTTGCACCATACTTGGAGGATATCTGTGGCTTGTATATTTCATTTTTAAATTCTAAGGCCCCTCATTTTTTGCATTTACAGGTCTTTTTCTATTTGCCTATTAGTGGTGACATAAAGAAAAGTCTGGTTTACTTGCACGTGGCATCACTTCATGAGTTTGTTTTTCCTTCCTCCACAAGTTTCTAAGTGTGTATTCTTCTGCAGGACAAAGAAGATGTTCCAGTAGAAATGTCCAATGGAGAACCTGGTTGTCATTACTTTGAACAGCTCTGTTACAATGATATGTGGCTTAAGGTCGGAGACTGTGTCTTCATAAAATCACATGGATTAGTGCGACCTCGGGTAGGAAGGTAGGTGCAACTTCTTTTTTTTCAGATTGTGTCTATAAAAATACCTTGGACAAAAGACTGTCTTCCTGAAACAAGTGTGAAAGAGGATGGGAAATAATCTCCTAAATGGAACCGGAAGTTAGAAGCTCTTAGTGGGCTGAGGTGGAAGTTTATCAGCCTGGTTTTAAAAAAGTGACAGTTGTACAATTGGAGTAGGCTGGCCTTTTTTTTTTTTCACTCATTTCACAGTCTTCCTGAACAAGTCAGTACATCCAGCTAACTCATTAGGAGGGATGGCCTTTCATTTATGTCAGTGGTTTGTTTTTCTTTCTAGAATTGAAAAGATGTGGGTGCGAGACGGAGCTGCATATTTCTTTGGTCCAATCTTTATCCATCCTGAAGAAACTGAACATGAACCAACTAAAATGTTCTACAAGAAGGAAGTGTTTTTAAGTAACTTGGAGGAGACCTGTCCTATGACTTGCATTTTGGGTAATCGTTAACAACTTTAAATCCAATGGGAGATTCTCATTCTGTACATTAAAAAAAAAAAAAATCTGACATAATTTCTAGTGATGGGTTGGCTTGACTCCAAATTCATACTGAGTGAATGAGGAGAGATCATGCAATCTATTCCTACTATGCATTCTTGTCTCTAGGACCTGCAGTGAGGTTTTTCACGATGAGGAAGCTTCCTTAAAATAAGGGAATTACACATGAATCAAAGCAAACATTTTCTGCAGTCAGGGAACAGAAAAATCCATTGTTCTAGTATGTTAACTGGAAGGTCAATTGAGAAGGAAGCTGATTTTGTTTAAAATGAGATGCTATTATGTACTTTCTGTACATCTTAACTACATATATTCTGTAGTTAAAATGCTGTGCTAAATATCATTAACAGACTTGTGATCGTTGTTTTTGTTAAAGAACAAAAAAACAGAAGTTAAAAAATGAAATCCAAAGGCTGAGTTCTGTGGGTTTCTTATGAGTGACATTATTTAATAGGGATGTCAGTTGATGTATTTTCTGTAGTTGGCCTAAATACTGGGTTGATACTTATGTGACCAGGAAAAAAAATGAGTTTCCAAACTTTTTGTAAAATGTCTTCAAATGTGGTTGCCTTCTTAACCAGCTCATTTCATTTCTGCAGGGAAGTGTGCTGTTCTGTCGTTCAAGGACTTCCTCTCCTGCAGGCCAACAGAAATTTCTGAAAATGATGTTTTTCTTTGTGAGAGCCGCTACAACGAAAGTGATAAACAAATGAAGAAATTTAAGGGGCTCAAGAGGTTTTCACTTTCTGCAAAAGTTGTCGATGATGAAATATACTATTTTAGGTAAAAATGGTATGGGAATAAGAGAGTCACCTGAGCACTCTTCTGAATTGTGGTGAATTAACCCAGTTAGCAGCTAAGCCCCCATCCAGCCACTTGCTCACTTCCCTCAGAGGCATGTGGGAGAGAATTAGAAGGGCAAAAGCAAGAGAAATTTGCAGGTTAAGATAAAGATGGTACAATTTTTGAAGCAAAGCAAAATAAATAATTCACTACTTCATCTTGGCTGGCAGATGTTTAGCTACCTTCTGACAGCAGGGCATCAGCACAAGCTGTGTATATTTTGGAAGACAAATACCATAGCCTCAAGTGACCCCCCCTCCCCCCCCCCACACACACCCTTCTCCAGCTTTCCCCCAGTTTTTATGATGTTGCATGATACGGCAGTACTGCTTTGGTCAGTGGGGGTTAACTATCCTGGCTGTGTCCCCTCCCAGGTTTCTGCCCACTCCCAGCCAACTCAAAGTGGGGGAGTGGAGGAAATAAAAGGTCTTGACAGTGTGGTGATGTGACACTGTTCAGCAAGAGCTAAAACATCCGTGTGTTATCAACACTGTTTTGGTCACAAATACAAAAGGCAGCACCATACAGGCTGTGATGATAAAAATTGACTCCACCCCAGGCAGACCCAGTACATACATAAAAGTCACTGTTGAAGATTAAATCTGGTTGCATGTTTTTTAAAACAAGCTTGAGGAAGAAGTCCAAATAAGTTTTTTCAGTCTTAATACCAGCAGATGTTGACTTTTTTCTTCTCCTGACTTCAGTAAAACTTGTCACATTTTTGGATTAGTAGGTTAGTAGGTCTTGGACATCGTTAAAATACCTGAGTCCTCAGTATGGATAACAATTAGCTTTCCAATTGGTGAACATAATATTAATTTCTAACTAAAGAAAAACGTAAGACCTAAGGAAGTTGTGCTGTTAACTTCCTTCTGTTGCAGAGATGAATTATTTGCTGCATTGAAATTGCCTTCTAACTCATAAAATAAAAAAAAAAAATCCTTCCAACAAGTGACTGAAATAAAACACTGGCTATGGATACTGAATGATTTCTGCTCAGTGTTCTGAAAGATAGCACAGGCGTATCCTAAGTCACCATTGTCACCATTGTTGTTCAGTCACATAAGAAGAAAAGTTGGTTTCCTCTTCAGAATATTTGCTGTGTCCTGTGACATATGAATACATTCTCATCTGTTTTTTTTCTTCTTCCTCTAACTTTCAGAAAACCCATAGTTCCTCAGAAGGAACCATCTCCACTTCTGGAGAAGAAGATCCAGCAGCTAGAAGCAAAATTTGCTGAGTTGGAAGGAGGTGATGAGGACATAGAAGAGATGGGAGAAGAGGAAGGTGATATCACTGAAACACCTTCTATGCCTCAGCTTCAGACCCCATTAGCTAGTGAATTGGATATAATGCCTTATACTCCACCACAGGTAAAAATCTTTGAGAGACCTTTAAACCTCTGTATTCCTCATTCTTTCCTCAAGACAAATAAAAAAAAAAAACAAAAAACAACATTTTATCACAGAACAGATTTATATTTCAGTTTACTGGTCTGTGGAGTAATTATACAGAAGAGTTATAGCATATCCAATATGATATCCATGTTGTAATGTTTAAGTCTGTTAAAATATTTCAAAGGAAGTATCATTCAGCTTAGGAAAATCTTGTAGGGTATGTTTTTGTATACATGTATGTCAATATTGTTTCTTGTTAGTAGGTTTTCTGTGACACTTTTTAAGAAATAATAGGCCCTTATATTAAAGATAAGGTTAGGATGTGAGGGTTTAACTGTAATTTAGGGGTTACCTAGCATCCTTTTTTTTTTTTAAGCTTTTCCTTAAACTTTGAAAGAAGCTAGATTTGGGTGCTAGAGTTTTGACAAGTGTTTTTTAGAAAATGCTGCACATTCATGAAGGAAGAAAAACACTTTTAGTTTTATTGTTACTGTTCACACTTGGAAATTGGAACTTGAGAGAGGAAAAAAAGTGAGAGCTATTAATGTGTCTTGCTGTGCATCATAGAAATTTTGAAATTAAATTCTTGATAAATGGACAAGTAGTAAATGAGAAATCATGTGGTTATGTGATGCTTGAACATGGCACGAGTTGTTGCTGCCGCTTAAATGGAGTGCTTTGTCCCCTCCCTCGCTTGCTGCATCTCTCACACAAGCCCTGGCTGTAATGTATGAGTATTGAAACAGGCTGGGGAACTGCTTTAGCTGGAAGTTCACCTAACCAAAAATGTTTGTTGACAACTGGGTTAGATTGTTTTACCTGTCTCATCACATTCTCACATCCAAGTTAATGCCAGCAAACTAAGGAGGCAATGGGAATGACCTGCTGGGAACAAGGGGGAGTTTGGGAAGTGTTTGTAACCAGCAGTATGGACTTCTGCTGTGTTACATTGACTGTGAAGTGATAGCTTCATTGGCAGTTGAAGAAAGGATGTGACCACATGTCACAAAAAAAAAAAAGGAAAGAAAGAAAGAAAACAATTGATGAAATTAAAACCTTTAGTTTTGTTTGATCATGATTTTTGCTATGCAAGCAGACCACCAGAGACATTTTCCCATGCAAAGCCGACTGCTGCTCTTGCTTTTTAGTGTTGAATTTGGAAATAGCATGAGAACTCTTGCCAGGTATTACAAAAAGCATGTATGTTGTTATCTATATTAGCCAACTAATATAACATTGTAGGAAGGGGGAAGGTAACTTATACGTCAAAATAATACTGTTGCTAAGCATGGAAATGGAAATACCCAGCATGCGTGTATATACCTTCAGACAGATGTGACCTCTGAAGTCTAGAAATGGAACTTGAAAAAAAAATTAAGAAAAAAATGAAAAGAATCAATAGCAGTGTATTCTGAGAGGTGAAGGATGATTCATAAGTACCCCCTTGCAGATTCCTCATGCTGCTGATTTGGCAATAAGAGGCATGTTGTGTCTGAGCTGGCATTCAAAAAACAAATTAACTTTGACAGAGAGATAAGTAACACACAGCACGGAAAGAAACTGTCTTCTTCAGCCCAACATAATTGTTCTATTTACGTCTCCTTTGAAAAGTGTCATTTTAAACAGAGCTCCCAGGTAAAAGGCATGTTTGCTTCGTGTTCTCTTAAATGTATGCAATTTTATCTAAAAAAAACCAACTATTAAAACTCCTGTTATTTTTACCCTTTTTTCCTGATAACAAAAGAAGCATTTACTGCACCTGAGAATAAAAGGAGACAAGATGATTGAATACGTGGTGATGTGGGGCTTGACAAATAGGTGAATGATGTTCTCCTGGTGCAGTTTGCTGTAAATCAGGAAGCAGAACCTAAGAAAGAAAAAGATGTGGAACTTTTTTTTTTTTTTTTTTTTTTTGCTTTAGCAGTATGGCTGAGAAAAGGCATTGAAGAGGGTCCTGGTTTATTTCTTCTCATACCACATCTTATCTATTATGCAGTTATCTGCCTCAAATGGATAAGATTATGTTAAAAATTGTCTTACCAGAGATGTAAAATAATGGAAAAATAAGAATTCTGAGTTCAGTTTTCATAAAAATTCTCAAAATCCTGCTTTCCCTTTCAAACCAATGAGTAGGCCTTAATGTTACGTGACCACAGGTATAGTTGGATTTACCTGTTTCTGCATTGAGAACTCTTCACCTGCCAACGTGAGCTTCCTTGAGAAGCTAGGATGTGTTGTACAAACAGTTTGTCATACCAGAACCTGTGTGGGTTTTTTTCCTGCTTCCTCCATCATAGAGACAAACCTAGAAAACTTCCTTCCAAAAAGCCAAATATTGTCCTTAGGCTCATGATGAAAACATTGAGGGCAGATTGCTATTTGAAAACGAATACAATGAAGCCTGGAATAATGCACCAGCATGCCTCAGTTTATCCACTGCCTGGTTTATCATAGAATCATAGAATATCCTGAGTTGGAAGGGACCCTTAAGGATCATCAAGTCCAACTCTTGACACCGCACAGGTCTACCCAAAAGTTCAGACCATGTGACTAAGCGCACAGTCCAATCTCTTCTTAAATTCAGTCAGGCTTGGTGCAGTGACCACTTCCCTGGGGAGCCTGTTCCAGTGTGCAACCACTCTCTCTGTGAAGAACCCCCTCCTGATGTCAAGCCTAAACTTCCCCTGCCTCAGCTTAACTCCGTTCCCGCGGGTCCTGTCGCTAGTGTTAATGGAGAAAAGGTCTCCTGCCTCTCGACACCCCCTTACGAGGAAGTTGTAGACTGCAATGAGGTCTCCCCTCAGCCTCCTCTTCTCCAGGCTGAACAGGCCCAGTGCCCTCAGCCGTTCCTCGTACGTCTTCCCCTCCAGGCCTTTCACCATCTTCGTAGCCCTCCTCTGGACACTCTCCAACAGTTTCATGTCCTTTTTATACTGTGGTGCCCATGAGTAAGACTTTTAGAAAGCTTTGGTGTAGCTGAAGCTTTGTATTTAGCTGGGAGATGAGTGTTGGACAGTTGGGCTTAGAGCAGCAAATAAATGGAGTAATATGGCCAGGACTTTCAGGGTAGGAAGAGAACAATTGCATATGTTTTTCTTTCCTCTCTGCCACTTCCCCCCAAGTATTTGGAAACAGTTACACTCTTCGAGATGTGAGAAATCTGTAGTGCCCAAGATACGAGGAAGCCCTTTTGAGGGTTTCAGTATGCTGATTTGTTTGTGGGCCTTATTGGCTAGTGAATGGGTGAATTACGGTCTCCCATACGTCACATACAGGTGGCCTCTCAGTGGTTGTCAGAACAGTTTAAATATTGGTGGCTGGAAATGTCAAGGAGCTCTCAACAGGAGCAGCCAGGGTGGGAAGAGCAAAGGAGCAGATCTTGGATAGAATGGAATATTTGTTGCTCATCAGCACACAGGTGGGCATGTGAACCTGGTGTGCGGGTGACAGTGATCAGAAAAACCGGGCTTTGCTTTTTTTTTCAGGGAGAAATGGGTACTTATGAACTGGGAGATAAAGGAATGTCTGGCAGGCAAAATAGAGAGCACTTAGGGATGAGAAGACTGGAGGATAGAAGACAAGGAGGTGGGAGTTGCAAAGGCCTGGGAATAAATGTGAAAGCAATTCCCTAAAATCTGCAATGCAAATAAAACCTTCTACTTAACTTGTGTTGGCAGTATTTCTGAGCAGCATAACGGATGACATCTGTGATAGCAGCACAATTACTGTTATTCTTTTGGTATTCTAAATAGTCCCTTACTTGCTACTCAGCCCTTCGGAGTCCTCTCGGTTAGTTAGGAATGACTTCAGCTAATAGTGATCGTTCTGTGCTGTGTTTCTGCACACTTTTTGAAGCCTCCATTATAAGGTTGGCTTTATGTCTGGAAGGGTTAAAAAGCATCAGATCATTGTGTTTTGCTTTTTGTTTTTGTTGTGGTGTTGTTTGTTTGTGTGTTTTTTTTTTTCCCCACCTGTGTACTTCCTGTAAATGTGTGCTTGTTTGCATTGGTAGGAGATGCAATCTCTCTTTAGGGGCTATTAAGTTGAATGGGTCTTGGACAGATATATACAGGAGGAATTTGGGAATACTTTTACATACTGTTTCTTACAGCTTTGATTTTTTTTTTTTTTTTAAGTCAAGAAACTCTGTCATATGCTTGTGGTCATAACTGCTTTTTCTCGCAGTCCGCTCCCAAGTCTGTTAAGGGCAGCACCAAGAAGGAGGGATCGAAAAGGAAGATCAACATGAGTGGTTACATCTTATTTAGCAGTGAGATGAGAGCTGTGATTAAAGCTCAGCACCCAGACTATTCCTTTGGAGAGCTCAGCAGGCTTGTAGGAACTGAATGGAGAAACTTGGAAGCAACAAAGAAAGCAGAATATGAAGGTAAATAAAAACTAAAATGCTAAACTCTCTTTTTACACTTTTTCTCTTTGAACATGTTCGATGTTATGACTCAGATGACCAGTTTTATAAAAGGAAGTAGTTGTGTTTGTGTTCTGGACGTGCCTTAAAGTGGAGTTCATATTGAGAGCTGACTGAAGAGGAGCACAGAGCATGTTTAAGTTATGTAGTGTACAACTGATAATTGAAATATCCTTGCCACAAATAATCAAATGAACAAAGAGAAAAGAAATGGGGAAGAATTAGAAGTAAAAGGGCTTGAAGCCTTAGTGCTGGAAGTCAGCTGGAAAAATGGCTTGTAAAAGTTTCTGTATAGGAGGACGTGGAGGGGGCAGCAAGAAAGGGAACTTTGGGACAAGAAGCTCTTCAGAGCTGTATTACCAGGTAAGAAAGTGTATAGTAGAGCAGAAAAGAAGTTTCTCAGTTAACTCTACTGAGAGTCTGAAAGAGCTTTGGTATAATAAAATCAGGGATACCGACTGTTATACTGTAAATGCGACCTGTTGTTCAGTCTCAGTATTAACTGTTGTAACTGATGTTTGTTGAGAGATTTCATATCCTGAATTAAGCCAAGAAACAATTCATAGGGATGAGGTACTTTCAAAAGACCTTTCTCTCTCTCTCTCTCTCTCTCTCTCTCAATCTCTCTTTTCTCTTTCTTTCTCTTTCTCTCTCGTTTTCCTACTGATACTGTTCGTTGTTTCAGCTTTATTTGACCAAAAATCAAAACGCAGATGATCCTTAACAGCAGGCCCTATCCAAGCAAACAGAGTAGCTTGACATCCAGAGTTACTGTTTCAGTTAATAATGTCTCAACATTTCCAATATAAAGCCCAGTTTTTAAGCAACTGTTACAATTTTATTGGATAGGAAAGTTTCAACCCCTTGGAAAAGTATTGTCCAGTTAAGTTATAATGTTACTTTTTAAAAGTGAGGGTGATAACTTTTTTGCATGCTCATAGTGGTAGAGGCTGCTCTGATACCTCAAACTGGAGGTATGCCTTGTGCTTTACACCCTCAGCCTCCTCAGTCCTTTGTGAACTTGCAGTAGTACCTCTGTGCAGTTCTGGAGGGTTGAGCACCATCACGTGTGAGTCGTCTTTGCAAATGTTGTGAAGGGAAATGGTAATGCTCTTTTGTTGTGAAAGTATTATGGCCTGCCTTTTTTCCTGTTGTAGTTTGCTATTACACCAGCGTAGGTGCATGTGGTATCTTTTATTGACAGGCAAGCTCGAGCACTAGGACGGCTAGCTGTCATCCCTTGAGCATTGTGATGCTCACACTTTCATTGTAACCTAACAGTAGCAACAGTGTCTGTCCCCTGTGTTAACGATATTCTGAGTGCTTCCATTTTAACCCTCCCTAGCCTTAAAATTTTCAAAGCTTTTGAGTCTCGGGCTGCAGTTTTTCCAGCTTGGTGTTTGCCCAGGACTAGGCTTTTATTTGTTTTGGAGGGGTCGTGATGGGGTTACAAAGCATCCAAACTGTTTACTCATTACCATGCTTGAAAGGAGAGAAACTCCACTCCTTCCCCTGTGACAAGTCAAAATTCCTGTACTCTCTAGTGTGGACACTGCACCAGGGATACCAGGGAACTGGCATGGTTTGACACTTGAATGGAGAAGTGCCTTTCCGTGTTTTGGTAATAAAGCAGTCTGCATTTTTGATTCCTTTTGACCCACTGAAAATTTCATTCGTCATACGTGCAGGTTAGTAGCTGGGTTTTAGCAGTAGTTAATCAAAGAACAGGCTGTGTTGAAAATGCCTCGTGGCTAACTGCACTGTGGAAACTCCTTAAAATAAAGTTATGTGTGGGGTTTGAGGCAAAGGCCTGTCCTAAGGTAAAGCTTTTTGTTCAAAGCACGATCTCTTTCCTGTCTCTTGAGATGTGTTGGAAATGGCTTTTGAATGATCTCGAGTCCTGGCTTAAATGATTTGGGGTTAGGTGCAATGAGTATTAAGGTGAGTGTTCGAGGCTGAGCTTTCAGACACCCCCTTCGGTTCCCTCTGGCAGTGTTGTTCCATCTGTTAGTGAATGAGTGGCAGCCACAGCATGGACAGACAAGGTAACACTCAAGTGTTGTCCTACATCAGGTCCTTCTTCAAGTCTGAAGTCTGATAAAACTGAATGCTTAACAGTAACCTCTCGTTCACCAGGGTACCTCCAGAACTTTTGCTTTTGGCTTTTGTCTGACTTTTTTTTTTTTTTTTTAACTGGCCAGCAGTAGGTGAGAATCAGAACAACTACTTCATCTTTTCCCTAAACGCTTACTCTGGTCTGAAGATGATTATCTCCTTTTTCTACTTCAGGATCTATCTTTAAACGTCTCATGTATTTTGTGCAGATGAGTTGCCTGTAGTAAATTTTCAGGAGTTTCTGTGTGTCGTCATCTCTTCCTGAAATGACAGGAGTGAAAAGGAGGGAAATGCCTGTGAAATAAAACTGGTCTTTCAGTGTGTGGATGCTGTGCTAGATGCTGCACAAACTGGTCCTACAGAAGACTAATGCGTGATATGTTTGCAGTCATATACTGGAAAAAGTGTCTAACGTTGGCAGGATGCATTCATAACTCGATCTCCTTGATGAACTTCTTAGCCTTGTTTGACAGAGGACCTTGGTTGCTGTTTTAGTGGCAGTTTTCATCTTCCACCAGCTGCAAGAAAACTTCTAGTCCTGCATTCACTGTTGTTAAAATTTGCTGGAGATGTATGCTGCATTCGTTTATCCTTTGTTGTTCCTCATTGCGTCAGTAAGAGACAATGTTCAGAGTGAACAAATCAGCAACTTGCATGCCCTAAAAGCATCTTCAGTGGGCATTCGGTATACCTTCTTTTTTTGTTTGCTTGGTTTTGTTCTTTTTTTGTTTGTTTTGTTTGCTTGTTTTCTTTTTGGGGGTGGGGATGGGTTTTTTGTTTGTTTGGTTGTTTTTTCTTCTTCCCATGACCCTTTGTCCTTCTCTTAATATAAAATTGTCCTCTGGTCAGATTCCCCTGCAGTAGATCTTTTGTTCTTGCAGTCACAGTGAGAAACTTGATTGAGATAATGACCAGATTCATCGTACAAAGGACACACATGACCTCCAGTGAGCAGCACAATGTGAGTTAGACATCTTCAGCAAAAAAAAAAAAAAAAAAAAAAAAATAGCTCAGAGGGGACCAAAATGGGGAAAACAACAGAAAGAGGCAAAAGAAAAATATTTTTGCTTCATCAAACTGCTGCTTGTTATGTTCCAAACACTAAGGACCTATCTACACTAGGGAAAAACTTTGCAAGTGCTTCCCAACTTTGCCACTGCTTTTCGGCTGCATCAGTAATAAAAAACAATAAACAAACCCCAAAAATGCAACAACAAGAAAAGAAGTGGGGAGCCCAGGAAGAAACGGGCCACCACTGGCACTGCTGCCTGCTATTTGCATCTTGCTTTAGGGCACATGTGAGAGACAGGGTGCTCAAAATTCCTGTCTGTGGGAGAGCTGCTGGCCTTGGCTGGGACTGGTTTAGCTGAGCCAGTGGTGTCAAAGAGGGAATGTTTTGCCATGTTCTCCTAGTGCGGACTGAGCCTAGTGCTGGACTGCTGCTTCATGTTGGTAACACTGGTGTTATTATCCAATTTGTTCTTTGACTTTTCAAATTTTTATTTTATTATGATTATTTTTTATTATTATTTTATTTTTTTAGAAAAAGATAAAACTTTGTGGACTATTTTTCATGCAAGGTTCTCTAAAAGTCTTAGCTGCAGCCACATGAAATCAAATCATATGCTGTATACAAAGATTCATCTGTTCTACTTTATATTTGACTAAACTATGCCAGTGTTTGACTAGTCCTTTTTAATGAACAGATAATATTTTGAAATTCTGGGTTACAAAACAGAACTGAAAATCTAAAATACTTTTACAGAGCGGGCAGCTAAAGTTGCTGAGCAGCAGGAGAGAGAGCGAGCAGCACAGCAGCAGAATCCCTCCCCCCGGGCAGGCACTCCTGTCGGGGCTCTTATGGGGGTGGTGCCGCCACCAACACCAATGGGGATGCTCAATCAGCAGTTGACACCCGTTGCAGGTAAAACGTAGGAGCTATGACCATTTTTTCCTCATCCACTATATCAACCCCCCTTCATAACTCTGAACACTCTCTTGGGTCACTTTGTTCTTGCGGAAGAAAAGGCTCAAGCTCTTCAGTCTTTCTTCATGGTGACTGTACGTAGCCTCAGCAGTGGGCTGGCGGTCCCACGTTACGTGCTCCACTAGTGAGTAGCCTGTTGAAAGCGCAGAGAAAGGCTCCTCCTCAGGCAGTAGGCCTGTTCTGTTGGTGTGCAGTCATGTTTATTCGCTCTGCTTTGCCAAGGTCACGTTTAGCCCTGCTGCGGCAGGAGGGGAGGGAGCTGAATGCTCTTGTAGTGCATGCGGCACCAGTGGACGTGGTAAAGCAGGAGGCAAATGATGTTTTTTTTAATTGTCAGGGAGGTGAGAGGCAAACAGAAATCCATACCAGGCTTTAAGTCCAAGCGTAAGAATTGTTAGTTGGATATAAGTGTTGTACTCTAGGTTCTAGTGTCATTGCAAATACAAATACAAAATCTCAACATTACTGCTTTTATCAGGTGATTTGCAGACCAGTTTAGAGAACTCTTCCATGTGGTCCCTGTTGCTGGGTGCTGTGGTCATTGCCAGTCATAGTCCGACTTGAGTTCGTAGGCAGTGTGCTCAGAAGTATCTCCAGATCAGATCTGAAGAGTCTTTTATGGAAATCAGCCTTACATCTGTGAGAGAACAAATTAGGTCTGACCCGATAGATTGTTCTCCTTCCCCCATTTCTGGTTAGCAATAGCTGGGTGGCTTCAGTCAAGGTCAAAATAGTGCTGAGTAGGTAAAAATGAGTATTTGGAGGTTTGGTGTTTTTATTTTTTCATTTAGTTTTGACTTTGTTTTGTTTGTTTTAAACTTCCCTTATGGCATTCCAATTATTCCATTTACTCTTTTGTCATTTTTCTTTTTCTGTGTCTTGCTGGCTGTGACCATACTTAGAGCTGCCAGCCTGAAGTGTTTTTCATTATGGTCTCTAAAACATTTTTTCAGAAAATAGGTTGCATGGATGTTTAGACAGAAGGCACATTCCTTGTTTAGTTCATGGTCTCCAGATTATAAAGCATTTGTTTACACTGAATTGCGCATTTCTTTTAGTTGTTCCTTTGTTTATTTTTTAAACTTTGTTCCTTCAACACCTTGTAGATTTTTTTTGTCTTGCAGTGATGATTTTTCTGAACTGTTTGCAGTTGGTGTGTGTGTGCGCACATCTTTGTGCATATATTTCCAAAAAAAAAAATATCTCCAGCACTAGTCTTCTTTGTGAGTAATCTACTTTAATCCAGAATGCATAGCAATGTCATCACCTTGTGGTTGTTTTTTTCTTGATTTGGTTCTTGTTTTTTGGTATTGTGTCGCTTTTCCTTTTTTTTGGGGGGGTTTAGGTATTGATAGGCAGTAGTACTTTTATTAACACTTTCTTAAAAGCTTTCCAGCAGCTGGGCTTTCTGCAAACCACACGTGTTACCTTCCTTCCTGTGGCAGCCTCCTCAAAAGCATACCTCTGTTCAAGACCATCATCTTATAGCTCACCCTGTTAGGTCTCTTTACTCTGTCATTGTGAAATGCTTCATTAAGTGGATGATCAAGTGGTTCTTTAGCAATTCTTGCTGTTTTTTTTTTTCCCCATTTTGAAAAATGCAGTCTTCCTTCTTTTGGTTTCCACGTCTTACTTGGAAGTACCTTACTCTGTTGAGACTTCTTTTACATCCTCCTCCATCTTTAAGTCATTGAAAGCATTCAGTTGCTTTTCTCTGTTTCAGAGAACTTCTTCATCACTTGTTTATGACCCACAGGTACAAGAAAACTGGATACCCTTTTGAGATATATTTTCACTTAGTGCACAGTGCTCTAGTTGCTTTTAAATTCAGGTGTTACAAAAGCTTATTTAAACTTATATTGTTGTAGTAAAAAAAAAAAAAAATAGAGGGGGGAGAAAGAGTAAGCTGAAAGAGTAAATCACAGCTGTGGGGGCTGAAAATAGTTTGCCCAAGCTTATTAGTTTAAAATCAAAATGGTAAGTCATGCATGGGGTATGAAAGTGGCTGCACTTACAAGCTTGTGAGGAGCTACAAGAACTGACTTCTCATGGACACCTATTCCCAGTGTTTTTATCCCAGTCAGCTATTAATTATTTCGTCTGGAAATACAGAAATGAGCTTTTGTGATTGACAAGTGTGGGCTTGTTTTGTTCGTGGTTTGTTTTTGCTTTGTGGTGTTTTTTGGTCTTTTTTTTTTTTTCTTTAAAAGCTTCAGAATTGTTTGTAGGAAAAATGAAGATGTGATTGCTGCTTGGGGTGCAGTGGAAGTACCAGGCAGTAGCTACAGCAAAAGCCTATTATTCTAGGGATAGTTCTGTTGTTTTCCTCTTTGACTTCTCCCATTAAGAACACAGATTTCATTGTGTTGATACAGAGGTACAGATAATTTCTAGATATTTAAAATGGGTACCAAAGAGCTACTTAGTAAGTGCTGATCTAGGTGTCCTGCGTATTCAGAAGAAAACGAAAACTTCTACGAAGTTCACTTCTTTGTTCAACGTAAAGCTTTGGAATTTCAATTTCCTCACCTTTGGAATTTCAGGTTCCTCTCCTTTGCAACTCTCCAGAGCAGGTGACAAATTCAGCTTGTGTGTTGGAGCTGCTTAAGGTGTTTTGATCCTGAGCTCACAACAGCTTTGATGAGAAAATGTACAGGCAGAGCTGACATTGAGTTTCTGGCCAGTTTTAATTCAGAAATCTCAGTTCTGAAAGTTTCTTTTATGAGTTACTCAGAGTGTGGCAAAGTTTCAGTAAGTGGTATATTGGAAAAGGTTAATGAAACCCCAGTATTTTACATTTCTAAACTTACCTTTTATCTCACAACCTGCTTCTGTCCCCTGTCATCTTTCCATTGTCTTTCCAACACCCTTCCTTGGTTCTCTGACAACACAGTCACTAAAAGCATAGAAAATAAGCAAGAAAACAAGCAGGTTTAGTTCTAGGGCATACTACAGTGCAGATACTTCGCGTAAGTTCGCTTAACAGACAGCAACAAATGTGAGCCCAAGCCAAAACAAACTGTCCTTTTCTGCCATGTGCAGCAAACTAACATTTTGAGCAGCACAATATCATCTTGGTTGCATCTTTGTTTTCCCTATTAAGACACTTTGTAAACGTTGAGAATTAAATTCAGTGAGCGACCATATGTGCTCCTTGTAGACCCTTTTACTACAGTCAGATGTGGAGAGCGTTAAGTCGCTGCAGCCCAGCAAGCATATCCAGTGCTGTCAGGTTTAAAGTTTTAGTTATTTCTTAAATTCATACTGAAGATGGCTTAATAAAAACCATACATGCCACTACCTTTAGTTCTAAGTATGTGAATGTTCTAGGACTTCTACAAGTTAATTTGGCATATGCACTGCGTAAAGATGTATAGACATTTACTTTTTCCAGTCAAGTTTGGTCTCCAGGGTAGCCCACGAAGTAGGGCTGCTGGTGAAGCTTGCGTAGTTAGCACTGTGTTCGTAATCTGTATGCAGATGGCAGAGCTTTAAGCTGTGTTAAAGTTGCTTGCATTAGTAACATTTAATTGCGGCTGAATTTACTCCTTGTGTTAACACGTCTCAGTATTCAGCATTTACTGCCCCATGAGAAACATACAGATACGCTAAATACTAATTCATCAAAAGTGTAGCATTTCATATTTATAACTTTATTTTTATTTTTGTTCATTTTTGCAAGATACTAATTGTAGTATCGTCTTGCTGTACTAAAGGTGCTTTTTTTTTTGTTGTGGATAGTGCATGTCTTACTGTGTAGATCATATTGCATGTTATTGATGCATGTTTGAAATTTGTTGTGTCCTTCAAGGCATGATAAGTGGCTATCCACCGGTGCTGCCACCTTTGCAGGGCCCAGTTGATGGCATTGTTAGCATGGGCAGCATGCAGCCACTTCACCCAGGGGTGCCCCCACCCCACCAACTTCCGCCAGGTATGCCAGGCATCCCAGGCATCCCACCACCCGGTAAGAATGTCATCCTCATTCACTCCTTGTTTCATTTTCATGTACTTGCCGTTTAACCAACTGTTACAGAAATTACCTGCAGCTTGTTTTGGTCATAGCGTAATTGTTTGATTGTGTCTGAACGTGGCAGGTTTGTAGCTGCAGCGTGCACAGCGTACTGCTGAGTGTATGGGGTGCATGCAGAGCGTTTATGTTGGCACAGCACACATCCAGTATGCAAGCAGCAAAAAGGTTACTGGCGAAATGTGATGCTGCTCCAGCAGTGGTTCTGCTCCAGTTAAAAAAAAACGTCAACAACAACAAAAACACCAACACCACCAACAAAAAGAGACAACTGCACGAGCTTATCAGAAGTCTGAAAGATTGAAATCGGCCAGTTCATATCCTTATTCCATTTGAACAGCATCCTTCCACTCCCTCCATTATTCAAGTGATATCAGTGACTTTGAAATGAAATTTGAAATGAAATTTATTGCTCTCATTCCTTACTGAACTCTTTTTCAGTGTAGGGGGGAGAAATGTTCATCTGCCCTCTTGTCTTGTTTTCTGTGGATTTTTTTCAGTTTTTACCCCTGCTAACTCGTGGCTGTTTAAAAGACACGCATCCGATACGTTCAGCTGTTCGAACAAGCTGTGGACAAAAGAGTTTTCATTTCTCTCTCCTACCCCATTTGCAACTGTGTTTATCAGAAGCTCTGTTGGGACTTTATGTAAATTCTTGTGGTGATTTGTTGTTGTTTGCTTGCTTGCCTTTTTTGTTTTTTTAAATCCATCAGTGTTAGGCGTGCAGTTGCATCATTGCTGATGTGTAAGATTCACCATAATGTCATGTAGAGGGAGTAGGAAAACAGCAGCGTGAGCTTGCCTCCGACTCAGCAGGACAGTGACATTGAAGCACACAACAGCAGCATACAAATGTTTGGGAGGTGAACCCAGGACAATGCATTTCTTTGAAGAATGTTTCCAACTGGAGAAACGGGCTGTGTGTACGAAGTACTAAACTAAGAGAACTTGACTAAGGAGAAAAAAAACAAAACAAAACCACGAAATAATGCCCAGGAGTGGAGGACCACACGTGAAGTGGTGCTAAATCGGGCTGGGTGGGCTAAGGGTCAGTGAAGCCCTAACACTGGGAAGGGGAGGGTGCCCTCCTCCAAACCTGTCTGATTTGTACCAAAAAAAATCTGTGCTGTATCCCACAACTTGCCTCATCAGTGTTTTTCCCAACTTCTGACCTGCTGTTAGTACAGATGCATTTAAAATGGAGGCTGTAATCAAACGCAAAACTGATTAGATACATGCTTTAGTGTGCAAAACGCAGTGACACATCTTCTGATCACTGGTACGGAAATCCGCATGCAAATTAAACCCTTGTGAAGACCATAATTATTGTGCAGCTTTTCAAATGAATGACTGTGTAAAATGGCATGGAGAGAAAGAAAAGCAGCAACATACCTAACTGTTTTTCTTTTTTTTTTTTCCTTTTTTATTGTTGTTGTTTGATTTATTTTTGTTTGGTTGTAGTTTTTGTTTTGGGGTTTTTCTTTTTTTTTTCCTTTTTTTTTTTTTTTTGACCAAAGCATCTGCATAGAAAATATCAGGAACTGCATGCATGACTCATTCAGATTTGTATGTGGGTGGTATCTGCTATATTCTGTGCCCCTTCACATAGTTAGGAAAAAATCAAAACTAACAGGATTATTTTTTTCCTCCAAATGTTGTTTCATATGTATAGGACTATTTAAGCTTAACCTGCAAGTGGTGTTTTATGTTAGTGAGATATTACAGAATTTTTGCAATGTCTTGGCTTTCTTTCTACTGTGAATGTGTTTTATAAAATTGAACACAAGGAAATTTACTAAAGGAAAACTGCTTTTCCTTTTTTATTGTTCTTTGTTGTTTGCTTGTTTTTAAGGATTCCAGGAAGTTTCTGTTCAGCCAAAGGTGCACATTATAAACTAAAGGATGTAGTTGGGCAATCCCTAAGTAACATGGAAAAAAAAATAATTTTGCATTTCTTTAGTTAAATGAATTCAAGGGGCCACATATTAATGTTGGGTAGTTGTTGTTTCTTTTTTTTTCTTCATTCAGAAATTTCTAAAGTTTTTTTTTTTTTTTTTTTTAATTGGGGGAGAGTGGGATATTTAAAAATTTATTTTTAAAAAAGCTTTAAGCAATGATATCTAAATACACATTTGATTATAGAAGACCAAATAGGCATTTCTCACTGCTCTGAAATAAGACTGATTGTTTTATATTTTGGAATATAGGTGTTATAGGCCAAAATGTGTCCCCCATGGTAGGCACTCCAGCACCCGGAGCAAGTCCCTTTGGACAGCAGGTGAGTCATTTTCACATTATTTATGAAGCTCTAAGGCTTTGAATTAGCATTTAAATGGGATCTCAGTTAAGACATGTAATGAATGCACATAGCCTTTCCCAGGGAGAACATAAATTCCAAACGTACACTGACGTATTTAGAACCAGTTAATATCTTACACTCAGAATATATGTTTGTATTTCTTGGTTGATTTCTTATTATACTAATTAGGTTCTGCCTAGTGGGATAAGCCCTGCAGTATAAGCAACCCCGTGTTTTTCTTTCTGTTTTTCTTTCTTCTAAACTAATACAAGTAATTTTAACACACTGTTAAACTGGTGATAATTTCAGTTTTGCATGCTTTGTTGATGCAGCAGGGCTGCTTTTGCACTTTCTCAGCTGTTTCTGAGCTAAGTGGGTAAAAGCTGTTTTGCTTGCTCCCAGATTTCACAAACCAACAAAGCAGATGCTCATTGGCAGTTCAGAACCTGGGGGTTTGGATATCAGTGATGATCAGATGTTTCTTCTCAATGTGGTACAGATGAATACAGATGAAATGTTTAGCACACTTGAAATTGTATTGAGTAAACATTTGCATTATAAAAAGAAACGTGATTTTGACCGGGGGTATAAAGAAACTCAGAAGTTGAGTACAGTATGTGTGCTGTGACACTGAGTTACTCCAGACCATAGCTCGTCTCTGTTAAGAGTTCTGAGAACTGCTGGTTAATCACAGCAGTTGGGGTTCTTCTGTGTGTCAGGGATTTCTGTGTGACTGGGATAGCCTGACTGCAATTAGTTTGTGGTTTTTTTTTTTGTTTGTTTTGTTTTGTTTTGTTTTTGTTTTTGTTTTTGGTGGTAGCATCCTTATCTTCCAGGGATCAGGGTGGATTTGTATTAGATGTTATAGAGGTACCTAAAGCGAGATAAAACCCTACACCTTGCACATCACAGTTTTGTGGTCAAGTGTGAGAGAACATGAAATAAAAAGGAAGAAAAATAGCAGTTAAGGGTAATATGAGAGCGGAGAAGTGGTGGAAGTAATGAGGACATGCTTGCTGTTAAATATGGTCTGCTCATACATCCTCTCTCTGTGCATCTCAGTCACCGCCCCAGGTAACCGTGGCCAAAGTGGGTTGTCTTCCAGTGAAATTTTCTTTGTGCCTTCAGTTATAACCAAAACTACCTCTCCGTTGCTTTGTTGTTGCAGATAGGAATCCTTGGCCCGCCAGGACAGCAGGCACCCCCTCCGTATCCGGGCCAGAGCCCAGCAAGTCAGCCGGTCATGCAGCAGCCCTCAACTCCCATGTTTGTCTCCCCTCCACCAAAGACACAGAGGCTTCTTCATTCTGAAGCCTATCTGAAATACATTGAGGGGCTTAGTGCTGAATCAAATAGCATCAGCAAGTGGGACCAGACCCTTGCAGGTAAGGCTTTTGTATGGAAACATCCCACTGTGTGTCAGAAACACTTTTTTGTAACCTTTTGGCTTTTATGGAAAATGCTAAATTAATCTGCTGCTTGTTTAATAAAATGTACGCATGCAAGTAATTCTTAAACTGACAGACTGTAACTATATGTTATTAGTAGGCTAATTCCACTGATGCTGTATAAATCTAATTACCAGTTGTATGGGTTCAAATACTGGGGGTAAAAGAAATACTGTGGAGTTACATTCTCCTTCTTTCCTGAAAAATTGTGGCAAATATCAAATTTATCAAAGTCAGTAGATAATTGGGCTGTTTCTTAACCTTTCAGCACGACGGCGAGATATCCACTTATCAAAAGAACAAGAGAGCCGTCTCCCGTCACACTGGTTGAAAAGTAAAGGAGCTCACACCACCATGGCTGATGCGTTATGGCGTCTCCGAGACCTGATGCTACGAGACACCCTCAATATCCGTCAGGCATACAATATAGAAAATGTTTAGTTGCATTCTTGCTTCTTTCTTTGATACTGGCATATAAGGAGTTTTGTGGAACAATAGCTGTTTTAGTTACTGGGTGGGGAGAGATAACCAACAATAATTTGTATTGCATTTTACTGTACATTGCAAGACCATTTTTATATAAGGACACTTTTAATAAGCATATTTCACTTTTTGTTATATTAAGTTGATTAATTTTGTTATATTGATAATTATATCAATATTGATATATAAACATATCAATATTGATATATTGATTAATTTTGTTATATTAAGTTGTGTTTGTTATATTAAGTTGATCAAATACACGGATTTTTGCATATGTTTCCTTTGTTTGAAAGGCGGTTTCATAATTGGTTAACTGTAGTCAAGGATTCATCTTTCTTATACTTTATTGCTGAGAATCCGATGCCATTGTTTTTATATAAAAGAAGAAAAATAGAAAACAAAGTATTTACAGATTGGTACAATGGAATGTGAAGTTAGTCATAGTTTACAGCCTAGAGGAATGTGTGTACCTGTGCTTGTGTGTGCTAGCCGCTTCTGGCAGAAATCTCACTTGGATGTGAACAGGGAAGATCTCCTTGAAAGAAGCTAAAGGTAAGGTGTGCATTGGAGCTAGAGCAAAATCACATTTCAAGTCAGTATCGAGGTAGCTGAGTGGGCCACAGCGATTGTGGAAGTGCTAGTGCGGACAGGGCAAGGCTGTCTTGACTGCTAGTGTTGTCCAATCCTGTCCAGTTACTTAATTGTGTAGCCAAAGCCATTGTGATCTTAAATCAGTAACAGCATACTGGGCATACAGCTGGGCATGCCCGTGGGAGGTGAAACTCATCTGCCATGACCTGTTCTGGGGGTTCTGTGATGCCCTAAGGCTGAGCAGAGGAGGCAAAGCTGCTTCCCCCTGCAATTCAATCTGCAGGCGAGAGGCCAGAACTCTGAACCAGTTCAGGACTTGGAAGGTAAGTTCGAGGAGAGGCTGAGTTCTTTTGTTAGTGCAGTAACTTGATGCTTTTAAATTCACACACATTCTGTTGATGATTGGGCATTATAAGACGTTCTTCTGTGTGTATTGATTCACGTTAATGAAAGTTTTGCAATGCAAAATTTGAAATTGGACACACAAATGTAACTTTATAATAGTGCTGTATGCATAACTTCACCATACCTAGTACATCAGAGAAACGGATTACCCGCATTGCAGCCTTTGGAGGGTTTTTGGGTTAGTTTTTTAGCAAAGTAAGGTGTGTATAGACTCCTCTTGCCAAATTTCAGGGTTGTGACTGCCTTCTGCTAAAGACTTAACTGTCCTTGTAACTAACCAACCTTCTGGACTGCAAAGCTATTTGCTTAAAAGTAAATGCTTTCACGTACTTGATTGTAGAAAAAGAATAATCTTGGGTTGCATTAAGTAAGTGGGAAGGTAAGGTGATACTAATTTGAAAGAAATTGTTGGCAGGAACATGGTTACTGCAACTCAGTCCAAAAGAATAACTTTTTTCTTTTTTTCTTCTGAGAGAGTGGAAAATAGATTAATCTAGGACCGGTATTTTCATAAACCAGTTGAAGGTAACTAATAATTATTTGTTCTCTTCCTCAGTCCCCTTCCATGAGAAAATTTACTGTTTCTGTAAAAAAAAAAAAAAAAAAAAAAAAAAAAAAAGTTGATGTTGGTGACTTTTTTTTTTCAGCGTATGTTTTCAGACCTGGTTAATCCATGCTTGGCTTTTCATTAGACCTTGTACTCCTGAAGGTTAAGCTGATAACCAGGTGTGTAACATGTATGTACCATCACTTTGTTTACCTGAGTCTTTTTAATTTGAATAAAAATAGTTTGCAAAGTGTTTTGGATTAAACAGGTTTGAGTGTCCCATCAAGACTTTTGTTAGGATTTTATTTCAAGTAATTCTGGCAGTTGCTTATCCAGATCTTACAGAGTCCTTGGTATGTGCACAGGTGTACGTGGGTAAAGAATCGTTTTTATATTGTCCTGTGTGTTGCAAGGCATGTCTGGTAGGTGACAAGAACAGTGAAGTTGGAGGGAAAAAAAGCCAGAAGAAGGATGAACGAACTGTAGTAAGCTTTGAAAAAATACATGGTGGACTGGGAACCAGCTGAGTAGAGGTGATAAGATTCAGTCAGTTCCAGTTGCCTCCACTGTAGTTGCTTTGAAAATAAACAGCAAGACTTATTTTCATGCTGGAAGCTAACCTGGCTCAGGACTGTCTTTTATGTAGCTGGATAATGAAGGAAATTTAAAAAATAATGTGGAAAAAGCATCTTTTACCCAGTAAAATTACAAAACAAGATGGAAATCTTCTTCAATAACACCAACAGCAAGAAAAATTGATAGTGACCTCGTATATCTTGAGGTGCCTCTAACATATGATTCACAAAGAGCTATTTAAGCAACCAGAACAGATACCGTTATATTTAATTAACGCGCATTAATGTCTTGGACTCAGGGCACAAACACAGCCTCTCATGCAGGCTGCAGGGTTTATGGAACTTCAACCCTTCTAAAACCTGATGGTGCAGTTGCACCGAGATGAATTCTAATCATTGTTCACGTTGTATTTGCTCAATTTGAGATGCTGAAGATTGTCTGTAGATACAGGTAGCCCTCTATCGGCAGCAAGGGCACTAAATTGGAGCAATATTTCAAAATGCTCGAGTACTTCTAACATCAAGAAACGGGATCTGCTTCATTGGCACGTGAAATATTCTAATCAATAACCTTCGTATTCTTTTTGCTTGCTGCATTTACCAGCAAGTCTAATTTGACTTGTCCCACAAACCAAGCCAGAAACCCAGGCACTGCAGTGCACAAGGATCTGGTGGTCCTGGGTGAAGAGATTCCCAGTCTGGCATTCCTTGGAGAAACTCCTCCAGCAATCCAGTGCAGAAATCTAGCCCCACAGCTTAACTTCCAGTAAAGGAGACAGCAGGAGAAATGTGAAAACAAATGGAGGTGAAGCCCCCTGGGTTATGCAGCAGCACCAGTGCGTGGTTGGGCTGGGCTCTGGGTAAGCTCAGGGTGCACAGCAGCCTGGGACAAAAAACAGGGATGGGTGGTCATGAGGTCTGCAACCACCTCCACAGGGAGTGCCCAAATTCATTTTCTATTCGATGATGTAGGGAGGACTATCAATAATCCTCATGCTTTGTGCCAAGCACAAGCACCCAATGAGGATTTAAGGAACCTCCTCAGGAAGTCACAGAATGTGAGGGATCAGAAGGGACCTTGACAGATCACCCAGTCCAATCCCTCTGGCAGAGCAGGGACACCCAGATCAGATCCCACAGGAACACATCCAGGTGGGTTTTAAACATCTCCAGAGAAAGAGACTCCTCAGCTCCCAGGCAGCCTGAGGGTCGATGAGCAGCTCCGTGGTTTCCCCCTGGTCACTCAGTCAGCGTGAGCCTGTCCCTTCTCTAGTGCAGGAGCTGTGGGCAGCATTGCTTAGGCCTAAGAATCAGGGTTTGTTTGCACGTGACTGCTTTCAGCTGCTTTACTGCGTTGAATTTTTCCATGCTTGACATCTAACTTGGCCTGACTTGCATAATCTGGAGAGCCTGCAGCACAAACGCTTTGCTTGTTCTCAGAATCTTTCTGTGGCGGCTGTGAAGGGAACACCCGAGGCTGCCGTTTGTAGATGTTGACCTGACACCAAGTGAACTCCCTGCGGACTGAAGAGACGTGCTCAACTCCAGAACTGGCAGGGGCTCAGCAGTGCTTAAACTGAAAGCTGTGTTCCTGGCTGCTCCTGCAGCATCTAACAGAAACAGCGCTGTTTCCAGCACTGGTCTATGAAGGGTTGAAGAGTGAGTGTAGATTGAAACTGAGCCTAAATCCCTGCGTCTGCCTGCTACAGGAACGGGCTGGGACCAGGGTGCTCCAGCTACTCCGTTTCCAGTGTTAGAGACGGGCAAAACTGGAGAGGGCAGAAGGATCGGTGCTAGCAAGCATTGTGGAATTGGGAATGCAGTTCCGGAGCTCTAAATGTTGAGCTTCATCTCCTGTCATCGCAGATCTGTTGCCTTGTGGCTGAAATGGTGTGATGCCAACTCAGAGAAGGATTTTGCTCCTGCAGTGGTCGCAAAAATAAGTGACACCAAACTCCCTGACACCAAGTTCCTTGTAAGTGACTGGCAGTCCTGCCTTGCTTTTTAAGCTTAACTGGAGACACCTTAAGCTAAGTTCCAAACGTGTCTGGTGCTCTCAGCTGCAAATGGGAAACATGTGCCATGAAATATGAAAGAGCTCTGACATGAAAAACAGGCCTTGATTCGCTGAGGTCAGTGAAACACTCCTGCTATTATAGGAGTGCTATGGGAAGCCACAGGGAGAAGCGTTCACACCAGGCTGAGGGCTGAGAAGAAACTAGGGCACAAGGCTTCTTAAAACAACAAGGATATGGAAACACAAGAAGCAGCAGGAGAGAGCTCCAAAAGGCTCCAAGAGCACAGGCAGATGGAGCTAAAGCGCAACAATTTTCAAAATGTGGTTTTCTGTGAGCATTTCGCTGTATGTGGTGCTACTGTCAGGATTTGTGGCAGTAGAATGATCGATGACTGCAACAACAATCTCGTGCGTGTCTGTGTGGACTTGGGCTCCACCTCAGAACTAAAGCCGAAAGAGAGGTTATTACTTCTCAAATAGATGTGTGTCGTCCCCCCAGTACTTCCTTTGCTGTCCACTCGGAGCATGGAGGGCATAACCACATCTCCAGTTCTCTGCCAGTTCTTTTTTGCCTGAAAACTCAGGAAGATCAAGATCAAGTCCCTGGATGGCACAGCACGAAGCTGGGGGGTACCTTCTACTTGCAAGTTGAGTAATTTACTGTGAGATCGTGTAAACAGCTCTTGTCTCTTATGTCAATTGAAAACTTGCTCCTGTGGAAAAAGGCTACCAGGAGTTAGCAGAAGAATGTGTTTAAATATATGAGCTCCCTTGGGGGTTTTGTTTTTAGGCTGCTGCTTTGATGTTAAGAATTGCCCTCCTGGGGACCTGTCAGCATATACACAAATCATCAGAAATAAAAGCAATTGCATTAATAAATGCAATTATCATACCAGAGTCCCACTAATGCCTAGTCACTGACATGCTCCACGCTCATGAGGTCTAGCGTTGCTGTGATAGGGAATAAAAGAAAACTGAAAAAGCAGCCCTGGAATGGTGTTAGCTCTCCTCTCCTTCTTTGGGAGGCAGGTCTCCTGTAACAAGAACTCAGGTGCTATGGTTGCTGTTGCACATTGCTCCAAACTTGTGCCTGCTAACAGGTAAAGCAGCAGATTTTTCTTGCCCTCAGCCCTTGCCTCTCTCCACTGTTAGTCACCACCCCAGGTACTGCACACGTACCCAGCGGAGCCTAAATGCACATGTGACTTTCCAAAGAGTGGGGGCAGAGTAAGTAAGCACCGAGCTCTACATCTGTCTTATTTTATCTACTTAAAATTTCACTACATTGGAAAGAAAGATCAGACATGAGAGAGGCTTCCATCAGTACAAAGCAAACTAATTAAAAATGAATGTATGCAATATGTAACTCAGTTCTCTCCCGGTGGTGCTGTCACAACAGCGGCATTTCATCACGCAAAGAAAAGCTGTAGCCAGACTGTTTATTCAGTTTAGTTTATTTAAAAGTGTTGGAAAAAAACACATTAAATAGGTGGCAAAGGTCTAAACACAATGAACTTCTCTCTGCTGTATTCAGTTTAGACACAAAGCATTCATGGTAAGAAGCAGATGTAGAATAATCTGCCAAAACCATCTGAGAGCATACCTCAGAAACCTGCTCAGTTCATGTTGCAGAGACAAAGTTTTGCCCCTACCAGCACCGTGGCAGCAATGCTTCTTTGATATGACTGAAGCTGTCAGGATGTTCCCCTTGAACCCTTCCAGCTAAAATTCACTTTTCTCCATCCTTGCCTTGTACTGTCTTTCAGATCGTTTTCTGCGGTAAACATCATCTGTGGCAAAACAAAAAAAGATTTTATTAGCATTATCCAAGAGCAAGATGGTATTAAATGTATGAATCCTGTCACCTCAAACTTTTCAATCCAATCTCCTCTTACAGACATTGACAGGCAACTGGAGAAAACATGAATCCTTATTACCACTTAAAAATGGCTCATTTCCCTCCCATCTAGGCTAAAGTTCTTCCCCTCAGTCTTGATTAAATGTTTTTATAGGAAAACTAAGTTTCCAGAGCAATACAGTCATTTTTCTACTTTCTCATGAGGATAATTAAAACCACAAATGCCCAAACTAGCTGAAGCTAAAAGGAAATTAAACTACAGGGACAAATTCCAATGCCTGAGGCCTCAGTATTGTAGCTATTTCTAAAAACAGAGGTATTTACTTGTGTTGATGATCTTCCTAGCTGTTCTGCCTGCCTTCCCTACACTGATCACCCCTAAATATCCATCAACAAATAAAAACTCACTGAGATAAAGAGGTTATCGGTCTTGTATGTTGTTACCTTGCATGGGTTACGGAGCAGCATTATTACTGCATTATGAAATTGTTTAGGCACAGCATTTTTTTCAGAGAAAAAAGCCTGGGGCTTGGGCTGACGTGTAACAACCACCACACAAGCGATGTGCTCTGGTTTCCTACCTGCCTTTACTGTGACACAGGTGTGCCTCAGAAGGGTCAGGAGAGAAAACCTGAGCACACCCGAGCCTTCGGGAGCAGTTTGGGCTGCAGTGAGCTCGTCTCCCCGTTTCAACTCCTACAGCCCCTGAGGCGCCTGCTCCCACCTCACAGCCCTCGGGGGGGGGCTGAGGCGCCCCCGCGGGCGGAGCACACAGCACTCACAGAACGTCTCCTTGCCGATGCGGACATTGATCATGAACCACTCCATGGCTCCCCCGAGGACGAAGAAGAAGGGCAGGAAGCGGTAGGCGCCGAAGCGCTGCCTGCCGGGCACCCGCCGCAGGAGGCGCCTCAGGCGGCCGCTCACCAACATGGCTGCGGGGACATGACAGGAATGGGCGGGAGGGGAGGGGGGCGGCCATGGAGCCCCCGGCCCCGGCCCGCAGCCAATCAGCGCGGCCGGCGCCTCGCGCCCCCTCCCACCCGCTCACCTCCGAGCGCGGGCCCTGCGAGCCGCCGGGCCGTACCACGTGACGCGCGGGGCGGGGCGCTCCTGGGCTCCTCCGCGCCTGAGGCGGGGCGGGGCGGGGAGGTCGAGGCCACGCCCCCTCGCGCGGCGCGGCGGTGATTGGCTGCCGGGGCCGGGAGGGGCGGGGCGGGGAGCGGGGCGTGAGGGGAGCGGAGCGGAGCCCGCGGCGGTCCCGGTCCCGGTCCCGGTCGCGGTCGCCCCGAGCTCCCCGTGCCCGGCCGGGGTCATGGCGGCGCTGGGCACCGCGGCGCTGCGGGCCCCCCGGCTCCTCGCCGCCTCCTGCCGCCGCGGGAGCAGCCACGGCAGTGGGGACGGCGGCCGCGGGCAGCCCCGGGAGCCGGTGGGGAGCGGCGGCAGAGCGAGGCGAGGAGCCGAGCCCGGCCCCATAGCGGGCAGCCAGCCCGCGGCGGCTGAGGGGGCCGACACCAGGAGCTACCTGTGGGCCCGCTACCACGAGATGAAGAAGCTGGTGTACGGTAAGCGCCGAAAACACCGGCACAAAGGCGTCGTGCCGCTAAACGCAGCTCCCGGGGGAGTTACAGCTCCGTTAAGCTCCGGGGTTTAACCCAAAATGGGGCTGGGTGCCCGTGTGGTGGAGCAGCCTCTTCACCAGGCGTCGTGCTGAGCCCTTTGTTTCAGTCACGGCTCCCCCAGAGCAAAATGTCCCGTGAAGAGGCAGGAGCGGAGCTGGCCCAAGCTGGGTTTGATCGTGGCTTCTATGGCTCAGCCACGCTGTGCCACACGGGGCATCGCCAGTCTGCTCCTTTGCTCCCCATCTCTAACTTTGATGCAAAAGTGAGTGAGGTTGGGCTACGGGCTGGGAGACATTGTCACGCCATCCGTTCATGAGCACGGCTTCAGATCCCAGCAGTGCCGTCTCCTGTGTGGTGACACCGAAACCAGAGCCAGGCCAAAAGGTGCTGCTGAGGTAAAACCTTGCCCAGGAAACACCATTTTTTCATCCTGCCCCTTGCTTTTTGCCAGACTGACCCTCAAGGCCAGACTTCATTGCATCTGAAAATGCTGCTTCCACCCTTGAAGGACAAGGGTGACCGAGTGTCAGTGGTGGGCTTGACCAGGACTTGCGGTGCTTTGGATGATGCCTGAAGTGTCACGGAAGGCTGACAAGTCTCTGTTAATAAGCAGTGCCCAAAGTCCTGCTCTCTAGGAAACATCCCATCCCATCCCGAAACCCAGTGGGTCAGGGAAGCAAGTGGAGGTTTGACTGTGAGGAAATGTGTGTTTTTTCCTAGATCTTCTAAATGTAGCTAAAAATAAATCAGCTTTCCTGAGGAGCTTTCGAAAGAACTGCTAACTTCTTGCCTCCGCGTGGCGTTGAGTGGTTAAGTGAGAGAACTGCTGGACACGGCGAGAAGTTTGTAGTGCAGGTGGTGAGAATTTGGGTAGGTTTTGGTAATGCTGAGGGCATAGGTCAGAGGTAGTCCTTGCTGTTTTCACATTGTACAGACCAAGAAATAGCTGTGCAAGCCACACTCACCAGCGTGTGCCCATCACCTTCAGCAGTGTGCAGAGAGGATGGCTCCTCTGTGTGGTCACTGCGCTGGTGACTTGTGCAGAGGTGGCTTTTGCAGTCCGGCACGTTTTGATTCTGCTCGTGTTGCTAATCTCAAGCAGGCACAAAGATTTAAGGGGCTCAATCTCTACCAAGCCAGGAGGCAGCCTGGTTCTGCGATAATGGGAGCCAGGCAGATCGCCTGGGGAGTGTGCCTGTTCTGCAGGTTGTGGCACCTACTGGATTCAGCTGGGAACAGAAATGAGAAATAGCAGCCAGAACTGGAAGCTAACTTCCAAGTTCAGCTTTCCCTAACGTAACGTATTTTTTCTAGTAAATAACTGCATAAAGAGCATTTGTCTAGTGCCTTTGTGAAGATTTTTAAATGTCATTTTGGAATAAAACAGTATTTTCATAATATTGCAATTGATTTGCATAGGTTTTATTGGAGAGAAATCCCAAAATATTTGGGCATAATGGCGTGAATTTGAGTTAGTGCTCCAGAGTAACTTTCAGCTCTCTTTTAGTGCAGTTCTTCTGTAACTTAGTGCTCTGAAAATAATACTTCTGTCTGCCCAGGCAAAGCCTGCCCTCTTGGTTGAGGCATCTGCTTGAGCTTTTTGGAGTGCTTTGCGGGAATTGCTGTGACTTGGTACAAAACAACACTTCAGAAGGATAAAGAGGTGCATGGAAAGCAGAAAAACGGGCAGTTTGTCTATAGAAAACAAGTCCACGTGAGCAAAGGGAATTTTTATTCGTGGGGTGGAGGAGAGTGGCTGTGGATAGGTCCTGCAGACTTGCAGGGTTAGAGGTCTGTGAGCACGCAGGGTGGGGAGGGATGGGCATGAGGCGCCTCTTTTACGTGTTATTCTTCCCTAATGCTGTGGATCTGAGGCTGAGGGAAAGCGAGTGCTTCCTGCTGCGCTGGCGGTGCCCCCGGGAGCTGAGGAGAACGCAGGACGTGTCTGGCACCTCCGCCCGGGTTGTTTTCCAGATCAGAAGGGGCCATGTGGAGTCCTGAAGTCTCTGACCGTGGCTCACAGTTAATTACCCGCGTTTGTTTCCTTCTCTGCTGTCACTCTGGGATTGAGGGTTAGTGATTTATAACGATCGAGGGCTACTGCTTGCGAAGAGGCACTCGGGCTTCCCCAAAGGGACTCCAGCCCAAGCAGCTGCTCGGTGCCCCACAGAGATTTGCGCTTGCCTGGCGCTTACGCCCTGCTGTAACAAAGGCTCGTGTCCGAGCACGCTTCCTCGCGGTCTGCCTTGGCTGCTGGCTTCCCTCACACCCAGTAGCTGGGAGTGAGCTGGACAGTGCCGAGCCGTGCGTACGCCGGGATGTGCAGACACTTCCCTAAAACCGTCAGAGTTGCACATCAGGGCGAATTGTGCAAGCGCGCAGATTCCAGGGGCTGTGTCTGCTGCAAGGGCTGGTTTTCCCCTCTGTCCTCAGCTGTGTGCATGCTGGTTTCCCCCGAGCTCGTACATCCTGGGAGAAGTGCTGAGCAGGCAGTGATGAGCTGCCACGCCGCCTGCTGCTCCTGTCCCACCCGGGCAGAGGAAGTGGCTGGGATTGCCCTTTTTAATAACCCAAACTGGTCTACGCTTTATTTCTTCTTGCTGTCGTTTATTGTACCTTCAGCAATCCCTCGTTATGGAGAAAAAGCAAAAGGAAAAAAATAAAAAGGCATTTCCCCCTGGCTGGGCTCTGGTGGGTGTCTGTTTGCTTTGACTCGCTGATTGCCACGCAAATCGAGGCAAAGATCCCGGGCTGACGATGTGCTGCATGGGAACCGCGTCCGAGTCAGCAGCATGGGGCTTGATGAAGCGCTCAGTTTGTAGCCTCCCAGCTGATTATCTTAAAAAAAATAAATAATAAAAATATATACACAAACAGAAAGCCAAACACCTTGGAACGTGGCTCATTAAGCCAGGCACATAAGGGCTGTCATACTGAAAACAATCCCATACAGGCTGTTCCCTGCAGTCATTTGAACCTGGGGATTTCCAGAGACAAGGACAGGCCGTGGAGGAGAAGACTCCAGGAAGCGTGTGTAGGGGACATGGTACACGGGAAGCTGCGGTGCTAATGCATTTTGGCTAGCGTGTGCACCTTCCTTTGGCCTTCATGAGGTCAGCAAGGACATGCTGTTACGTTAGTGACCAAATGTCTGAGTGGAGGAGAATTAGCCTGCCTGGAGGCTGCTGGAAAGCAACAGGGGCCCCGTACATTTGAGGCGGGCAGGGAGGAGCATGACTTCATCCGGTGGGTCTACCAAATGTGCTGTAAATCTTTGAGCAAGCGGCGAACGTTGGAGGAGCTCGATCTCCGTGAGGGTGTGGTGGCAGCAAGTGGGGTGCGTGTGCCATTAAAACGTGTGCATTTGTGATTAGCAGTGTGATTAGGATTTTGTTTTCCTTGCGAAGAAGGAAAATAATAACAGCCTACAAATGGCAGCGTGGATTTAGAAAAAAGATCTTCCCACAAGTTATCTGGAGGTGAGGGCAGGAAATGGAGGTCTGTTTGTTTATGGTGCAGGAAGCATTTATGATGAGAGGATGAAAGCTGTGATCGTCTGAATCTTATTTACATTCCCTATCTTCTAAAGTCCCAGTGGAAAGTACTCTGATTGCATCCCCTGTCCTCGGCCTCTTCCAGGAACTCTGCTGTCAGCAGAGTGACTGAAACGGGGCTCTCCTTGCTGCGTAGCCCCCAGGTCAGCCCTCCTGCCCCAGAGCGCTGCCTTCTCCTGGTAATTCTCCTCTGGTGAAACACACTTGAAGGCTGTAGGAAAGGGAGCTAGGAGAGAGGGTTGGGTGTGTTTTTGTAATGCATCTCTCCCCTGAAAAACGTTCCCATGTCTGAATCCTGTTTCTTTGGTCGCCTCTTTGGATTAGTGCTTGCAAATGTACGTTGGGATTTTACCTAAAGCACCCTCTGTAAATTCTGTGATCGTTTTAGGCAAAGTCTTAATTGGGAATGGTTGGTATCACTTTCTAATATTTTTTTTGTTCTAGATTCAGATGAGACTTGGTTTTATAGCAAGGAAGCACTAAAGAACCAACCCAGGGATTCTTGCTAAAAGCCAAAAGTTCAGGTAGGAAGGGAAGAAAAAAAAAAAATCCTACCCGCTGATGCTGTGTAGGACCTGGAAAATGTCTGTGCTTTGCCTGTCATTCAACGAGAAAATTACCTGTCTCCGAGGGGGAGGAAATGTCTCCTCCTCCTCCTCTCTGTCCCTCCATGTGGATGTGAGTAGGGAATCTACTGCAGGGACCTGTTTTTATTGCTTTTTGTCACCCTGCAAGGGACAACTGCTGTGGAGTGAGAAGCCTGGAGAGGGTCTGTTCCTGCCCCTCCTGGTGTGGTGTAGCTGAAGTGCTCGGCTCTCCGGACTGGCTCTGAGAAGGACATCGAGGCTGTTCAGCTGCTGGCTCACTAAACCCCCATTTTGCCAGTGGTGTGTGGAGCAAAGTGTTATTCACGTGCAGTAGCCCAGGTTTTGGAGTGACCAACAGCGTGCAGCTGAGCTGTTTCCACAGC